ACGGGATGTAGTACAAGCAGTGGCACGCATACCTATGGAATTTGAAGCACATTCTATTTGTATATAATGCACCAATGGTCTGACATAGACAAAAGCAAATACAAGCATTGACAGTGTCACTGAGGGCTGAACATTGGGTTCACAAGCCATGATAAATTCCTCTGAGGGACAATAGTTCACGGGGGGTGTGTACACTGGGGGGGTACCAGTAAGATAGCTTTTTATGCCTTTCTATATAGTTTTTACCCCTCCTAGTTTTCAGGTGCTCCTTGCATTGCCCGCCGACTGCTGGTGGAAGGCCTCAGCCGCTACCGCTTTCGGAATGCTTAGTCATACTCGGTGATCTCGGGGAGACGATTTCTTCCAGCCGTCCTATAGCGTTCTCCTCCTCTGTTCGTTCTGTATCCGGTAATAAATTAGAAATAGATTTGTATTACATAACATTGCACGTGCGCCCTAGTAAAGGAGGAGCGAGAACGCTAAGGACGGTGGTTTAGGAGCCTGCGCGCGTAGTCGCTTAGCCGCCTTACATAATTCCGGTAAAACCTCGGACGACGAGTTGGGCCAGCCGTCTCATAGCGTCCTCATCCTCACCGTTCGGCTTAATCAGGAAATACAACTATAAATAAACTACATTATATAAGCCATATTAGATAACATCTTCACACACGCCCTAGCAGAGAGGATCGAGGACGCGAGACGGATGGTTCTAGGAGCCTGCATCGCAGTTCGCAAACGAGTTGATGGCCTCGAGCATTGGGAGGATTGCACAGTTGACGCTGTTCTCTGGTCCAAACTGTTCCTTGTGCGACGTACGTGGCGGCCTCACTGATACTGGCTCTGTTCATGACAGATAAATTCTTAGATTGCTAAAGCAGAGCTTTCCAAAGTTAGAGCCACGGCGAGTCGCTGTTGCAATCTGTCCGTACCATTGACTGATTGCAGGGGATAATTATGCAGCGGCCTTTCGATCTCGACATCATAAATATACAAGACAAAGGTCAGGAAAAGTGGAAGAAAAAATATGTCTACTGGATCCCGGCTCTGCACCTAGAGGGCAAGGAGATAGCCAAGGGCCGGTGGGACGCGCAGACGGTCACGCAAGCTCTGGACAAGTGGGAGAAGGGGATCAAGGAGCAGGGGCCCAGGACCGACTGAATGCTGATCAGCTGTACTTCGCCGACCCGTATCCCCGATGGTCCTCTGTGCACGGCCAACTATTCCCGTGGGGCTTGTGGGCGGCGCATGCAGACGCTGGATACTACTATGAACGTTCCACGGATCAAGTCCTTGGGGTAGCTGAGGAGGAGAATAATGAAGCAGGACAGGACGATGGGAGGAGTCGTTGCTTTAACTGCGGTTCCAAGGAGCATATGGTTTCATCATGTCCTCTCCCCCTTGATCGACAACTCATATCTCTTTCGCGCCAACTCCGGAACTTCTACCATGAGCTACGCGACGGGCCAGGGCAAGGTAGGCGCTTCCATGTAGTCGAGGATTGGAAGAACCAACGACTCAGGTGGCTTGATGAATTCGAACCTGGGCAAGTAAGGGGAGCACTCCTGCGCGAAGCGCTCCAGTTAGAAGACGGTGATCCCGGGGAGAATGCCCCTTGGCTGAAAAACATCGCCGTCTGGGGTTACCCCCCAGGCTGGACTGGTGAGAGGGATCCAAAGGAGAAAGTAGCCATGCGCATCGTCGACCTGGATGAAGAGGGCGGTAGCGACGATGCAGATGACGAATCTTTTTTCATTTTTGGGGAGCGCGGGGACGAAGAAGTCAACATCAAGCTCCCTATGGTTACTGCAGAGCCATCTAGCCTTGACGATGACGGCTCCAACATCAACAAAACTACAGAAGCAGTTAGTGCCTGGGGGGATGTCACGACTGAGCGGTCCGTCAAAAGATTCGGTTCGCCTTATGCTGCCTCTGACATGGCTAGCAACGACGCTATCGAGCAAACAAAACGTGGCGTACTAGCCGTCAGTGGATCCAGACGGGTGCGTCGATGGGCGCAGTACCCATCTACCTACTTTTCATCCGAATTGCTACCTGTATATGTCGGCGTGGCGCTCCCGCCCTTGTCGCCTGCAGGAGACGTACCTGCGTCAGCCGATGGCGATGGCACCTATACGTTAGACCGTGAAACCCTTTGGGCTAATATCCTGGCAGGTCATAGGGTGGGCTCAGCTGCGCATGCCGTTCATCTCATTACAACGCCGGGACTGCCTCCTGCTCCACCTGGTTCGCCTCCTCCACCACCGCCGCCACCGGAGTTGCCACCCCCTCCACCACCGCCTCCCATTTCCGGCACACTCAACCTGCGCGCTTCTTCTGGTTCTGCCCAGGCCGACGAGGATGACAAAGACATGGATTTATCGGATTAGGCAGACTGGTATGTTCTCGGTAGCACCGTGTCCCCAAGATGTTTCTTGAGACGAAATCAGTGTATCATTGTTAACCATTAAACCCTGCATCTACTATACAGTAACAACCTAATTATCGCAACAACGCCGTTATGGTTATGCGTTCCCTGTCTATGGTACACAACTATGGCTACATCAAACGTGCAAATCGTGGTACATTGGTGCAGGTCCACAGCGATCAAGGTCCAATACCAAACCAGTGGTGTTTTGAGAGTCATGGTATGTGCGTTAATGTGTCTCGTGGATAGTATCCTGTCCAAAGCGGAAGTTGGCTTGATCATATTAAATTGCGGTGGGGCTTGACTCGAACTGGGGGACACTGTTGCGAGGGGTGGGTGCCCTAGGGGGCGGCGGTGCGTATCGAGGCAGGGTTTCCAGAGGCTTCGAGATGAGGAAACCTGTTCAGGCGACGTCAATTCTGACGGCAATCATCACATAACATATCGTACTCGCCCTTTAAGCCTGCGGCCTTCTCTCCCTGCCTTCCGAAGCCATACCCGGATTTGTTGCTCCTCAGGCTGCCGAATTCGGAGGTCAGGTCATGGCCCTTCTCGCTGCCTCCCATGAAGACGTTCGATACGAACGTCGAGCCCGGGCGGGCGAATGGGGGACGCTTGTCGTCGAACGAGGGAAGGACACCTGCCCTTTCCGCACGCCACGAGGTGATGGAGCGTCTGGCTTTCGCGGACTCGCGAAAGATCAGCCCGAGGACGATGTTAAGGCATCCGATGGAGAACAGGAAGAAAGCTGCCACAAGGGTGAACGTGTCTACGTGGTGCGAGAGGACAGTGGCCCCAATCCTGTGGGGATAAATTGTAAGGGACCTGAACTGCTATCCCGAAGTTTCCTTACTTACAGACACTCGAATACGCCCAGAGCGCCCAAGCCAAAGTCCTTGCCGAGGACAGGGAAGTATGTCTTAAAGAACGTAGCTGGCCATCCTATCTCGGATAGGAAAAGCATGATAACTTGGAATATTATGAGCAGGCGGTTCAAGACTGCCCAGAAAGCACCCGCGGGCTGATTCGGAACCGTGCTGCCTTCGATGTAGTCGCAGTCCTCCATGGCGTTGACGGTGGAGTTGTCCGAGGCGCTGCTGGCGGACAGGAAATGGTTGACTGCCTGTACATCGTGGACCATGACGACAATACTGCTGCTGAAGACGAGGGTGAGGGCGATTAGGCTGAGGACGCGGACGGCATTAAGGCCCATAAAGACGTCTGTGGCTGCGTTAAACCAGTTGCCCAACAAATGCATGGATGAAATGACTTACAAGCACGAGCGGGCAACATATTGAGCGATTGGATTGCAAAATCGTTAAACCTATGGAGAAGTGTAGGAGAGTCTATGTCGTATCAAGAAAAGTGCCCAGCACTACCAAGAGGGTGAAGAAACTTGCGGAGGCGACAAGGACCTACAAGTGAAGGTGTAGACCTTGATCCCTGCACCGTACATTTATAAGGACCTGATACGTAAATGCTCGGGAGGCATCATTCTTCAGGTTATTGTTCTTGGTCCTCACGGGTAACAATGCGGCGGGGACAAAGAGATGCATAAGCTACTGCCTTCCTAAAATGGAAGGTCTCTTTACTAAATAGGGAAGCTACTAGTATATGACCCGGCTGCACTCGGAAATTTCTCCCGTCCTCGCGACCTTGAGACGACCTTGTCCTTACTTTTCTCGCCATTAGCCCATGCTATTGTACTGTATGTTGTAGGGAGGCTATGTATGTTCCATTTTGATGGCTGTCTTTCTGGGAGTCGCGATTTTGTATGGTAGCACGGCGCTTGATTCTGCAATGACTGTCCGTCTGCGATGTGCCTAATTTCTTGTCCATGCCAGCCTCTGAGGAGCGTATTGGTCCAGCTCGCATGGTGTAGGAGGCTCGAGATGATCATACATGGGTGAATAGACAAAGTTCATGTCGTCGTGTCGTGAGTATCGGTCGAAAACGGGTCACCTGGCAGGCATGCGAGCGGTTCATCTCCTTCCGTACGTAACTTCACCGAAAGGTCTCCTCCCGTCAAGCATCCAGGAAACAACGTCATGAGTGTTTTGCGACCTTTCAGAGCTACTGACCTCTTCAAGTTCAACAACATGTAAGTCACTTGTCGCGTTCTCCCCATGCTGGCCTTTGACATGCCGGTGGCAGCAACTTGGATATTTGGACGGAGACAGTGAGTAACCCCTCTGAAGTATGCTTCAGAAACGATGGTTTTTAAGGCCCAGTAGTACGGTATCTCGTTCTACCTGAACTACTTGTCAAGATGGCCAGACCTATGCTGCGTGCAGGAGGCCCCCAGTGGCCGACTTATGGGCTACGGTGAGTCGCGCTCTAACGTCCGTACGCGTTATGGTGTAGCTAACGTCGTAACCCAGTCCTCGGAAAGGCTGAAGGCAGTGGCCTCGAGTGGCATGGACACGTCACCGCTCTATCCGTCGCGCCCGAGTACCGCCGTCTCTCTTTAGGTCGTAAAATGATGGGCCTCCTGGAATTTGTCTCAGACGAGGTCTACAAGGGTTTCTTCGTCGATTTATACGTCCGTTGTGCAAACAAAGTGGCCATAAAGATGTATGAGGGCCTTGGATACAGCGTTTATCGCCGGGTAAGGGAGTATTATGGGAGCCTAGGGTTGGGGCCGGGAGGAAGAGACGAAGAGGACGCCTTCGGTACGTTTTTCTCCATTCATTCGTACGGCGTTCATCAATGCATGTCTCAGACATGCGAAAACCTCTATCCCGCGACCCTCAACGTCGGTCCGTGCGAGCCAATGGACGGGATATAGTTGTAAGTGCAAATGAAGTGTCGTAACAATACGGGCTGCGCACGTGCGTACTACACTATATACTGAGAGGTGGTGGTTCCTCTGGTACTTCCGTTAATTGCGCTAGTTCCTCGTCATAGAATTTGTTGAGCTGTTGACGATCTTGACAGAACGCGTGAAGCTTGACCCTGAGCTCTTCGGCTGCGACCGCAGGACCTTGTTCTTTGCTCTTCAACGTACCCATCCGCCCAGGAGCCATGAGACGGTTGGTCAGGAACAAGAAGCCCTGGCTCTTCCCTAGCACCTGCACGAAGGCGACGCCGGTACGATGGATAAACTGGGAGTAGTTGAAGGGTGACCGCCGGTACGAGTAGACGACATCAATCTGCTCCGGATAAAGGTGTGCCGCTTCAATGTCGAGCACGAACCCGAATCGCTTGAGGAGCGCATACTCAAAGTAATATGCGGTTTGTGTTCCTTCCGGAACCCGCCTCTCCAGTCCCGGGACGAAGGGAGAAGGAACGACGGGACGGATGGGGAAACAAGATTGGAAGGCATTGCGGTCCCTGATGTCAGCGATCTGGCCTACATAAGCTTCAACAAGTTTTAGGCCATATCGTTCAATAGTGCGGCTCCATTGACGCAGTGTATCTTCGATACAGCGAGCCGTTGTCCCGATCCAGTGCAACTCGAAATGAAAGCAAGTCGCAGGGTTATGGATAATATCGTGGTGTAAAACCACACATTCCGCCTGATCGCTTCGCTGAATAACGGCTACGGTGAGCCCTCTTTGGCGTTTGCTAACTGCCACAGAAGTCCACCCACCTTTGCGGGATCTATGTCAATGACCATACTTTGACTCAGGATGAGGCGCTTCTTGCCCTTTCTCGGGCTGAGTCCCTTGGCTGTACTACCTGGATAGTGGCCAGCACGAGGGCCACTATCTTCAGGATTGGAAACGTGGCGAGACGGCCGGAACCAGCTATTTCGCGGTGTCATAGGCACGGCAAACTCGCCCTTCAGCTGATAGAAGTAGTGCCTGCATTCATAAAATGATCTAAGGTCCAGATAACTAGAAGAGCGAAGCTCACCCGTCTAGGAAGCCGTGAGCTCCCCTGGCGTGCTCTAACAGGCCCTGCTCCATGAGCTTTTGTCCTATCTCCGCCCCTTGCTCCCTAGTCGAGACGTCTCGGAACTCCCGTAGGAGCCATGAGATGAACTCCGCCCCAGTGAAAACACTTGTGTACCTCCGACCATGCCACCAGCGATCCTTAATAGGAACTCCATCTTCCTCTCGCATTGCTTTTGCGATATTAGCGATTGACATCGATGCGATGTCTCTCTCCACCTTCTTCTTCCTCAAAGGTCCCTTGGCGTGAATCTCGTCAAGCTGCGCTATCAGATGATCGTCAAACAGGCATGCTGTAGGACCAAGGTCGGTCGGCAAAAATCTAACAGGAGTGACAGCGTTATTCTTATCTTCAGGAGGACGCCAGCGGAGGCGAGTGAACATCTCCGCAAGTTTATCCATACCCAGAAGACGAGTTTCCTCTTCATTCAGCTTTTCTCCAGCTGGACCGATAGAGGCCGATGGTGATTCCGGCGTGGGTATGACGACGAAACGGGTCCTCCAGTACCTCAAGGATTCGTTGAACTGCGGTTCAAACCCTGCAACAACCATATCTAATCTAGGGATCGTTGGGTGAGTAAGGTGGCTCATAAGATTATTTTGTCAACTGACCTGTTCCACAGATAGTTTTCCAAGCCATGGGAGACGAAAGAGGTCTTCAGTTCAGTATAACCAACACCGAGCTTAGGCCATATCAAGCATTGATACTGGAATGGACGGATTGGAGGTAACCTTCTGACGTATCTCCGGATTTGTACGGCCTCACCATTGTAAGAGATACGATGAATCTCGTTGCTCATACTGAGGTATACGGGTTCTTCGGGTGATACGAGGACTTCTGATGCCCCTCTCACCCTAGGCACCGTTTCTTCTTCCGTCATGAAGGAGTGGGTCCGCCGAAGTGGATTGGGAATATCTTCATCCTTGTTCCGTGCTGGCTGGAGAATAAATTGAAATCCTTGCGCTAATCTGACCGCGGCCATAACTCGCATAATCATCAATGCCCATGCTCGCCTTTCCTGATCTGGAGAGTTGCTTGGAGGTGGGGGCTTGACCAGGTATGATTTGATCTCAGATGGGTCGATGTATGTTTCGTAGTCGTGTAGATCGTACGAAGCTTCAAGGTCGGAAGCCGAAGGGAAATACTCCGTCGTAAGGGGAAGGCATCCTGGCGTAGTCATGGATCCCCACTTGATATCATGCTTGTACAACGGATGAGGGAACATATGCTCCCAGCGGCGGGCGAGGATGGACTGACTGGGAGCCACCGAAGATCTGGGTCTGGAAGGATTCGTGCGGAAACTGGGAGACGAAGACATCGGACCGATCGTCAGGCTGATAGCGGTATTACGTCTACCGAAGGTAGCATCATCGCGTGGAGGAGTGTTGACAGGAGAAGAACGGTTGCGAGCAAGGCCATACACATCCTCTTCCAGGGCCCGGTTCATCATCACGCGGCCGGACGGATTATTCCTGATACTGACAGGTTTCGGAGGCCGTGAAACGGTTGATGTGCTAGTGGGCGTTGACGAAGTCGCGTCCGTAGCCTTCGGCGTTGAGACAGGAGTACCAGTGTGAGAGGTGGATACACCCGGCGCGGAGACAGGAGAAGTCTGCGGGTGACTGGGTCCGCTTCTGAAGGCATTGAACAGCCAGGAGGGAGCTGAGAATTTGGAGCTAAGGACGCTGCGAGTGGAGCCTGGCCTTCGAGGTCTGCCATCAGGGTTAGTCGACGACATGGTGGACGCAGAAGCTGTCGACTGGGTGGACAGAATAGAGGCTTGGGACGGCGAGCTGCTCAGACCACTGAGAGATACAAGAGGGGTTGGATGTTCGGATTCGGAGAATTGTCCAGATGGTAGGTCTCGTGTGGCCCGCAAAGGGCTCTCCTCGATGGTCTGGAACCTACCGGAAGTCGAGAGCGCCGCTTGAGAGATCATGGATGACCTCTGAGAGATTACAGAGGACCGTAGTGACGAAGGGGCAACAACGGTCCCGCTAAGTGAAGACGCGAGAGAATTCCGGCCTGTTGTAGTTGGCTTAGGTTCTCTATGGAAAGAGAATACGTTCTGGTCGAATAGATCGGCCTCCTGCTTGGTCAGCTTGTTATCCGGACCTGCCTCGGAAGAGGGTGTAGAGGCTTGCATGCGCTGCTCTGGCAAATAAGGCACTTCTATGCTGGAAAGTACATCATGGTCCAGGAGACCTAGCATCTCCACCTCGTACATCTTGGCTCGAGCAATAAACCTGAAGTACCGGTCAAGAGTATTCCCTCTTCTGAACACTTACAACACCTACCTGTCCTCTCTGAAAGGTAAATCCATTTGTTTGTCCCAGAACGAGACGGACATCCAGAACGGGTCCCACCAAAACGTCGTCCTCTCCCTTCCCGGCGAATCCGCAAGGGCATCATCGCCACCCCATAACGGGTCGATGATCCGTGCTCCGAGCCTGCCCTCCCGCTCAGAACGTAGTTCAGGTTCAGTACCAGAGAATGAGAATATCGGGCTTTGATGCAGCGGGGGTTTGGCTAAGGACACCAGATCCAGGCCAAAGCCCTGGTCCAGCATACGCATCGTCGTGAGTCTCAGCAGCTGCTTCGATACCCTGAAGTATCCCGTCCCGGGAGTAATGAGAATCGTCGACGACCCAGTCAGCGAGAGGGAGCGGTCAATATAATGGGTCTCCGTCGGGTTTAGGCCCAAATTGATCGCCTCGAGGATGGGGCCGTCATGCGCACACGAGAGGCGTCCCACCAGTCGCACCTGGTCCAGCGGGTTCTCAGACGATTGCGATGGCATGCCAACCAGTGCTCGGTGGTAATGATGGGTCAGAAGGATGTCACGCTGGAAGGCCCAGAAAGAATTCTTGAGATCGATGAGAGTGGGCTTCCAGTCGTAGATGACCTCCAGATCAGTAATGATTTTGTAGAAATCTTTGTACCAGTTCCCGTCGTCGTCTCGCCGCAGGGGACCCGCCGCGTACTCAGTCTCAGAACTGTCATAGTAGACCCTGGATATCAGCACAATTGTGACAATATGGTTTGTACCAGCTTCGCGCCATTTGTTGAAAAGAGCAGGTAGGAACGAGTGGACAATCTTCTCATAATAACGTTCGCCGTCGCCAGCAAACTCCCATAGCTCACGGCAGACTTGGATGAATATTGTTGCTCGGGCGGTCAATGAGCGGAAGATCGCCTTCGTTGCTGCTGTAACATAAGCAGCCGACACCTACCCTCTTACATTTACGAGAGCAACCACAGCAAGATTGCAGTGTCACGGACCTTGTTGCCATCCACATAGATGGCCTCAATTTTCGCAGCGGGAGCTCCGATGAATGAAACTTCCTGTTCGACGTAGATGCACTGGCCTACTAGTTGCTTGCCAAGTCTCCACATATCATTGCGGCCTAGATACTGATCCTGGAAGATGAATTCTATATGGTCGGCGGAGCATTTGTCTTTGTCCACCTAAGATATCGCGTGAGTATCGCACGCGTATTCATGGTCTACTTCGCCTCTACCTTGGTCAATAGGACCTCCCCGTTATTCCTGAGACCGAAGGTATCCGCCACGTGCCGCGGTATGGATATCTATATGCAAGCCATGGTCAAACTATCGACTGTCCGCCGACCGGGCCAAGGTAAGAGATGACCTGCAGTTGAGGCTTCACGCTGCCCTCGTCCTTGGACGCGATGAAGAAGAATCCAGACGCGTCGTCCGCGCTGGGCGAGCGCACGGAGAACATGTCTCCCTCCGCAACGCCCGGCCACAGGGTGTGGTTGAAGATGACGGTCGGCGTGTCCTTGGGGTCGTACACCCAGGTCGTGAAGACCTTTTTGTCGCCGACTTTGAGCGGTGTCGCTGGGGGACCTCTAAACAGAGATGAGGCGGTATTGGACCGCCGCCTGTTGAACTGGGGCTGCTGTGATTCCGCTCGAGACGAAGACATATTGGACAGGTTCCTCTCTGAAGATCACTGGCATCCTCAACGTGAACGTGTCTATGAAGCCAGACTATAGCAATCAACAAAGCAATGAAGCAACTTCAGACACAGTTGAGGCGCGTCATGAGTCTGGAGTCTGGACTGAGAGGAACGGGCTGGTAGACAATTGATGGCTCGGCTACTTTATGCGGTCCCATCAATTCGCCGAAATTTCGTTCCCGGGCGCGTCGGTAGGCATCCGAGGGCTGGTTGTCTCCCGCTGCATCGCTGCCGTCCCACACCTCGGTTTTCTTTCCTTCTTGTCGCTGCGCCATTCGCATTAATTTATAGAGGTCCACCCTCGCTATCTATCTGCTTTCGCAACTCTGGATTCCTCTCGGTTCAACAAATATTCCCCCGCCCTTGCTCTCACATTCATGTCTGACGAACAACCACAAGCCGACCAAAGTCATTCTTTACTCGTGAAATCCCATTCATTCCCAGCCTCCCCGTCGCTAGAGTCAACGCCAGAGTCTTCACGCGAGCCGTCGCTCAGCATTCCGTCCTCCGAGCTGCATACCGCGCGATCACTCCCTTCTCTAGCCCCACGAAATAGTTCTGGCGTGAACGTCAAGTTCGCCCCGCTCCCTGTTACGGAGAAATCACGATCCCGCCATCCATCCTTTCACTATGGCGTCGGGGCGCGCTCGCGACTACTTCGGAATAAACGTCTGATGCAGGAGCTCGAGGCTGCGGCGGAGCGGGGGGACACTATTTATGTTACGGAGGGGGAGCCATTGCCGACTATTGTGAGAGAAGAGGATCCTGTTGTGGTGCTCGGACGGAAGATGGTGGGTGCAAGCAAGAGTTGGTGGAGGCGTGTTGCGCGGAAGCAGGAGCTGGTCCATCAGGAAGCCGATGCGCAGCCAATTGGGGATAGCAGCCCCCCCTCTGACGGCAAGACCGTGGTCATAGTGCGGCGAAAGTCAGAGGAGAAGTCTGCTGCGGCCGATGAAAAGGAGGAAGAGGGCCGTGTGTGGGAGGAGGAGATCGACCCGGACTTTTGCAGACGAATGTCTCTAGTGGACGTAGGCGAACCTGAACGGGCGGATGGGGGGTCCACCGATGATATACCCAATAGCAAGAAGACCCAAGTGCAGGCGCTTGGGAAGAAGACGCCGAAACGAAAAGAACTCAGACGAGCAGCGACTAGGTGAGTGACTGCTATAAATTGGAGGTACGAAGAAGCTAATGTGGCCTCCCGATCTGACAGCTAACAGCGCTACAATGGATACCTCACCATGTTTTCGACGTTCTAGTACATAATTTGGGGTAATGGGCGACATCAACTTAGGATACCTTGATATAATGTGTCTGACAAGTGTTTTGCGGTCGTCGGGCAGGGAACGATCCCTTTACAAGGGAAAGCGGTGTTTGCCTGTTCAACGCGACTATCGCGCGGTATAGAATGTTTTCCCCGAGGCTTGATACCCGTGTAACTTTGAATACACTTGCTGCATGGACTTCGCATCGCCTGGTTGCAATTGACCATGCCACAGTGAGTGTGGCCAGTACCGGCCCGGCAGAAGCCGAAACACGAGGCGGCCACATGTCGCCGTCTGGAAGAGTCTACATCGGCTTGGGCAGGCGTCCGCTGCTGTGCAACACATCCAACTCGGGTCTCTCGCTCTTTCTTGGTTTCTCTTGTGATTGGTCCCTCTTTACCTTCTACATTCACGTCCGTCGCTGCTGTCGACGCTTACTTTACGCTCGCGTTCCCCTTTTTGTTTCACGAGCAGTGCTGACTCGCGATAGACTTCAGCCAGCCTGAGCATTGAGAACGATACAAAACTTGTGGCTACCAGCGCATTGTTTACTCCCGCAAACGAATGTCGCAGTGTACTCCGATTCCTACAGCGACCCAGTATACGACTGTCGTCTCGAACTCTGAGTCGACGTCGTTCTCAAATTCGATCACTACTTTGCCTGCATCCGTGACCACGATCACCAGTGAATCATGCCTTTCCACTGCCACAGTGAGCAATTCGACCACATGTGTCTCTTCCACAGTCGTTGAGTCAGTCAGCACCATCGCTGGTGAGTGGTCTTGTTGCGCGACACGAAAGTGTTTCCCGTCGTAACGATTGATCCATCGACCCGTAGGTGGTGAAACCAGCACTGTCCAAGTCCCCGTCGTCTTGACCATTCCCGTGACGCAAACTTCCGCAACCGCAACCCTTTATTCCACTTCGTGCGCTAATACCGGTAATGGATCATCGCCGCCTCCATCATCCGCTCCGCAGACGACCACTCACCTACCTGAGAGTTCCACAACTACCTCTGTTCTTTCCACCTCGACCCCGCTTACAACTTTGACAACCAGTCAAGCCACTACGCTATCAGATGGATCTGTGAGCTATACTATCCTCACCATCACGTCCACGGGTAGCCCGACCGCGGTATATGTACCTACTACATTACCTGCGACGAGTCTGTCAGACGGAAACGGCGGCAGCCATCGTAATGTGGCATTAGCTCCTATTATAGGTGGTACCATCGGTGGTGTCGTAGGGTTGATATCAATTATCGGGATATTGTGGCTAATATGGTGTGTATACGATGTCTCCGTCCAACTGAGTCTGAGTCGTCATACTCATAACTCTGCGCAGGCGAAGAAGGCGATACAACTTCGACGATCTATTCGACGATGGTCCTGAAGATACTGTAGCATATCCCGTCCGCCGGAACAAGTCACGCAACCTCGACCTTGCCAGTGAAGCGGAGCCTAAGCCATATCAATACGGCCTTGTTGGTCGCTCCACCCCTCCTTTATCAGCCCATGACCACGCGGAACCCAACACAGCTCCATTAGCGAATTCACCGCCTCTAGCCCCTCGTACGAATAACACATCCCCAACTGGCCACGGACGAAATGGATCACTGGCACCTCTCATGATGCCTGGGACTGCGTTATCTCCAGGTCCGAGCCAACCACAGACTGCATCATCACGACCATCCACGTCTGGTTCCATGCAGCCTTTGATCCAAGCTTCGCAGCAGCACGCACATCCGCCGCATACGCCCGGCGTAGACAGCGCGCTGTCGGATTGGAACCCCAATACGGACGGGCTGGGCATAGGTTCTGACTTGGGACATGGGCTGGGCACTGAGGGTACGGCGGTGAGTGCGCAGGAGCACCGGCGGCGCTTACAGGTGGCGAATCCGGAGCAGCGTCCGATGTCGCCTGCGTCGACGATGTCCGGGGCCGGACCGGAGTCACCTCGAGGCGAGAAGGCCACCTACCGGCCGAGGAGGGAGTCGGCGAATGTGGTCGTACATAAGGATGGTGGGAGAGTTGTGCGCTCCCCGGAGCCCGGCCCTTCAGGATCGGGGTCAGGTTTAGGTACAGGTCAGGCTCCCACCGATGCGCCGCCTGCGTATTCGGATTAGGGAGGATGAATTCAGTGTGCTTTGTTTTCCCTGGTGGTTTCTATCTTCGGCTTGGGCAGCGCTACGGACCCGTTCCTTATCTATCTGCCTGTCAATGTGCCCCTCATTATGCTTTATATTCAGCCAACGCCACATCCCCTTGCATGTTCCCGTTGGCATTCTTGTCAGCTCATAGCGCCGTTGTTCATTCCCAACAATGGACTTAAGGCATGTCAACCAACCTCTGTCATTACCATAGCTTTTCATCAGTAGTTCACACCGCAAGGATAGACTTTGTAGTCATAGTCCTTCAGTCATGTCTTAGATTCCACCGTCTGAAAATGTATATTTGGGCTGCCACGTTCAGAGCGGAATGGAACGCTTGTTCAATGGATTGAATCCTGTTCGGATACGCCTCGCGTCCGGTAGTCCGCCCCGATTCAACAGAGATTCAATTAGCGTCAGGGGAGAGTTACAACAGATGTGGTTACTAAGTTAGATGAGAGAGTTACAACAGATGCAATTAGAAATTTCTATGAATATGATGCAGAGGGCAGTGTTCAACGTAGTTCCAATGATCCAATAAGCCCGAAAATGCGGAAGACGCCCGGGTATGCAGAAGGGAGGTATAATCGTTCCAATTGATTTCAGCTTCTGGCGTTGCGGGGCCGATACACGAATTGATCACGTTCGCGCCGGTACATGGGCGAGGGATAGGGATCCGACCTACGAGAGGTCGAGCGGCGAGGTCTTGAAGGAGAACCTGTAGGCTTGCTGCCAGTGGAAGTGCATCGGCACTCGCCATCATGTCGACTGCGGTTATCGAGCACGCTGGGGACGGGCTCATTGTACCTCCTCAACAAGTCCGCGAGTGTGAGTGGAGTATCCGAGGCGCCCTGCGCGCTCTCGGATCGATATCGGGACCCTGCGCAGGATTTGACGCCGACCTGTGGGTTATCAATGCCATCCCGCGCTGATGGCGTCTCACACCATCTATTCTCTTCCCTCCTCACCTCCCGAGAAGGATTCTCGAGGTACATTGCCTGGTCGGAAGCGATTAGAAAGCGTCGCGGGCGTCCCGGCGGTGCAGGGGTGTAGAGGGGTGAGTCTGGTGACCCGCTATCCGCTGGGACATGAGGCATAGAAGCGAGCTGCGAGGACGGGATTGTGTGACAGAAATCGCTGTCAGAACGAGCATGCAATGTGGCTCCTGGCCAGCGGCCTTGGTAATTGCACGGAGTTTGGCAGAGTCGCGTCTGTGGTAGAGGACCGCGGTTATCGTGCATCGCGGCAGCGATCGGGAGCTTTCCCGTCAGAAAACCGTGATGGGCTAGAATGTCTTCGTTCGTTATGCTGCACTTATGCTTCATAGAGAAAAAGAAGTCAAGTTCGATCTGCATGATAGCGCGGGGCGTAAAGTTCGCCGAGATGCGTGCCCAGGTGGCACCTTTATGGCAGGAGTCATTAAGGTACTAAGGAGCATGTCGGCATCCAGCTCGCGACGATGTGGTACACGGATTGAACGTACCTTGTTTGCGCACAGAAGAGCACCCAGCAATACTCTTCTATGGAGGAGGTCGTCGTAGTCGGAATGGTACGTTGCGACGCGGCTCAAGTAGACGATTGCCGTGATGACCACAGATGTCGGTAGGCGGCCTCCCTGTATCACTGAGTGGGCAAACAGCTTCAGTGACTCTGGTGCAGCGGCTGGAGGGTGTCCCTTTGTTCGGTCGGCAAGGGAAGACGAAAGAGTCGTGAAATAGTCTGTGTGGCGTACGTGGTCAGCTCAACGAGGTGGACGCCACACGGGACTGGACTCACCCAAGAGTGGCGCATGGTCGGGCGGAAGCTTGAGGAGGTCCTCAACAAGTGGATGGTGGCAAAGTGAAGGAATCAGACTGAAGGGGTGGTTGAGGGAGGTGCAAGAGTCGAGTGTCCAAGTCATCCTTGCTCTGGCAGGGGTGTGGTAGAGAGACGGGCTCGGAGAGGGAGGTACTTATAAGGGGTAAAGAAAGATTGATGGAAGCGTACACAATGCTCAGCTATCACAGCTATCTTTAAAGGAAGCCGTGACCAGCAACCTGTGTCGGTATATGAAAGTCAAACGCTGAGGGCTGTGGCGCACGTAGGTCCCTGCAGCTTCTATAGGCGCCGGGCCCCACGGACATGCGTCCATTATAATCAGATATATCATCACAAGCGTGCGGTGGCAACAAGCGGGTCAATCGGTCAGAATACCGAAAGAAAATAAGGGCAAGGGCCCGGCAAGATGAGAACAAGGTCTCGAAGTGTGAACCTTCTAAGACCAGATCGGGGATGCGTGGGAATTGATGCAACACCGTTCTCATCACGTGCCACGCGCGTCCGTTCGCACAATCCGAATCGAACTCCGACTGGACGCGGGTTCTGCTTCACCCACATTCTTCCTCTGCCAACGCTGCTCACCATGCAAGCACAGACGACCAGGACTTCTCAGACCCAGGTAGAGATTGCAATTATTCAGATGCCATGTTTATAATATGACCTGTGTGGCAGTTGACTGCGAGCCAGAGTTTGACCTGCGTACAAACGCTTTTAAAGGCCGGATTGGGATGTATAACCTATCTGCGGTACGCTCGGCCAGGGTTATCCAAGGAAGGAAGAAAAAATGTGATTGACGCTAATGTGATTACTGCGGTGCAGGAATTTGCTGCCGGCCGATAACTTCAGCGAAAGTGAAGGAAACTCCACTTCCTTTGTCTGAAGCGACCTGACGCGGCGGCAGGCTATCTCATGACCAATAACAATGATCCGGCTTCACAGTCTCTTGACAGTCACGCCTCTTTCTCCTCCGACTGTTCCTCCAGGCGCAATATAAGCGGTTTCAAGATCATGACTGTCACTCGTGGCTTCACTGAAGAGGCGGATAAATTACTGGAATTTTTGGTTGGTCATCGCGCAGAGTATATATTTTAACCGGATGACGGATACATGCGTGGTCAGGAGAGTGGAATATTTGACGCGCTGCAAAAGCAGTATTTGAAAAGTTTCATCTTTGCTGTATATCTGGTGCGTACTACATGACGGCTTAGGCTCGAGTTTTGCGGTTAAATCACATGTTAGGATCCGCAAGATCCCAACAAGTAAGCGCATATATGCGTGTCTCGACGTCGAAATATACTAACCTACTTGCAGTATCGTCGAGGCTTACACATTCAACTTCAACGTATGTAGTCCTCAATACCTTTTCGTTCAAGGTCTCACTTCTACATAGTATTACACTCCTCCGGGGAGCAGTGCGGCCATTCCGATTATGTCGCTGGGTGACGATCTTATGAAGTTGTCTCTGGACCAAAATCATCGTGAGGACGCGGATCCTGTCGCAGAAGCAGTCAGGCAGGGGAAGGCACCGACCTTAGGGGAAGTGAAAAGAAGCGTCAAGGCATGTTATTCTCTTTCTCTCCCTCTGTACTGTGTCGCCTCAACTCGAAGGATTTAGATGTTGGTCAAAAATCTTATACAAGCTACGACACAGATGGACCCACTACCGAGTTTGCCAACTTTCAGTCGCTATATGTGCATGACTGACCCTTTTACAGGGCGCCGATACGCCACATTCAAGCTGTTCTATCACGACCACACCCCGGAAGATTACGAGCCGCCTCATTTTCGTGCTGGGGACGTGGAGAAAGACAGATGGTTCTTCGCCACGCATGATAAACGCGAGACACCGGAGAAGTGCAGTGTCGGACGCTTAGAGACTGGCTGGCACGGGTGCGTCACGGTTTCGCGTTTTGGAATCATATATCGAGCGCGGCTTGTGCAGAGTCGACGTTCGCATTGCGTCCGTTTCAGCATACTTGCCTTCAACAGAAGACAACAACGCCGCCTTCGCCGGTACCTGCGGGCCTCTTGCAAAGGGAGCCCCGAGCCTAACGCCTGCGGAAGAAGCAACGACCAGGGCTCAGGAAATTGAGCTGCAGGCACGCGACGCAGAGAAGCGACGCGTCATTTGGGATGCCGAAGATGGTTTGACCGATATGGACGCTGACGGCGAACAAGATCCCGATTACGATCCGGGAGACCGTAGCTCACGGAAAGGCAACAAGTTCGCCGTAGAAATCAGCGAACCCCTCGGGATCAGAAATGCTGATGGTAATATTGTGTCGATGGTGGGGAAAGCGACTGACAAGAAAGGCAACGATGGAACTTCTCGTGAGGATATTGGCGGAGATGTCAAGGGCAGATGCTCCCATAGCATTGCCGAGGAAGGTCCGATCTTCATCGGAGCATCCGAGAGTGTTCCAAGTCAAGTGGGACAGCTGGTGCGAGTTGTCTTCTCTATGATATGCTACGCAGCTCAAGCGCCTCCCATAGAATCTACAACACAACGGCGACAACGCAGGAGACATACCTGAGACTCAGCCTTTATCTTGCACTCAACAGCTCCCTGCGGAGCCGAATATGGCTGTTGAGAAGGGGATCGCACCTAAGTCTCCTTCTCTGCCGCCCTCAGATCTGGAAGAGAGCATTACGACGCCCACCCAAAGCCAAGTGGACACCATGATGCTCATGGACAATTTGGCTGCAGGGCAGACCGATCCTGCAGAGGATTCGGAAATGCTGGGTACGTTAGATACGTCTGCCGATCGTATAGGGCTCCCTGTTTCATTCGGGAATGCGCGTAGATCTTGAGAGTCAGATCGTCCCTCAAGGCTCTTATGTTCAGGACTCTATCGAGTCGTTCCAGAGCAGGATCTCCATCTCTCCACCTGAGCAAATGTCTGTAGACGTTGAGCCGGCGCGGGAAGTCCTGGACAGAGGCTTGGACTGCGAGTGTGGTTCACAGGTGGGACTTATCGTATATTCCTGTGATGTCTTCGAACTCTTCTTGACTTTCAATACAGACGGATGATGACCAATGCTGGTGCGACTCTTGCGGCCGTTGGTATCATGTTTGGTGCGTTTCGTTATCACGAGCCTTCAGATTGCCATAGAACTAAAACGTCAACGATAGGTGCATGGGGTACGTCATGGCAGCCCTGCGGATATTGAAAAGAGTCTCTCAACCTGTTGGTGCCTAGGTATCACTCGGCTAAGGACAAACGACTTCCCGCCAAATTCTTATGCTTCGACTGCCGAGTCCGAGCTGATCAGAATTGGGATCTCATCGTGGTCCACGACTTATATCCAAGTATGATTGCAAAGTTCAAGGATCTCGCGTTATTCAGGTATCTATCTGCCCCCTCCATCAAATGCGATTCTGTTTTAATGGATTTTGACTGACAGGAGGGCCATTAAAATTGCGGAAATCCACGAACCCGAATCCCCGTCGGAATTTTGCAAACTCCTCGGTTCGTCGATCATCTATTCCTCAAGCACCGTATCTAATGTGTCTGGCAGGGGTTGAAGCTGATGTGTCAGGGCAGCTCTTCAAAAGATTGGAGGGCGAAGGTGACACTCATTTTCTCGTATGAATTATCGGTGGCCTACATACTCTGGACTTCCATCAGGATTCATTGAGCAGGTGCCGATTGAGATCGATGATATCGGCCTACTCGACACTCGCTCTCGCGCCGCCAAGGCGAAAGCGAAAGGGAAGCAACCAAAGCGCAAAAATCTACAGAAAAAGTCATATAGATTTGTTCGCGCTTCCAAACGATGCACTGCGTATCTGGACTACTTCAATCCGGACGTGGACGTCGAGAAACGCATCCTTGGGTTGTCCGAATTGGTTCGTGGTATACTGACCGCATGAATGTCGAAATGTATACTGAAACCTGCCCTGTCGTCCCGATAGCGACCCAAACATAAACTTCGTAAGCTACGAAGTGGGAAGGCTGTCAACACAGGGTATGGCCTAGATCTCCTTCTGTGCTGTACTCTTCATACCTTTTCCTGGACCACTCTGATCGCACTTTAGCCCTCTTGAGCTACCTAAATCCGCTCCCCCGACCCCAATTCTCTGCGACCTGCAGGTTGAGTCGCAAACTCAGAACGAGACCCAATTCTTTACCGATCGAGTCCTACGAGACGCAACGGACAAGGATCTGAAACGCAAGCTGAACTCAGCAGATGACCGGACGAAGCGCGGCAAGAAAGTCAAGATCTCCGTTGTAGCTGGCGTGGATCTTGGCGACTAGGATCGCTCCTTGCTCTACCGCTTGACCTGACTATGCAGTTCTCTCTGGTCCTCTGCTTTCTTGGCATGTATTCCGACGTCGCCTGGCTGGAACCCTGCATTTGTGCTGGTTGGAGATCCTGGAGTCCCTGCTTCACCCTCTCGCTACGTATTCTCATTCCCGGCTGCTATGAGTCCATCATGTAACATGACAGCAGTCCGTCCTCATGTAAAGATTTGCTACCCCGCCTTGAAGAATACATCTTACTGCTCGTTGCTCGTAGAAATCCTGTGTTCATGAATGCGTCCGTATCTCATGGGACCTCGTACCACTGCCATCTCCTCCTGGCCAGGTGTACAATAACTCTAATATCGGATATTTAGACGGTGCGGAGGAGGTCACGTAAGCTGCAAGAATACCCTTATCTCAGTTGTGACAGGGACATCCTGCGAAGATGGTTGAAAGTCTCTCATGTAAGTCCTATCTTGCGATAGCGCGCTGCAACTCAGCATGTCCACCACAACTACCCTCACGTCGACGCTCCAGACGACGCAGCTGCAGCTGCGTACCGCGTACGGGCCAGTCTATCGTACCGTATCCACTGCACCTCCGAGAGACTGTACGCCCGACGAAGTGCCGATCATTGATCTGACGGGCATATACGGCGACCTTGACGAGCGTCTACGGGTCGCTGCGCAGGTTTGCAAGGCTGCGCAGGATATTGGCTTCTTCTACATCAGAAATCATGGCATCGAAGAGGATATCATAGAGCGTGCAAGGAAACAACTCGTAAAGTACGAAGCCAGACGGTGTACGACCGCAGAACTAAGGGTAGTCAACTGCCGTACTCTACAGATTCTTCGAGCAGCCACTAGAAGCAAAGGAGTTAGTGAGTGGACAGAGGTCGAAGTATTTCAACGGCTACGTACCTTCTGGAGTGAGCCATGCTAGTCCCCTTGAAAGTAAAGGTAGGAATTGCGTCGTTGGATGGGATACCCGCGCCTGATCAATGACCAGATGATAGAGAATCGTTCAGCTGGCGGTACTCTCCAGAATACGATCCGGAACCCAAGGACCTCAACGCTATCCCACCAGAAGTAAACGCCTATGTCCGGGGCGAGGAATTCGTGTGGGAAGGCACCACCCATATGCCGGATTTCAAAGAAGACGTGCTTCGTTACTGGCAAGCGTGCTTGACGCTGTCCCGACGCCTCGTCAGGATTTTCGCGCTAGCCCTCGATCTCCCAGAGGACTACTTCGATAAGGTGACGACCTATCCGGGCGCCGACGGTGTCTTCAATTTCTACCGCGGCCTGACGCCTGAGGCAATTGAAGCGACCAAGGACCAGGTCGGCATCGGCTCGCACACGGACTTGCAGTGCTTCACGCTGCTGTGGCAGGACATGAACGGAGGGTTGCAGGTCTTGAAGGGGCGAGAATGGTTGAAGGTACCCCCGATTGAGGGAACTTTCGTGGTCAATATTGGAGATTACCTGATGCGTCTCACGAACGACCGATTTTTGTCCACCGTTCATCGAGCATCCAACCACTCTGAGCACGACAGGGTTTCCATGCCATTTTTCTTTGGTATGTCGCAGGGCCACATGCTTGTGGGGGGGGGGGGCGTCTAATAGTTACCCCTGTGCGCAGGCTTCAATTTCAACGAGACTTGCAGCGTTCTCCCCACCTGCGTCACTGAGAGCAGCCCCGCGAAATACGAGCCTATTACCTGTGGAGATGTGAGTGCAACATTGGCTTGGTACAACAAGGTAAATTGATCATTGACGTACTTAGTGGTGTCAACTCCGTTTCCAACAGTAAGTGGAAGTAAACCGGACGCATAGAGTGTACCCTGACTCTGTGGCAGGACCGGTCCTGGCTATACCGGTCCGTCCCAATCCACGAGGACTGGTTTGCAAAGCGCAATCGATGCCAAGTCGTGACCGTCGAGGAACTCTTCGACGCCAATCCGATTGGTGGCAGGTTCTCATGACAGGCAGACCTAGGATCAGCGGGTTGTAGATGGGTTAAACTGGGTTAGACTGTAAAGTTTCCTCCCTGACTAGATGAGCCTGGCTATGCTCTGGAACGCTACTTACAGGGTCGTATAGTTGCCGTTGGCCAAGCGGAGAAGCATACGCCGTTGACCCTAATGCATTAGGAAAGACATGGGGGATGCCGCGGTCAATAGCAGAACCGTGTCGGGGAAGTATGGTGCCGCATCGCACACTAGTACTTGGAACACACCATAAGTTGTTTCGCCGAATGAACAGTGGGAGATCGATGGCATGGGTGCACACGCAATGCTCTTGTCATCTCGCGTCCGACTTTCGGTAAGCAGAGATCGCAGCTGATGTTCCCTTGGACTGGGCCTTTTCGCGGTCAAGTCGAATAAGGCTCGCCCTCTTATGACTGTATCCCACGCTGAACAGAGATACACCGACATCGGAATCTGCCAAATCGCTTCGATCTTGGATGCCTTGGGAAGGATGAATGGTAAGATCTCGGATGTTGTCGGTGATAGAAGGTCTTGTAGCGTCAAGGAACTAAAAGAAATTGAATGAAACTTACATGGCAGTCTTGTCAAATGAAGCCGCCATGTCATGGTGCATCTGTCATGTAGATGTCGACTGGCCAAAACATTGGAGGATACTTACCTGAGTTGTCCGGGCTATCATTGGAGACTGAAGTACGCCCGACTTTGGCGGTCAGAGATAGGCCTGCCCTTAAGTGCCCGATTATAATGTCCGTTTGGCGCCTTGGAACTTTTTTCTTTCCATCCCCTCGCCGTTTGGCAATTCGTCGTACCTCGACTCTTCACGGTCGGTGAGCTGCATGGCGAGGTTTCCCGGAGATGGATAAGGGACGGCATACAGCACCCAGGTATCTCCCCACTGTCGGCTCTACCGCTTTGGGGTCGTTTGAGAGGTGTACATCTTTGTAGCGCAGAGAATACATAGGAATTGGATTACCATGGTTGCAAAGCAATAAACGTTTTCAGAGAATGGAAGACATCCAGGTCAGCGAAACGCCCGAACAACATAGCGCGTCGAGGACGTTGTTTTATTGGACACAGTGAATGCGGGAAGTAGGAGTCGGCCGGTGGGTCTAGGCTACACGCGACCGCACGCGTCGCGTTCCATTTTCGGGTGGACTTACTGTAGAAGTAGAAGTCCTTTGGACATAGCATCCTTCTTCCTTTCCTTTCTCTTTTCCTGTCCAGCGCCTTCATAACTGCGAAGGTTGGCAAGGCCCTTCTGCGTGATGTCCTACAAATTATCTGCGACCCTGTCCGCGCACTCTGCAGATGTGCGTACGCAAGCTATCGAATGGGACGCGCCATCTAACCGTTGATCATAGGTCAGAGCTGTGGCTTCGCCCTCGGACGATCTCATTCTCTCTGCTTCGCGTGACACGACAGCAATCGTATGGAACAGGACGTCTGGCTCATCATTCGCGAGCGCGCAGGTTTTCAAAGCAGGCGATCGATTCGTGAATGCACTGACATACATCCCGCCGTCCAAAGATGCCTCTCAAGGTTAGTATGCGTTGCCCCACCAGTCCCTTTGTCACCTGAGCCATTACCCTCGTAGGACTCCTGGTCGCGGGAGGACAGGACAAGATCATCAATGTGTTCGACCTGGCCTCGGGTAAAGCGGAACCCAGCTATTCGCTGATCGGCCACACAGACAATGTCTGTGCCCTACACTCCCTACCGGATGGGACTATTATATCTGGTTCATGGGACAAGTGAGTTCACACCCTCGATCTTCCGCATACAGATGTTGAATTGTGTAGGACCGCTAAAGTATGGAAGGACTTCCAGTCAGCATACGATCTCAAAGGTCATGGCCACTCCGTGTGGACTGTTCTCGCCCTTGGCAATGAAGAATTTTTGACCGGTAAGCTTGGCATACCATTACATGTTGAACGAAGCTGAGCGGTTCCCAGGATCCGCTGACAAGACTATCAAACTATGGCAAAAGGCTGCCAGCATACACACATTCGAAGGGCATCAGGACGCAGTACGGGGTTTGACGGTGGTTCCCGATATCGGCTTCGCATCTTGCTCCAACGACAGGTGCGTCTCGGATTATGTCACCCCGTTTGCGCGTAAAAATCGGAGTTGCCCACCAGCGAGATTCGCGTCTGGACCATGGGAGGCGACGTGGTCTATACTCTCACCGGTCATACATCTTTCATCTACTCTATCTCGTTACTTCCCGATGGTGCTTTAGTCTCATGTGGAGAAGACCGCAGTATCCGTGTTTGGAGAGGTTCGTGCGGCCCTTAAACTCTAACTCCATTCAGATCGTTACCAGAGATTTCCTTTAGATGGCGAACTGGCGCAAACCATAATTGTTCCCGCTGTTTCCGTCTGGTCCGTTTCCACTATGCCCAATGGTGACATTGTGGCAGGGTCGAGCGATGGTGTGGTGCGGGTCTTCAGCGTCGTAGAGCCACGGTGGGCGCCTCCCGGAGATCTGAAGGAATTTGACGATGCAGTAGCCAAACAAGCCTTGCCCGCCCAACAAATTGGAAACGTCAAAGTATCCGATCTTCCCGGCATGGAGGCTCTCGCTCAACCTGGTCCGTCCTTCCGACTTCCACATCCGTTCCATAATTGACACTTGAATTGAAGGGACGAAATCGGGACAAACAAAGATGATTAAGAACGGTGACAAAGTGGAGGCCTACCAGGTACGTCGCGACGACGGGAATTAATCACTGTATAAGCCCATAATATGTGTCTTCCAGTGGGATGCCCAAGCTTTCACATGGCAACAAGTGGGCGAGGTCTTAAGAGCAAATGACGAAGATGATCAATACAAAGGGTACGACCATGTATGGGACGTAGATATTGGAGATGGGAAAATGCTCAAGCTGCCGTACAACGACTCGGGTAGGTGACTGGGCCGGCGGGCCGCAACATCTGCTCACCGCCTTGTATACCCCCAGAGAACCCTTACGTAGCTGCGCAGCGCTTCCTCGAAAATAACAACATCCCGCTGGACCAACTCGACGTGGTCGTGCGGTTCATTGAACAGCATTCAAACGCTTCCCGGAGTCGGTCAGCGGGTCCGAGCACAGAGTTCGTTGATCCATACACAGGTGACCGTTAGTCCGGTCTCCTTCTGTGGCTCCGCGCTCAGTCTAGACAGGTTCTTCGAGGTACACCGGTTCAACAAGCTCCGTGCCCTCGGCGGGCCCATCTTCGTTCGCCGATCCATACACAGGTGCATCTCGGTACTCTGGTTCACCCGCACCTGCTGCCCCTACCCCAGCAGCCGTACCTTCACGCTCCCCTCCCTCTGTACTGCCAGCGGTGAGGGTCACTCTTTTACTGATAGTTGTAAGACGCTGATGGTCTTGCGCAGCGTGAGCCGCGAACCATGACACAAGCAAACATCAACGCTATGCAAGCAAAGCTGTATGACATCGACGAGGCGCTCCGGAGCGAGATAGTTCGTACCCGCATGCTTTTTACCAGGAGCCTTGTTCTGACAATGGTGCCAGTCGACGTCGTCCCTGGCAATGTATCCGCAGGAGCTGCGATTAATTGACGAGGCCTTTGTCTTTGTTTCGCAAGCTGCACAGTCACCCGGAGCGTCTCCTTCTGCGCCGAACTTGAATTCACATCATGTGGAGGCTCTCACGTCCGTGCTGGAACGCTGGCCTACCTCGTCGCGCTTCCCAGGTGTGTTCTCATCCGGTACATCACAGATCGACGGACTCTCTGACGTCTTCGCAGTCATGGACCTAAGCCGCTTGGTCGTCGCGTTTTCACCCGCCGCATTCTCTTCTCAAGAGTTGAGGTTCCATTTCATAGAGGCTTTGTTCACTGGGGCGGAATGGAGCCAGCCGTGGACGCAGCCATTATCGAAGCAACGAGAAACGAACATCTTGCTGCTACTCCGTGCTTTGGCGAACGCGTTCACTGGCCCCAAAGTGGTCGACAACAGTGACTGGACGAAATTGGTGCGATGGTTCACTCTGCTTGTCTCTCGGTGCTGACTGCCGTCGCAGGTCCTGGAGCGTCTCCAGCAAGGTCAGTATGAGGTGCTCTCCCCCAAGGCACGCGTCGTGCTGGCGACGGTGCTGTACAAGTAGGTGCTTCACAAGTTTGAGGGAGGTATCGAGCTGATGGGTGTCACTCTTAGTGTATCATGCATCGCGCTGCGTACGAAGTTTGCGTCGGACGTCCGGACTCTGCTGCTGGGCTTGATCTTCCGGGTGTTGAAGACCGAGAAGCAAGAGTCGGAAGCGTACCATCGCGCGCTGGTGGCGCTGGGGAACGTGGTGTGTACTCGGACTTCTCTGCCTCTCGGCGCGGTCTAATCTCACACGTGTGCGCAGGTGTTCGCCGCGAAAGAGCAAAATGCGCCTCTCACTACCGCACAAGCGGCTGAGGTCCGGCAGTCCATCGGGGTCGTACCGGGTCAGTTCAGCGAGCGCGAGAGGCCTGTCGTGGCCGATATCAATGGACTTTTGTAATTTCTGCCAGAACGTCTTTGCTGTTCGATTGCGCCCCTTGAAGGTTAATTCCACAGGTCAGGTATAGGGTCTAAATGCAGGTGTGGTGTAGATAAAGCAGATGTGACTAAGGACGGTGTAGATAGGGTGCATATGATAGTATACTGACAGCTTGTAGTCCTAGGCCTCGTGTACTATCTTTGGGTAAATTGTCATTGATCAATTGAAACATGTACTCCATGATAGAGGAGATCGCAACCTTCTGGGACGCAAACGAAACCTTACAAACCCCCGAGGGTTGGCGCGAGTGCACCGGGGAGCCACCGAGGGTCTCTCAAGGCCGTCGATGAGTAACGCATCCTGTGCTTTGGCTCCCAGAGTTGTCAGATAGGCGCTTTGGGATTTTGGTGCGGTACTGGCCATGCAAGGCGGGATGATTGAGCGATAACTCGCGCAGCCGGGGTATGACGATGCGATGACACGTCCGTTCTCACCTGTCCCGCGGCAGGGGTTAGGGTTACACAGTGCGTCCATTAATGCCGACGACGAGGGTGTACATCGTGCGCCATGGGGAGACGGCGGAGAACAGGAATGGGATCATGCAGGGCCAGCTGGATAGCAAGCTGAACGAGGTCGGGGTGGAGCAGGCGAAGATGGTGGCGGGGGCGCTGAGGGAGGTGCCGTTTGAGAGCGCGTATAGCAGTGATTTGAGTCGGGCGGCGGATGTGAGCTTCTGTATTGTGTCCCAAGTGTAAGGTACTGAAGGCTCGCTTTCCAGACTGCAAAAACGATTCTATTGTATCATCCGGGGGTGGAGCTGAGGAGGGAGGAGGCGCTGCGGGAACGGGTGAGTGCATGAGAATGCAGAAACCACTCGCCTCGCGCCAGCTTGAAGCTCATTCCACCCTACAGCATATGGGAGAGCTGCAAGGCAAGCCCATCATCGCCAGGAAGATGGCCAGCGCGCCCGATGCGCTTGAGGACATGGAAACGTTCACGGCGCGCCTGGTGTCGTGGTGGGATCGGGCAATCGTGCAAGCGCCCGCACGCGATCACGACCGGGACGTCCTCGTTGTCTCGCACGGCGGTGCAATCGGGGCGCTTGTTCGTGCTCTAATTGCGTCCGGGAAGGTCAAGTGTGGCGAGGGCGTCGTGATTTGGAGGGTCCCGAATGTTTCTGTAACGCTGATTGAAGTGGACGAGGAGGGGAAGGGCAAGGTGGTCAAGTATGCGGATATTTCGTTCTTGGAGAAGCAGATAGAGGAGGCCCTGGTAGATAATCCGGACGAGCGGGCAGCATTATAGAGTGGTTTGTAGAGCAGCTGTAGTGTATAGAATTTGTATAGACCCCTGGAGATACATTAGTCTCAGATAGACGCCACATTTGTTGACGACATCATCGACGCGGCGTCCATACAATTGACCGGTTTACTTGACCCGCCAAGAAACCAAGTCCTCATCCGACGCTGCACAGCTCCTGCGGTCTTACTCCCTTCCGCCTCAACCACGACATGCCCGCCAGCGAGACCACGCCCCTCCTCGAGAACGGCAACGGCGTGCCCGTCCACCGTCCCTTTTCCCAGCGCCTGGTCGCCGCCATCAAGGGGGAAGGCGAGCCCGGCTGGATTGCCTCCTACCGACACTTCTTATTTGGATCCTGGTTTAATATCCTCCTGCTATTCGTTCCTTTGAGCGTCATCTCCCATTTCCTCAAATGGGATGCGGCGTACAGGTTTTCTTTCAGCTTCCTGGCTATCATGCCGCTTGCAAAGGTGTGCTGTCCGTCGGTTTCACAGCATGAGTAAATATAGACGTACCTGCTGCTTGTCTAGCTCCTAGGAGAAGCGACTGAGCAGCTGTCGACGAAGCTCGGACAGACGCTCTCTGGCTTGCTCAACGCCTCGTTTGGAAATGCCGTTGAAATTATCGTCGGCATTGCAGCATTGCTTCAAGGTAACAAAGATCTCACATTGATGTACTAGCTTCATATTGAAACGCACACATTAGGGGAGCTACGTATTGTACAGACCTCTGTAAGCTTCGCCTGGATGACACGAATTCCTCATCTCAATACCCCATAAGATGCTGGGCTCCATCCTCTCCAACATTCTCTTGGTATTGGGCTGCTCCTTCTTGGCAGGGGGCATCCGTTACAATGAAAGCACTTTCAAAGCTACTGGCGCGCAGACGTAAAGTCATTCCACACCTAGTAGACCTCACACTCACACATATTTGCCAGTGCGAGCTCCGTACGTGGTGTGCCCGTTAACACTCACTCTCGCTAACTTTTCCCGGTGGTTAGTTGATGACTCTATCCTGTATAAGTAAGTTTAGACCGAATAGCCTGACCCGTCCCCTTTCTTGCTCGCTCACAGCTGTCGCTGGACAGCACTCGTAATTCCCGCAGCCTATCACTCTGCGCAAACTCGAAACCCCAGCCCGTCGGGGTACGCCCATCTGCTCGAGACCCTCCGCGACCCGCAGGTCACCCTCCCGGAGCTCTCGGAGGGGGGTATGTCGGGCTTGCTCACGCTTTCGCGTGGCACGGCCCTGTTGCTCTTGGTAGTTTATATTTTGTATTTGTTCTTCCAGGTACGTCCCACAGGCCCATATAACCGAACTCGCTTATCGAAGGGTGTCGTTTAGTTAAAGACACACGCAGATTACTTCAAAGCGGAGGAAGAGGATGAGCCGACCGAGGCGCGCATGAACATGGTGGCTGCTGGCAGCGCGTAGGGTCAAACGCTCGCAGACGAAAGATTTACGCTTACGGATACCTTCTCGCAGGCTACTTTTGGTGACTGTTGTCACTTCGTTCTGCGCGGATTACCGTTCGTACTCGTTGCTACCGCAGTTGAGGTCCTTTATCTTACCCCAATTCATGGTTTGCTGCAGTCGTGGCGTCCATTGAAGAGGTCGCGGTGCGGTACCACATCCCCAAAGCCTTCATTGGTTTGATCCTTCTGCCGATCGTCGTACGTCCCCCCCCCCCGTCCCTTTCAAGTGCACCTGCATTGACCGGGTTACGCTTATTTCGCGCCTGCAGGCGAACGCCGCCGAGCACGTCACATCCGTATGGATGGCCATGAAGAACAAGATGGAGCTCACGATCGGCATCTGTGTCGGCAGCTCTATCGTGAGTCCTGACCCTCTTCGCATCCCTGCTGACAACGTTCTAACTCTCTATCTTTAGCAAATCGCCGCCTTCGTCGTGCCCCTGCTAGTCATCGTCGGCTGGATGTGCGTATCCTCCTTAGCTTCCTATCCTAGCCTTCTGCACTGCAAATGCATTGAGTAATGATGGCTTCTCTGATGATTCTTCTTAATAGCGCCGATCGCGAATTGACGCTCTTCTTCGCCGACTTCGAGGTGCGTCTTCCTTGCCCTGCAGGCGCCCCAGATAGGCGCTCGGTACTGAGCGCTGTTTTATTTATACGCAGACTATCACGCTGTTCATCTCGGTTATGCTCGTGAGCCTGTTGATCCAGTAAGCCTCGCACCTGTCCTCCTTGCGGTTTGTGTGGTATTGACTATGAGTGTCTGCCATGCAGGGACGGCAAGTCGAATTACATGGAGGGGGTAATGTTGATCACGCTTTATCTTATTATCGCGCTTGCTTGTACGTGGTGGCTGGGCTGTCCCTTGAGTGCGTTATGCTGACGGTCATGTGTAGTCTGGGTATCGGACTAAGCATTCTCAAAATACGGCCCCCCCGCCTCTTGCACCGTCGGTAGGGTACGGACTCAGATTCTGCTGCTATCGAAGATGCCGCTCTGCAGGGCCTCGTCCCTCATCCCTCATACATGGATATCAACTCTTATACCTCGTACTTCCGCGACCCCTGGTCTATCCAGGCATAGCGTATTTATCCTTTGGTTGTGCTCTACTGTCTGATACACTCATTTCTTGTTTTCTCTCTGATTTGACTCTGTTTTCAACTGTTAATCCATTATCAATTACATATTGTAGTACATATAACACAGCACTGATTATGCAAATAGCCCCGAACACAGGTGGGAGTAAGGGCGAATAAATAAGCAAAAGGCCTTGGAGGTTATATTGTAAACGAAGGGAGCAATATAGCCGTCAAACGGTTTATACGATAAGGTTCAGCTACGAGGATATGAGGCTGTCACCCTGCAGCTCTTCAAACTTGCGTCTCGCCAGACGGATGTTTAGTCGAAGGGCAGCGGTTTCTGCCGAAATGAAGTAAGGGATCACGAGCATACACAGACGAGGACTGTGCGTACCTATTGTGGGATCGTGAACGACGATCATCACGTACGTGTTTTTGGTCAATTCGTCAAGCACCGCGGAAAATTCAGACAACTCCATCTCGAGGGCATGAAATTCCTGACGCAGGAATCGGGAGCACGAGTATTTGAATGCTTTGATCAGCTCAGACGTGCGCTCGTAGCGGATTGGGTTGAGCTGGTGCGGGTCCGACTCCGCGTCCGGCTCCGCCTCAGGTTCGGGGTCGTGGATGTCCTCCGGAAACGACGGGGAGGTGGGGGACCGAGCGTTCTTGGGCGGGGACTTTGGGGGAGACGGGAGCGGCGGGAGGGAGGAGATGGAGTCGGAAGCGGCGGCTTCGGTAGGCGCGGCGGCGGTCGAGGTCGCGATGACGAGGAAGGTGGTGCGCTCGAAGAGGATGACTTCTGTGGCGCTGCAGGCTTCGGCGAGGGTGGTGAGGTGCCGGGAGAGGACGGCGGCATTTGGGATGAGGGTGTGGACGATGCGGGACCAGGCCTAGCGGGGTATTAAGGCAAGGAAGAACCCCGAAGTGAGTGGCGAAGCGCACCTTGTACAGACTCTCGTCGTAGATGCTAGTCCCGAATACAGTCACCCCGATCCCCGTGCTCTCCTTCACCAGCTCCCGCCTCTTCCTCTCCAGCTCCGCCGCGCGGTCCCGCACGAGGTCCATCTTGTGCACGAGCAGGAACACGCGGGCCTCGCTCGAGAAGCGCTTGAGCGCTTCGAGGCAGTCGCGGTAGTACTCGAGGTCCTTGGCGCGGTCGCGCGACTCGACGTCGAAGACGTAGATCATGACGCCGACGTGCGAGAAGATGGTCGCGCGCTGCGTCGAGAGGTACGAGTCCATGAAGGCGTCCTGCCCGCCGCAGTCCCAAAGGTTGAGGATGAGGTCGCCGAGGAAGCGGACGTGGTTCTGCTCGACGTCGATCGTGGCCCCGAGCCGGGCGGTCAAGGATGCTGGGTTGTTGGAGCTGCGGGTTGTAATTTTGTTAGTTATATTGGGGAAATATGAGTTATGGAGATACACACAAGATCAGGGATCTCATGGAGGTCTTACCGCTCCCCGAGGCTCCCATCAGGAGCACCTAGCAGAAACTGTAGTATCATTCAAAAGTTGTAGGGTCTCTATGATAGACTGATACCTTTTTCTTCATGGCTGCAGTACAGGGTGGCTGGTTGGAGGCGAATGAGTCAGATGCTGTCGCTGTATCTCGGTCTATGTCATGGTCGCAATAGACAAATATACATGCACTGATCGCCCTTCAGCGCGACAGTATCACGTGCAGCCAATATTGCTTGTTTCAAGTATTGCTGATGAGCAACAAGTTGATACTTGCTGGGCATAAACGATGAAGATTCAAGTATATGTAGTGCTCCATACAAATTACAAACGCATCGTCCCGTATGTTGGTACATCCTGCAAGACTTCAGATTCTTTTCAGTTCGCTGACCTGTCCTTCAGAACTTGCCCTCTCCCCATCTTCTGGAGTGCGATGCCATCTCCACAGCAGCAGCACCCCAGTCTTCACCGTGGTTGTGACCCTTGTTCTCCCCCTTCCCCAGTCCTGCACGCTCCAGCGCTTGATCTTCCGTGAGCGCCGTCAACACGCCAAAGATGACAGGTACACCAGTGTCCAGTTGCACTCGCATCAACGCATGGGACACGCTGTCGCAGATATATTCAAAGTGCATGGTGGACCCCTTGATCAGAACGCCGATCGCGATGACAGCGTCGAAGGGCTGGCTAGGCATGTTCGCAGTAGCAGACGACGCTCCGGGTGCCGGGGTGCCCGTGCGTGATCCAGGTTTTGGCGACGACAGAGACATGAGCCCGCCCAGCAGATCGGTCGCGGTCGCACCTGCCTGAACCTGCGCGCCGGAGATGACCCTGCACACGAAACCGATATGGATAACTGCTTGACAGCGAGAAGGCTATGTTCACGGTGAAACGCACTTTTGGACTGCGAGAGGCAGCTCGAAACTCCCGGGCACCGTCTGGACGACGATGTTGTGCTCTTTCACCCCGAGCGACTTCAGTTTGGCGATTGCGCCCGCCAGTAGAGCGTCAATGACCGTCTTGTTCCATCTGGCGTGGACGATGGCGACGCGCAATGCTGAGCCATCATACTGAACCTCGGACGGTGCGAGCCCTTTGATACCTGCGGACATGGTAGAGAGCGTTATGAATGCTCTATATTTAGATGCACAGCAGTATACCTTGTTTGCTTCTGTTTACTTCCGTCTTGATTTGGAAATACTCATTAAAAGTTTGGGTGGCAAGTGATCGAGGGAGGCTGAAGCTTGCACCGTCCAGAGCCGGGCAGACATGGCTGTTACACCCTCTGACGGCAACCTCGCTAGTACGTCTAGCGCATTCAATGCGTCGCACAGATACTGATGCACTTCTCACAGCGACGTACACCCTTATATATTCCTTCCTGACCAGAAGGTCCCACCAAAAGGCGGCAGACGCGGTCAAGAAAGCAGCCAAAGATGTAGTCGTCCTTAGGGATGACGCCGACGCGAGCAGTCCTACGCTAGAGGACATAGTCAGGCAATGGAAACTTCTGTCCGGCCACAAGTCCTCAGAGCCGCAGACGCAGCCCAAGGCGAAGGGAAAGGCGAAGCCATCGTGAGTGCCTCTCTATCAACCTATGGTATTGTTCTTCGTACGCCCTTTTGCTATATGTCGCGTTACAGGAGTGATGATGAGGACTCAGATTCATCGTCGGATTCGAATTCGGACTCAGACAGCTCAGGCTCCGACGCTGAAAAGTCTGTGAATAAATGTGCGTCTCCTTCTACGTTGTGTTATGCACATTTCGTTGCTCATGAGTTACAATAGCCTCTTCCTCCTCATCTTCTACAGATGAAAAGGGCTCGGAGTCAGACTCAGGTACGTCATTACTGGACATTTGGCTAAGGCGTCGTGTAATGCTTCATCCGTTTGACGCAGATTCAAAATCGTCCACACCCTCGCCTAAAAGCAAAAAGCAGCAAAAGATAAAGGCAAAAGCGAAATCAAAACCCCCGGCTCCTGGAAAATCCAAGACGGACCGGAAACCCTCCCCAGCCTCCAGCAAGACCCTCTCTTCGGGGGAAAAAGAGCAAGAAAGCGGCAGTAGCGATGCCAGCACGAGTTCTGACGAAAGCTCTAGCTCGGATGACGAAAAGAAGGCTAAGGGGAAGAAAGCGGACTCGGAGGATGATGAGAGCTCTGATTCCTCTAGCAGCAGCAGTGAAAGCGAGGACGAGGACTTGAAGGCTGCTGCGAAGAATGCGAAGGGGAAGAAGGCAGGGAAGAAAGAAGAAAGCAGGGACAGTTCTAGCTCCAGCTCTAGCGCAGAAGAGAGCGACAGCGAGGATGAGAAACCGGCGGTCAAGGCGAAGAAGTCCAAGTCTTCGAAGGCGGAGTCTAGTTCCAGCTCTTCGTCCTCTGACTCCAGCTCTGAAGATGATAGCGAGGGCGACAACGAGAAACCAGCGGCCAAGGCAAAGAAGATCAAGTCCTCCAAGACACAGTCCAGCTCCAGCTCTTCTTCGTCCAGCTCCAGCTCCAGTGAAGATGAGAGCGAGAGCGAGGACGAAAAGCCCGCGGCTACAAACTCGAAGAAGACCAAAACTTCAAAGGCAAAATTCAGCTCGTCCTCATCTTCTGGCTCTGACTCAGACTCCGGATCTTCGTCTTCGTCCGCGTCCGACTTTAAGGCCAAACCCTCTGCCGCCAAGAAGCTCGAGACCTCCTCGACCAAAGAGGAGACGGTGGTAGTCAAGAAGCGGCGAACCGACGATGGTGAAGCCGTGTCTACCGCAGTGTCTAGCAATGAGCGCGAGGCGTCTGGCACTCCCGCTCGAACCAGCGGCAATGAGAATGGCAAGAACAAAGGCGGGAGGAAGTCGAACGTCCCGTTCTCCCGTATAAAACCCGAGAAGGTGAAGTTCGCTGACGAGCGGCTGAAGGATAATAGCTACCAGTCCAAAGTGCGTTTGATCCTCATGTTAATCAGTTCTGTTACGAATGTATCTGCATGCAGGGAGGCCCGCAGAACGACTATGGCGACAAGGCGCATCGCGACTTGATCGTCACCAGGGGTGCTGGGTTCAGGAAGGAGAAGAATAAAAAGAAGAGGGGGAGTTACAGGGGTGGAGAGATTACGGTAAGTTTGCCTTCCTGTTTGTATTGCATCGCGCAGCCGCTTATGTGCTGTATGTGCAAACAGATGGAGAGCCATAGTATCAAATTCACCGATTAGTTCTTGATTGATCAGCACTCTGCTTACTCGTCTTCGACTAGTATGACGATGATCGATGTCGACTACACTCTAGACTCGGTCGACCCTGCTGATCATAGGAGCAGTATCTTATCTTGTGCATTGTACTAGCAGTACAAAATGGGAATCAAGAACCTACATCTCATGGTCTATGGTATGAAGAACAAGCAAAAGATGAAGCAAAGGTATCAAATACATGTCAGTAATCGTCTTCAAAATCTTCTTCCTCGTCGAGTATGCTATATGCGTGTGAGACATTGTTTGCGTCGCTGCTGCTAGACGGTCCTGGCACGATGTCATTGGGGTCGATATCATTAGGATCGACATCCTCGTCCGTGGGTTGTCGGACAGGACTGCTGCTCCCATAGTTGCTACTGGATGGTTGTGTATATCGCCGAATGTTATGCTCTCGGCGAAGCTCCGCCTGCTCATCGACCGTTGCGCCCGCAGCTACTGCCATCCACATACGGATAAGCAACCTGTGGAGGGAACAGCGTCAACCGACGGGTGTAGAAGGCGTCAATGTGGGACGTACTGCGCGTCGTCTGCTGCACACATCTCGTTAGGGTCGGTATCTATCCCGAGCCCTTGCGCGTCCTCCTTTAGGGAAGGTCCCATAATGTGGAGCAAAGAACAAAGGGACTTGATGTCTACCATGTAGATGGATGATGGGCGTGCAGCGTGGAGTGGCGAGTACGGTCGCTCGCGAGAGGAGGTGCTGCGACGAGGGGAAAGTGACCTCCGGCGTGATCTAGGATCGCGAGGATTCTACAGGATTGTTGAGCATTGCGACGGGGTCATCAAGGGATTCCTTACGAAATTGGGAGAGTGTCTGTAACGTTCACTGTGATATAAGAAAGAGTGTAGGTCGCCTGTTTGCCATTGCGTGGCGTCGATATCAAAGAAATGGAGCAAAGTGGACACCTTTTCCCTGTCGTAAACGAAGAGTATCGTTTTCTCAAGACTACTGAATAGTTCTTTCAGCTTAGTTCTGAGCTCGTTCAATGGGAGCGTCTCGGTGTCTGATAATTTCTGGTAAAACATGAGCCAAAGTAGGGTCCAGAGATGCCATGATGATGACTGACCTTGCGCTTGACCGACCTTCCATTCTGTAAGCCTCGAGTCTCGTGGACCTCGAAGTGGCAGACCTTGTTGGGAGCAGTCGGGGCGAGCAAATCCGCCTCATACCAACCACAGTCAAGAATACGAGGATCGCGGTCACGTTCGTCCTTTGTTCGTACATCCTTTATCCATACATTCAAGGAGAAGGATAAAACCTTGAATTCACTCATCCACGATGAATCCCTGAGAGAGAATTTTGAAAGATCAATCGAGTCTTGTATGAGACGATAGATGACCCTGCAGCGTCACTGAGCACTCCTTGATATGTTTTAGTTGCAGATTGAATTATCACCTCTGTTGTTCATATATCGCGCGAGTGCTCCCTTCGGCGCTGCTCGATGAAGCATAATAGCTGTTAGCCTGGCTATTGTCGTACTCCACCCTCTGGCCTTTCTTGTACCGTACTTCGTATTTCGCAAGTTTCCTCTTCAGCTCATCTTCTGTCCGAAAGCATATAGGGCTGAGCGAAATGAATTCTGACGCGGGAAATGGATCCCGCCTGGCGAATGGGGCATAGGTTGGGTACCGTTGTATTAGGGTGCGCATTTGATCTACGGATAGATGGAGGTACGAAGCTCCATTGGGGCGGATTCCTAACAATTATTGATCAATAATATTGCATCCCGTCCTCTTCCTTTGAAGCATCACCACATGGGAGATCATCACGTACCTAGGACAAGTTCGGCTTCGTCGCTTGCGCCTTGCCGAAGCAGGGACTTTGGTCCTGCGAGGTCCGCACAGAGAGGATCATCGGCCTTCCATTTGGGCCTGAAGAGATACAGGGAAGGTATCGCACAAAGAAGGTTTACACCGCTTACTTCGGCATAAGGTGCCCTCCAAAGCCACCAATTTGATAGTAGCTTGTCATTTCCATGGTCGTAAGATCGTCGAGCGAAGTGGTCTTGGTCTAAGAGAGTCAGTCTGAGAACATACTCGGAAACAAACACGCAAGATATCGAAACAAGCACTTCCTCCAGCTGACAGGGAACGTCTTGCAGGGCCAACTTTGCTATATCCTGTCGCTAACTTAGATAGGTATGGACAACCACTAATCTTGGAAAGGAGTGCTATTAGCTCGATAGCGGGTCACGGCAGCCTACTACCATAAGGCCATAAGATACAGAATGGACGATCAACCGTGACCAAAACCCCGAGCTGAAGGATGACTTCGGCGAGGTAAGAGCGTGTGTGCAAGGCAACACGGCCACGACCGTTTATCCGCGCAACTTTCCTATCGGCCATCCTGTGCAACGCAGTTCCGTCTTTCGTCTCTCTCTTCTACTTTCCCTTTCGCTCGCTTTCGCTTGTACTCCCTATAATCGACTTGTCCAAGCGTCTCGAAGATATCCGTCTGTAAACGCTGGGAACGTAGGCGATACCTAAAAGCACCACGATCTGAATGTCTCATCCAATTTCGCCGCCTCCGGTGCCATCTTCCCAGTCTTCTACGGGCGTCCGACGGCACCACACAATTGGTGCGTCTTCCCGGGCTGGTAGACCAAGTAGCCGCGTCCCGATTTCAGAGGAGACGCAAGAGGCGCCTCTTGGCGATGAAGATGAGTTTGTAGATCAAGACTGGATCGGCGGACTGGGCGCCGTAGGAGAGAAGAGTAACTTGCACAGACAAGCTTCGCTGCCGACTCGCTATAACCGGGGTGAGCGTTACACGATATTGGCTTCCATCTCACGGCTAGTGTGCCAACTGTGACCCTTCATTCGAACTGTAGGTCTCAGGCAGCCGGGCAGCCTCACTCCGAGAGGTATAAACAGTCTGACTGCAATCGCTGGTCACGACGGGGACGAGGAAGACTGGGAACGCGACATGAGCAGGCTCAGAAACGAGGACGAGGTAGGGCTGCCCATGAATATACGATAGACAGCGAATCTGACCAGCAGGATCTCAATGCACCTCATGGCCAGCTGTCGTCCTCTGGCGAGCACGGTCATCAGCTAATGGACAATAACGGATCCCCCCTCTCGCCTCACTTTGCGCCTTCTCAGATTCCGTCTCCGCCACCTGCAGGTGTGGCAGGCGTCCGCAGGCACCAGAGTCTTACTCTGGGCGCTGCTTCGGCTGGCGTTAGGCATATGTCCTCTGGCCTGCGAAGGGCCGGTACTCTGCACGCGGGTACCCAACTGAAGAACCATCCTGGTTCGGGTTACCCTCAGAGCCCGAGTCCAACCAATGCAGACGAAGGGTTCGAAGACGAGCAACATGCATACGAAGACGATTCATATTTTGCCCGACAGCCCCAGGCTCAGCAGGGTTCTGGTCAGTATCCGACGAGTCCTTTGGGCAGTCGCTCACCCTGGAGTACTCCAGGCACCGAATGGCGTGCACCCGGTGGAAACGGCACTTCCAGTGCTTCCATCGATGATGTATCCCGGGCCTTATCCAATCTGGAGATCGCTGGTAACATGAGCCAGAATATGAACCAAGCCTATGCGAACAATTATCCAGCTGGGCAATCTGCTCATCCTCCTCGCTTTAACCCGGCGCATCCCCCTCCTGCGCAAGCTCCGGGGGCTGTGCGAGGTAACAACGTAAGGAACGACAATCGCGGAGGGAAATTGCATCTGGTCACCGATCTTGACGGGCGCAAGACTCCATCGCAGGGCCCTGTCAGTGCTTCGGCCTATGTGCCTCCTGTTGGACAGCAGATTGGGCAACAGCAGCGTGGAGTCAATGACAGGAACGACCGCGACCGTGAACAGCGGGATCAAGTCCCGATTACTGCCACGGGCACCACAACTTGGGACCAGAAGGAACGACTTCTTGGAGGTCGCGTCTCGAACCCCAATCTGCATCAGATCTACAACGCGCAAGGCGCACCTGGCAAGGATGTTCCGGTTGTCCCTCCCATCCCGACGCAGTATCTTCAGAACCAGAATACAGGAAACAATTCACAAGGACCCAGGCTGGGCGTGAATACTAACTTCGGCGGATACAACCCACTTGCGCAATCTGGGATGCAAGGCCAGATGAACATGAATAACGGAGCTGTGCCGGGATTCATTACCTCGCCCATCGACGTGCCCACTCTGATCGCCACGAAAGGCTACAATCCAGCGGAATTCGACACCAAACCGGCTTTCGTTAGTGATCAGCGTGTCTGAATGGTGTGACTATCTAACTAGTGCACGATTGCAGGCTAGATACTTTGTGATCAAGTCCTACACCGAGGATGATGTGCACAAGTCCTTGAAGTACGAGATCTGGAGCTCCACCGATCCAGGCAACAAGAGGCTGGACAAAGCTTTCAAGGAGACCGCGGGCCGGGGTCCAATATACTTATTTTTTAGTGTGAATGCGAGGTGAGTATCTCCATCCCAGTCAGGTCCGGAGCGTCTTATAGAGTCCTTTGCGCAGCGGACACTTCTGCGGCATGGCAGAGATGTTGACACCCGTGCGTTTACACTTCTACTTGACTAAGAAGTCAGTGCTGATCTACGGAATAGGTGGACTACACCCGGAGTAGTACTGTCTGGGCATCTGACAAATGGAAGGGTGTCTTCAAAGTCAGATGGATCTTCGTGCGCGACATTCCTAATGCCAATCTCCGGCACATTCGCCTGAGGTAGTTACCAATGTGATTGTCGCCTATCATTGTCGCGTCTAACTGTTCTTCCCTTAGTAACACTCAGGAGAGGAAGCCTGTTACCAATTCCAGGGATACCCAGGAGCTTCCTCCCGAGGCTGGTATGGAGATGCTCAAGATATTCCATACCCATCCTGCCAGGACGTCGTTGCTTCAAGACTTTGCCTTCTACGAGGTGCGCGCTTTCTATTGGGCATCTAATGTCTCTGTGCTGACTGCCACATAGCTTCAAGCAATGCAGAAGCTGCAAGCTTCGATCCAGCAACAGTCGTCGCCGAACCAACAGCCGATGACGTTGCAGTCTTCCGGACAAGTATCTCCGACCAGCCCGCAGCAACACCCGTTCGCGATGTCGAACCCTAATGCCTTGGCCTATGCGTCACACTCTCTCCAGATGCCCGGCATGAACATGAACCCATTGATGCAGATGCAGATGAATGCCCAGTTCACCAACCCCGCAGCTATGCAGAGCGTCATGCGCCATCCCAGCCCGGTTCCCGTGGGTGCGCAGCAATTTATGAACATGCCGAACATGGGAGGCATCCCCGGATTCCAGTGATCGTACGGCCTCTGGGTCAGAAATGAATAACGGTAGGAATGATACTGAACGTGTGCCTGCTTTATAGATATTTTCCTCTGCTCAATCTGCTTTCATCTAAATTGTATACTTTATGCCATTCCTCTGGGTGTTTCCCTAGTATCGGATAACTGTACCCCTGGCCTGTCTACGCTGGCTCTATACTTCCGTTCCAATTGTCTTGGTTAACCCCCTTGCGCACTAATAATGGACACGGGACAGTGAACGGACGTGGACTATCGCTTTCGTTCGCTATCTTGTATAGTCGCTCTCCTGCTGTTGTATGCCCACAAATTCAACGGTTTATTTATGCGGAATCCTTGATCAGACTTGCCTCAGCTATTATATAAGGCAATGGTGTCGAGTATCCTTCATCGGATGAGGGTCGGCATTCGGCGCAGATGGCTGGATGCTAACTAAACCACAACCATGCAATCGCTATGCCCCGCCCTATATCTGTTAATGAATTCCGAGAGCTTTTCGAGCGCTGCACGCCTCCAAGGGGCTGGCCCAAGAAGCTAGGTCCGTTTGACTCTCTTCTTCTTCTTTTACTTTGGGCTTATCATATGCCGTTCATTATTTCAAGCCGTCGCGAACTCAGGCGGTCCTGATTCGACATGTCTGTTGTTTCTCATAAGGCGATTGCTGCAAGAAGTCGCAGGAAACAAGTGCCCTGAGTCCGTAGTGTCTCTAACTGTGGACCATCGACTGCAGAAGATCTCATCCGCTATGGCGGAGCATTGTCGTATGACTGCGGCGACGTTAGGCGTAGAACATATAATGATGCATATCCCCTGGTCCGAGCCTCCGTTTCCCCCATTGCCCACGCGTTCTTTCGAGAAAATAGCTCGAGACGCTCGCTACCATGTTTTATTTCAAGCTATGACTCACTCGGGGTCAGAGGCGATTGCTTTTGGACATCACGCCGATGACCAGGTTGAGACAGCTCTCCTGCGGTCTGCTATGGGCACTACGGAGTTCGGTGCCGCCGGAATGAGGCCCTGTCGCAGGTGGGGCATGGGTTTCGGCGACGGTGAAGGCGCACTAGGTTGGGCTGGTGGCGAAGGAATGCGGAGATGGGTTGTGCGTCCTTTGCTAACTGTTCCGAAGGCGAGTAACCATGTATGGCATCTCCAGAGAATGATAGTAACACATTCTAATAGAGCAGGATTCTTGCAACCTGCAACGAGAATGCGCTGGAGTATGTCACAGACCCAACCAATTTTCAACCTGAAGTCACCATTCGAAATGCCATACGCCAGTCTCTGGCCCAACAATCGCCACAGGAAAGCTCAGGGAAATTGGCCTCTCCTTCTAGCAACCGATCCCTCGCTACTCAGGACTCAGTAGCAAACGAAGATCTTCGACTGTCCGCTGCATTTTCGCTACGCCAGGGTTTGGAACATATGTATACAGCGGTAGAACTGCTTTCCAACAAGAGAGAGCTTATAGATAGCATCGGTATGCCCGTTGTTGGGCTCTCGAATCGCACTCACGGATACTGCATCTAGTGACGCAGAAGCTCCAATACTGTAGGCGTGAGTCCCCGCCTTCGACGGTCCTCCTCGCAGTTCCTCCTCTCCATACAGTGGAGGACCCATCGGTCCAGCGTGCTTTGGTACTCCGCGTTCTCCGATATGTATCCTTTTATCCCTGGGGGTCTCTCCGCGCGGAAGCGCACAGACGAAGTGCCAGCCTCAGCAGGATTGTCGATAGCCTGTGGTGCCTAAGCCCACAGCGAAGAAGTTTTGTGGGAGGAGGCGGAGTTCTCTGGACACCGGTCACCCTAACAAAAGGTGGTTACATCAAGATGGAACAGAAGAGCGTCCCGCAGAAAGTACAGGATGCCTCTCTAGCCTGGATTGCATCCCGACAACCACCCCTTGCCAAGTCGCTCACCTACTTGGACGCTGGTGCTCGAAAGGGTCCTCTGCACGTCGACTTGACCCATTTGATTCACACAAGGACTGGTGATGCGGAAAAGATAGAACTCCTCTGGGACTGCCGTTTCTTGCTGCAGATCAATCTGAACAGGCTCACAGCCATCAAACAACAGTTACAGTCGAGTACGAGTTCTCAAGACTATCGTCTTATTGTAGAGCCCGAGACACGGTGGTATCTCCCTCGGGTTATGTTGTACTGGAACGACCGATCGTTGGTACTGGCCAGGCCCAAACGCTTGTATTCGGCAGATACACATGCCCTAAAACCCTGCTCGGAGCACAGGCTAACTATTCGTGAAGATAACGCTATTACCATCGAGGAGGCTCGCGTCCTAGATGCCCTATGATTGCTCTTACTCCAGGCCGCTTAAAATGAATCACCATGAATTACCACTCGCCGCCCTATCACGCCACCAGCCCTCGCAAGTCCAACCTGCCCCAAGTGTGTCTTCTTAAGGTGTTTAATACACCCGCCTGCGAACAGAGAATCCAGCTTCGAAGTTCTACGCGTCGGATCGGCTGTTGGGACACAGCCAAGTTCTCTTACTCAGGTACTGAGGCATACGAATTGTTTCTAAGTTTCGAAGCAGCCCCAAAGTGTCACGGTTACTCACAACTGTATTATCCAGCTGGTTGTGTGTCATTCATGATACTCACCATACTCGTCGATGCCGTACTACTGGTAGTGTTATCGCTTTCGTAAGGGGTTTTGCGACATGCACTAAAGTCAGAAGCGGCTACCATCCAGTGGATGAGGGCCTGGCGTTGACTATTTCCGCCAGGTATAGCTACGCCAGTAGTCGTCGGCGTCGGAGCTATCGCCGCTGCTTGGTCGACAGTTATTTCGACGCGGCATGATCGGAGGGAAAGGCGGTGCGAAACAAGTTCCAAGGCGAAGATGGACCAGCCCTTGCCATCCTCAGCATAAGTAAGAGCTACACATTATGCGTGGCGTACGAGTGATTCGCCAGTTCAGTGTTGACCGTTGTACCATAGGGACGGTCTGAAATTGCGCACACAGGTGAAGGACGCTCATCGAGTGCTTGCAACCACCCATACCGGAACGGTTCGCTAAGTAGAATAAACGAAGCAAAGGATCTCCGGACAACGATTGCCAAGGTCACTCTGCGTGGTTCCAAAGAATGTAAGTATGTATGCCTAAGTAGATGCCCATGTTTCTCCCCTACGGCAGTTTAAACGCGGTCCTGACCTTTGCCGCGATAGGACATGACTGGCAGGGGTGCACGACAGACGCAGGTTTCCTCGGAGATGCCATATGTATACTTGAATGGGAAGCAGAGAGCGCCACTGATTCCATATGCTCCGATGTGGCGTGTCCAGCATCCTCATTGTGCTAAGTGGGTTCCGAACTACGCAGATCCTCATTGTCTTCCTTATAGTCGCAGGTTTGCTACCCCAGCATGTATCTCCCCCGGGACTTTCGAATCAAGATATACGCACTAGAGGTGTTCTCAAATCCAAATACATAGCTGACTATTCCTCGCACAATGTTTATACATTGCTAAAGGGATACAGCAGGGAACTACACAAACACTTGGCAGCACTGCCTGGGGGATCTTCCATATCGTCCCCGACTTGAATGGAGGCAGGGCTCATATAACAGAGTCGTATTTGTGATACTCATATGTAGTCGTCCGGATATCCCATAGTGCATATGGTACTTTGCTACATAACTTTGTACGAAATACATAGTTGAATTCTGAAGCTGTCCGAGAATGGATCTAGAGATAAAGGGATGCACACGATACAACTATCAAAATAATCGTGCTTGCCTGTATCCGACGGAACGAAGGTTCGGAGGCAAGCCAATACAACAGTCAGACCCTCCCGGCCAGAAATACAGGTATATGAACGAGATATCGTGGGCGGAAGACTGTTATGACAAGAGTAGCAATAGATATTACGAATAAGTTATGCGAGATTGGAGGAGGGCTCACGGGCTAGTCCTATGTCGGGGGAGTGTAAAGACATAGCACACCCGTCGTGCACGGCGCGGTAGGCATCGCGGGGTGTCGCTCGGACACCCTACTAGTTCAAGTAGGCAGCTTTATTGGATCCGTAGACGCCGGTTTCGACAGGCTGCGCGGTGATGGGTCGCGGCCTCTCGGAGATCCCTGAACATCGGTCATATCATCTTCCACATCCGTGTCTCCATCAAGATCCATCTGGTCGAAATCGACGTCGAAGTCATCATCGTCGCTGTCCAGTCTCTCTAACCAGCCCGCTAGCCATCCGCGTATTCCGCGTATACCGAGATATTCGACGTTTCTCGCCAGACCGTCCCATTTGACGTCCCCACGGATCAAGCACGCCTCGATGTAGTCTGTCATGCCGAAATACATATAATGGATGAGCAGACGGATCGAAGAAGGATCGGGAACAGGAAGGTACACGATTGGATGTCGAGGTGAACATGGCAACAGGTGAGGGTAGTGATATGACGATGGAGGGGCATGGCGGCGTAGAAATGGCTCTTCCGACGGAGACATTGGCGTCACAGGTGATGGACTGGACGGCGGTGAGGGTGAGGAAGACCTCGTCGGCGGAGGAGGACTGGCGGGGGACGAAATCAAGGTGGTGTTGATAAGATCAAGCGGGTTGGATCCGCTGAATAGGGCACGAAGGAACGACGAATGGGCGGACAGATAATCCATGTGTAACTGAAACGATGTCTTTAAGCAACTACGCTTGGGACAGAGTGACAACTACTACGCACTTTCATTACGATACGAGGAGTAATGTTTAAATTAGGCTCGGTCGCACGTCTGCCTAGAGGGTCGTGACCCTTGGGATTCGAGTAAGCAAAACCGTTGGAGATTGACGACCGAAGTGCGGAGGCATCAGCCTTTGGCGGGTCAAAAACCGGGATGACTGATCGATGAGCGCAGCTCAGCGGTCACACAACCGGTCCTCATATATCAGAAGACATGCTTACTCAATGTACAGTCAGTCGTTTCCATATTACCCCAGTAACAGGGGGCCAGCCGATGGAGTTGGTCCATAACGTATTCAAGAGGAACATCTTGCAAAGCAGGAGGGGGAAAGGGACGGGGAACGAACGAGGGGCGCATTGGCTGCGAGGGTGTTGGAACGGGTGTCGGGGGAGGTATTCCGAGATGGAGAGCAGGCTTCCGGAGCAGGCTTTTAGGATGGGATAACACGGGCGCTGGTTGGCCTCCTTTATTGTCCGCAGACATTGTTCGATTAGATTGCACTTTCGCAAGTAGTACTGCGCCGTAATAGGCAGTCTAGGACCAGCAGCGAGGCAGATGGGGGGAAAGATGAAATCAGACGATGAATCAATTTATAGCTGTGTCTTTTACGACGGACCTGCTGCGTGTGTGTCGGAGACCGGGCGATACCAAGGGGTCTAGCGAGCAACACAGCGCAGTTTAGCGTTCTGCATAAATATTTAGTAACGGATGTTCAACGTCGGCTCGGCATTGAACGCTTTTCGGGGGTACTTGGAGCGTTGCGTGAATGTTGGTATTGTCTCTCGGAAGGCTTCCGAAGGAGGGGTGTCCCGCGCCCTCCTAATTCGATATCTCTATTGTCTTGAGGCCTGTGACAAATCTGCGAGCCTCGTGCTGGCGATTTCTTGCCGACAGTTCGGTGATACGCGCCCTGGCGTCCCGACAGAGGACAACTGTCCACGATGAAGATCGTTATTGTTTTGTGTTTGCTTTAACGTAAGTCATGGTTCAGATGCTTTGCGACAAAGATCGCGGAACCGGCTGTGACCTGGTCACCTCCCGAACAGGAAACTCCTATGGCGGATCCTGTGTTGTAAGTACTCCTGACGAAGCCGTATATCAATGGTTTACGGCAGGACCCCCGATAATCAATATAAATGCCTGATCCCGAGGACCCATAAGTAGACCCATTTTGTCCGGAAGAAAATCGCCGATTTTGGACCTTTTGTCCGGAAAAAAACAGGCATCACAACGAAAAAGTGGCTCTAAAAGGCAACTATGGCGTGGGTACGTCTAAATTTAGCTTCCCCGGCAGGTGCCCGGGTAAATATGGCGTCGAAATGGCCAAGTCTGACCAAAATGTCCGGAAAAAAATCAGGCCTGTTCTCCAGAATCGGCCGATTTGTCTGTAAAAAATGAGCCATTGAGGGCTCTAAAGTCCCAAAATTTGTCCGGAACCTGATCAGGCATTTATACCAATTATCGGGGGTCCTTTTACGGCTTGAGATTGGCCTTTCCAGATCTATCTGTCAAAGTCGTAGGCTGCCAACATTGATCCTAATCTTGATATACATCGTACGGATCCGCCCCATCACAGCTCGAGACAGTTTTATTAATGTCAAGTCTTTCATATGAACCCAGGCCACTCAACGGCGGATGGGAGATTCCATTGCGATCACTTTATAATAGGAATGACCAACAGCGTCATCTATAGGTGCATGTGGACGCCCCTCCCGTTTTGATACACTCCCTCGCTTGAACCGGAGAATTTTCCATCGGAGGTGAGCTACACCGGCCGCGAACCAGGTTGCATTCCCCTATTGCGATCACACGCTCCAGGCGATCGACAGTGTAACTTGGTCCATTTCCAAAGGCGATAGAATCGCTGAGGAAGCGTGAGACAGGACCAGCAACATTGTAATCTTGACGGATCTTGTGGCGTTGACCCCAGGAAATGCCCGAGCCTCTTCATGAAGCAACCCTTGGGTCAGAGAAGGAGATTTGAAGGCGAAGATAGTCATAGCCCGGAAGGTCAAGGCTGTCTTCATGTTCCGTTGAATATGCCCAAACTATCGGCGCGCCAAACGGGTCTGGGTCTAAGCTTGAGTTTATCCTAGTGGATGTGGGGGGGTAGCGCTCGCAAAATAGAAGGTAGAGAATAGAATGATCTTTGGGCCAAATTATTACAAGGGCACTATATAACGGGAACCCCACCTTGAAACTTGTTCGTCGGCTCCTGGTTCTATGGCGCAGTGGGCGATAATCGTACACGAAGGAGGCATAAGCTACGTGACAAGCAAGCGCAGATGAGCTTGGACGAGAGAGTTTCTGGGTAAGGGAGATTTCCCTATGACTTTGTATCCCCCCTCAAAAACGGGACGTTGCTACTTAGCCTCTGTTGTTTTGTCCAACGACTTCACAGAGACGTGGGCGGACCATTCTGACGAACCATTATGGAAGATGAGACTCTCGGTCGATTTTGTGTTAGCCTGAGAAAGCGTGCAGAGCGTGACTAGCTAACCGGATACAGAGTAAGGGTACTGATGGGGAAGTTTGAAGGCAAATTACCGCTACTGTAGCGGCGTAAGACGGTCACCCAATAAGAGGCCTGGTAACCTTTTGAAGCGTCGGGCATACTCGCCACATTCCGGGTAAACCAGACAACAGTGTTAATGATCAATTGCCTTCATTCCAATGGGGACGCGCACCGGAAGCCAAGGGCCATCACGAATAATGATGAAATTAGAACCCACACACCCTAAGGCAGAACGGTCCAGTGGTCTATAATATAGGTAGAACACTGGTCAAGTGCATCTTCGGAATAAGGAACGGAGGCTCGCGGAGGACATCTCAGACCGAGTCCGGACCGCTGCACAAGCCTTACGGCATCTGCAGAAAGCCGACATCGAGGAATGAAAGGTAGCGAATGATACATGTAAATTTGAGGATGCTACTACATTTGGTGTTCATTGAGCGGAGGCCCGGCACTATAATTCACTGGCGAGCAGCGAGTCAGGATGTACCTGAAACGAATAGCTGTCTGCAGCTATTGAGCGGACAGGACGTGTCCAATGCAGCGCCAGTCTGGCGCCAGGCAAGCCGTGTCCTTATCAGCGTCAGCAATAAGTGCAACGTAGGCTCGCGCAGACGATACCTAGATTACTCTCAAAATGAAGCACCTTGTGCGACAACTGAGGACAGTTCTACGCACAGACCTACCTATTCGTACCCATGCAGCAAGAAACAGACGGTACCTTCTGCCACACTACCTTGTGGCAAAGCAATTTACTCTATGAAGTAAACGAGGTCCTACTTACAGTTCCCCGCCATGCGCCTCAACCATGATGGGACGCTCGCGTAGCTTCATCCACAATTACAAGCCCTGTCTTTTGCAAATTGACCGCCTATTAAAACGCAAGATTAAAACGAGAAGACAATAAGACGAAAGGCGAACTTGCAAGAAGCACAGAGTGGCGATCAAAACGTGTTCGAAGCCAGCCGTTATAGCAGAAGCTTCAAGCTTCAGGTCGGGCGGAAGCGAGAGAAGTGACGTGACGATTTCTTTACACGCGTGTGGTCACAGTAAGTATGGGGCACGGTACGCGGTCCGTTCATTCCTCCCACTGTCCCCACAACTCCCTCGGCTGGAATATTATCTATGTCGACATCAACGGCTTCCGAGATATTTGAGGCCAATCCTTATGAGAATCACCCCAACCTGACCCAGCTGGAAGCTGACGTCTTATGGGAATACGCCAAACTGAATCAGAATATCAAAGATGTAAGTAGTCATGAATCTACAATCCTTGATTCGTCGTGCTACCGCTTGCTGGAGGGCTTGTTCTGTGGAAGATCAAAAACTCTTGATGGCTCAGACTGACTGATCTCTGATAGCTCGTCATACGTACGCGACAACTGAGCGAGGGACCCGACCAAGACGTCCTGGAACGCCTGAGAGTGTTAGAGAGGAAGATGGGCCTCGTGATGACGCTTGTAGGCTGCTTTGGTTTTACCAAGCATCTATGCAATCTTCCAAACTGACGCTCGTCGCTCTACAGTTCAAAGTGTCCGCATGGGGCGTCATCAACGAAATGACAACAGCGGAAGAAGCGTCGGAATCATTCGCCTCTGCCGGAGACATTACGGCACAACCATAAGCAAGCTCTGACCGACCATCAATCACATATGTAGTCGTCACGCATTATTGTAAGACATTCTTATTCCGGGTCGTTACTAGGCAGTATTATTCATATGATCCACACCCGCCTCAGTGAAGTCTCAAAGCTCCCATCTTCCCAGTCAGCTCCGTCACATTATTGACGTCCCAGATGACCAATCTCCCATCGACACCCGTGGTGCTCACCTGGGCAACCCGATCCGCGGTGCCCGAGAAGGGCCTGATGCTGGTGATGGTATTCTGGTGCACGGTCAGCAGCTCGGTATCAGTGGAACCAGACCCGGCAGCGGACGTAGGGGACGAAGTTCCTCGGCTGTCCGCCTGGCGGAAGGTATGGAACGCAGCACTATTCAGGCGGCCGACTTGCGAACCCGCTACCCCAAAACCGCGAGTTCCACCGCTCTGCTTAGCAGCGCTCGTATCGTCCAAGGTTCCGACCAGGTGCCATCCCCCAGCGCTACCAGAAAACACTATAGGTTGGCAGTCATGTCCCGCTGCAATCAGGGAGTCTTCGGAAGTCCACGACAATGTTACGTAGGGCAAGGAGTTCAGCTTGATCGTGTAAATGACCGGTCCGCTGGGATAAACGATCGAGATGGTACTGTCATGGCCTGATTGCATCGCTTGAGCGTGTGCCTCCGTAGAAGTTGTAATAGCGGAAACTCACTGGCAAAGGCGAGAACATCTCCGGACGGCGAAAAACCAACAGCATGTACCCAGCCACCGGAAGGACTGCCGTATTCCCCGCAAACAGTATTGAAAGGGAGCCTCTCACCCCAAACAGACGGAGGGGGCCTACGACCAATGACATGTCAATTATGGGACTATTACTACCGTGACGACTAAATCACCTCGAATCGACATCCTTAATATAAGCTGAGAAGACCCGAGCCTTCATGTCAGCGCTTCCGGCTGCCAGCAGCACATTGTTAGGATGCCAATCCAGCGATAGCACAGTGGATCTGATGGGCTTCTTCAGGTGCCTCGACACCCACCAGTTGTTCTCGGAATCGTAGGAGCAGACCGCAATGGCGCTACGCGTCGTATCAGTTACCGTCCAGAGAGAGCGAAAGAACCGTGTGGTACCGACCGAGCACCTGTAGCGACAGCGAACTTATCCTCATTTGGGCTCCATCTCACAAAGGTCGCCGCACGGTTGATGCGCAGCAACACCAGCGTGGGCTTCCAGACCAGCTTCCCCGTCTGTGGGTCCGGAGTCTCTTGCCAGACATAGGCGTTCCGGTCTTGGGATGCAGTCACGATGCGATTGGAGTTGGGGGCCCAGTCGATGGAGGTGATCAGCTTATCGTGCTGTAGGCGGGGATGTAAGGTAGATCGCTCGAAACATATATGTCACGTTGCGCACTTCAGACAGGGTCTCCGTAACATTCCAATCCTTTCCCTGGCGCGAGTATATCGTAACATCGTTCGAGTTCAAGCTCACAGCAACCTCTGTGCATGACTCAATATGGCGACAAGGATGGGGAAAGGACTTCACTGACGAGAGCGATCACCATTGAATGAATGAGACGTTATCGGGGTGGCCGAAAGGGAATGGATTTCCGGGGCAGACATTGTGAGCTGTACGATTCACGCAGAGGACTAGCAGTCTACTACTGCGTATAATGGTATGCAGTCGGAGGAGTAGTTACAAGTGACTTGAAATGTGATTGGACCCATAACACCAAGGTTCCCACGACTTTAAGAAATACTATGATAGGTATATTGCAGTTATAGCATGGACAACCTTTATATCTGCATGCAGTAGCCTGTAAGAGCGGCAGCATGGCCAATGTGTGCTCGCTCGCCGACATGCCCATATAACAATGGTCGACGACAAGAAAAAAATGAAAACATATGCCGAATCAGTACGACTGTACCTGTCCTGAAGAACCCACGCCCAACGTCGGATCGCCACTGTTTTCCGCAAGATCCGCATCGAACTTGCGCTGTTGCTTTGCCCAGCGTAGGCCGCACGCATTACAGAGTGTCTTCGGTCCTTGGGGCCCCTGTCCACGTTATCAGTTAAACATCTGCGGGGAAGCTAGGCATAGAAGGACGCATACCTTCCGCCATTCCGGCGAATCTGTCCGCCCGCAAGTAACACAAACGTGCTGATCACCGAGATGATTCTTCTTGAGCTGCGAAGAGCGGAGATTAGTGAACGCTGAGATCGTACAAAGGCCTCAGTGCCATTGTACCTTCTTCCTTCGCGAAACCTCATCCGTATCGTCTTCTAGCACGGCGTCCAACCCGCGATTACCAGCATAACTAGCTGCTCGATACCCCGTACCGATACCCATCTCGTAGTTATTAGGCATACTGCCGCTCTCGTAGGAAGCGCTGTTCCCGGCTGAGCGATAGTAACTCTCGGGCACTGGTGGGTTCAACGTCATAGGCATCGAAAGCGGCATGGGCATGGGGTTGCTGTATCCCGGATAACCTCCCGTGTGGTCTGACGGTAATTGACCGCCTGCGGAAATGACGGCTTTCTGTGCTACGTGTTGTTGAAGCTCGTTGAGCCGCTGATGGAGGCGCTCGTTCTCCACTTTCAATTCAAGAAATGTATTGAGCCTGCACAATCAGCTCCACATACGGCAGCATGCATAAGTGTCATAACCCTTACATGGCCGTGTTGCGACTGGGATATGGTCTCGCCATCGCGAAGAAGCACTTGCATTCCATCTCGTCCTGGACGAAGTGGGGATAGCCCTTAAATTCGAACAGAACCTCCTTGGGGCTGGTGCTGTAGTCCCGCGCGTCCTGTGAGAACTCATTCTTGCACTTCAAACGGACGTAGCACAGCAGCTCTGTCCTGGTCCGGCATGAATCACTGAACGCGTTCAGGAACTTTATCTGGTCGTCTCCTGCATAGTGAACTAGTCAGCTTAAGGGCCGTGGTCGCATTGAAATGACTCGCACCATTCATAACATCCGTGAAATCCTGGTCTATCAGTTCCTCATCTCTCCACCCGAGCAACTCCGAGACAGCGTTTCCGCAGAACCAGATTTTACAAGCCGGCGAGAGAATCAAGATTACTGCATCCGAGAGCTCCGTGATGAGCAAGTCGGCCCAGCGTTTCCGCCTCGTAAATTCGAACGCTTGCTTCTGGCTCCCTGTGTTGCCTAGCTGCGTCGCTGACGGGCCTGCAATGGCAGTACTGGACATTGTGGGGACGCTGGTGGATGGTCCGGCCTGAGGGAGTGCAGGTACACCCACGAAAGCTCGCTGAGCGCTCGCATTCTGTCAGTCCAGTTGTGGACGCACGGAAGCAGTGCCACAAGTGGAGTGGATATGTGAGCTCGAAAAGGAATGACATCTACCAGCCCTGTACCACTCTTTACCGCCGGCTTTCTCTTGTTTCTCCCGCCGGCTCTCGAGAACAGAATCATACAGCTCCACCAACTGAGACAGTTTGCTTCCGTTCGTGTGGACCTGCGGGCAATGTGGAGCACTGACAATCTACAAATAATTATTGGACGGGTATGTAGTAGGAACATCGTACTCTACTACATCAAGAAGACCGCAGCAACCGGGTATTAGTGTCTGTCCGCTTGTGTAGTCCCAAACGTGTAGCCCCAGTTCCATAGTGAGATAATAGGATACTTCTATGACGCGCCATTATGCAAATTTACATTGAAGATGATTCAAACTCGACCCGTTTAGATGATGCAGTAGCCACCATCGACGCGCACCTCCGCACCTGTCATGAAGCGGGACGCGTCACTCGCCAGGAACACCACAGCACCTGCCAAGTCGTGAGGTTCACCCATCTATAAGGAAATACAAATTAGTGACAGGTACAGATAGCAAACGAGGAGAACGTACCCGACCCATTGGCGTAAGGGATTCCCAAGTTTTCTAAGCACGTAAAGAGTGAGATAGGCACCAACATGCCGCCTCTGCACAGACTCACCTTCAATTCCCGATCGTGTTCGAGGATGGTTTTCGTCAACTTGGTCAACATATAACCGGGACTAGCAGAAGCCCGTGACGTCACGATCAGTCGAGAAAGAACAAGGACGACTTCACACACCTCAACACGTTGACCCGGACGCCCTTCTTCGCCCACTCAACACCGAGAGACGCTGCCATATGCTTCACGGCTATTTACAGTACGTTCAACCACAATCCAGCCGCATAGATACGCCTGACCGGAACTTACCTGCTTTCGAAGCGTTATACGGCGTTTGTGGCTGGAAGAGTGTGTAAGTAATGACAGAAGATATGACGTCATGCGGCAAGTACCTGGGGAATGTTGACAATCTGATCGGAATGAGAATAAGCATCAAGGTACCCAAAGATTAGATGGGCTCAGCTCACGTTGGCACTCATACTCGAGACGAGGACGATGGCTCCTCCGCCCTGCGGAATCATGTTCCGCGCAGCCTCCCGGGCAGTGAAAAAAGCACCGTGAACGTTGATGTCGTACAGCCGCTTTATCCGATCAAAGGGGTAGCTGAACGTGGGATATCAGTCAGCGGACCAGACTACGGAGCGTGCATGGTAATACGAACTCGAAAGCAGAGTAGTTCTCCACGATACCTGAGAGGACATTAGCCATATGAAGTAAATGCAGCCGACGCTGCCAAACAGACTCACCAGCTGAGGCGACGACCGAGTCTAACCGACCAAAGGTATCCATGGTCTCGTTGAAGGCCTTGATCACGGAGCGCTCAGATGAGACGTCACATTCGAGACCAATTATCTTGAAATCCTCGGGCTTGGAATCGCTGTTAACTTAACAGATATTCAGTGATGCGCACAGGGGGGGCGTGGCAACGGTACTGACGGCATGCAGTAGCGACCAGGTCGCGGGCGGCGTCCTCAGCTTCTGATTGTTTTAGATCCAGAATCGCCATCGTCGTGCAGCCCCTATAGGCGATAGGGAAAATTCAGAACGTTACAGACATGCTGCTGAGCTGGCACTACGCACGAGTCTATGAACGCTCGACAGAACTCGTTTCCGAGACCTCTAGCACCACCGGTGATTAGGCAGACCTATCGTCGTGTAAGCAGGCGGCCTGGTAGCAACCAGACAGTAGTTCGCACCCGACCCTCCATTGAGAAATCTTGTAGAACCCTGGGTGACTTGCCCCCCTTGGCTTGGGCAGGAGCGGCATTCTGCAACGCTGGCCTCGTCGAGAACCGTGCACGAAGAGCACTGGACCCAGCGCGGGCACCGGGGCGGGCGACGACGGTTATCGAGCGGGCGAAGAGCTGGGTCGACATGGGAGATGATAGGTGAGAACTGTCGCGGGCGTAATTTTGTAGACCAAATTTAAGCCCAGTTCAAACAGACTTATGAGGTCAAGCTGGGGAGATCCGAAGGTCTGGGCTGCAGTAGTCTACTCCGGTCCGAGTGAGCAGTCCGGGGAATTAGCCGAGCTTTCCCCCACTCCTGCTCCGCCTTCTCGTCATACTGGCATCACTCCTTAGTGAGCGACGCCGAAAGATTCAACCAGCAGTCCGTAACTGTTGCAGCTGTCTGCGATGTATTCCGTCTATTATGTAGCATGGAGGCCGTAGTACGTAGTAAAACATGGGGGAACTAGAGATAAGGCAATCATAGGGGTAAATGAGAGTGGGTATCCAAATAATGTAACCGCTATACTTCCAACAAGACAGGCTGAACGAGAGACTGGGCCGACGACAGGCGGGCATGTAAATATGAAACAGGAACAATAAACGTAAGCAAGACCGCGGTGTGTGGCAATGCGGAGAGGAGGGAAGGAGATCCGGAACGCTGGGCGGCGACCTGAGGCGGGCGTAGGATTATAAGCAGGCGAACTTCGACTTCCGTTTCTGAAGCTCCTCCATCCGACTGTCGAGTTGTGCGCGGGCCCGTTCCTTGGCCCTGCGCTCTTCGTCCAATCGGCTTTCGAGAGACTGCTTCTCTTCAACGATCGAGCGTCGCACGTTGACAACCTCCCGCTTTGTCTCAGACAGTTCCCTCTGAAGGCCATCGATCCGGGTGTTCAGAGTGTCTCGCTCCCGTGCAAGCTCCGTTGCATGCATGCGCGCTTTACGGACTGTGACACGATTAGAAATTAGATAGCTGATGATGATGATAAAACACTCACGATTCTTCTCCGAGTCGCCCAGGGATGTCTCAAGACGGCTGACCAAGTCCATGTGAGCTTGCAGGTCGCTCTCGCAGTGCGAGAGCTGCTTGTTCAGCGTCTTGATCATGGCTTCCTGCTCTTCAATCTGCTTCGACTGTTCCTCAATTTTGGCAACAAGGTTGACATCAAGACTGGAATGCGCCACGGAGGTATTCGGCGACTCAGGAGCAGACTCTCGGGAGGAAGCAGTAGTGATCGCGCTGGACTGGGAGGATACAGCTAAGCCCGAGTCACTTGCGTTGGATACAGACTTTCCAACTGGAGGAGGGGGGGGAGGGACAGAGGGAGGCGGCGTCGAGGGAGGAAGTTTAGGTGGAGGAAGACCATTGGCACGAGCGTAAGACAACGACCGTTCGGGGATGGTAGGGCGGGCAAGTGTTTCGGGAGCAGGAGCATTCTGAGCCAATTGGGCCTGCAGATCTTTGACAACAGAGTCCTGCCGGGTTTTCTCCGCCAACAGTTGGTCTCGTTCGTCACGAGTACGCTGCAGGGTCTCTTGAGTTTCTGCTAACTCTGATCGATGCCTCTCCAGCTCCTCGGCCAGAGACTTTCGTTTCGATGCCTCCTTCTCGAGCTTCGACTGTTGGCTGCGACTGGCCTGGAGATCACTCTTGAGCTTCTCGAGTTCAGACTTGAGCCGCTCCTGCTCGTTGTGACTCTCGGAAAGAAGACCGTTCATACGGCTGATCTCCTTGTCCTTCTTGCTCACAACATCTTCGTGCATCCTCCGCGCATCTTCGCGAGCCAAATTGTACTCATCGCTCGCCGCCTTGTAGGATGCGAGCTCCTCCAATAGCAACTCATGATCCTTTCGCGAAGTCTCACGTTCCTGAGCGTGCTTCTCTTCTGCTGCACGAAGCATATCTTGGAGTTTAGTCTTTTCCTCATCAAGAAGACGGGCGCTCTGCGATCGAGCATCTTCCAGAGCCTGTTCATGCCGATCCTGTGCAGCTACCAGATTAGCTTGGAGTTCGGCGATGGCAGCCTGATGCTCGGAGTTGATCTTGGCCATTTCCTGAGCATGGGCAGCCAACAAGGCCGAGCGTTCTTCCTCCGCTGACAGCTTGGCATCCGCAAGAGCAGCTTCATGGGCAGCCTTTATCTCAGCTATCTCGGCCTCGTGTCGCTGCTCAACGTCCCGCAAGACTGTAGTCTGTTGTTCCTTGAGGTTTGCCAACGCAGTCTCGAGTTCCTCGCGGGCCTGGGCCACGAAAGCTTGAGACTCGTGCTGGCTGTCCTCGAGCTGTTTCTGTAGAATCCCAGTTTCACTCTCGAGACGACGGACCATGTCCTCCAGGGCAGCTGAGTGCTCTGATCGCAACTTCTGCAGGGCAGCATTGTGTTCATCCTCCTTTGCCCGCAACGCAGCAGCTTGCTCCTCTTGAAGTTTGACCAGCTGCTCGCCGAATGCCGCTTCCTTCTTGTTGCTGAGGTCTGTCAGCTCCTGCTTGAGGTCGGCCATGGCAGTATCCAAGGACGACTGCGATTCAGAGATACTGCCACGGTACTTGATCTCCAACTGCCTGAGCTCAGAGGCGTGCTCGTCTCGTAACCGCTCCAATGCCGTCGATGACTCTGACGCCTGCTTCTCTAAGGCCTGCGCATGGTCGGCACGCAGCTTCGTTAAGGCATTATAGTATTCCTCCTCGGTACGAGCCAAGGTAGCGGCGATTTCCTCGTCCTTCTTCTTGAGCGCCTCCTCTTGTGCAGCGGCGACCTTGGCCAGGGCAGACTCGTGATCCTGTTGGGCACGTAGAAGGATCTGATTGGCTTCTTCGATTCGTCTCGCCAGTTCTTCCTCGTGTTCGGCACGTAAGTTCCCAAAGGCCTGAGTGTGTTCATCCCTGGCCTTCTCAAGCGAAGCAGATACCTGCGCTAACTGCTGTCGAAGGGCCTCAAGAGAAGCTTCGTGCTCTCCTTGGAGACGCGAAAGGATAGCGTCGAGTTCGGCCTGTTTGGCTTGTAAGGCCTGTTCGTGCTCGGATCGCAACTGCTCCACCGCAGTTTGATGGTCACTTTCAGCTTGCTTCAGTTCCTGCTCGAGTTCGGCTTCACGTTGGTGCGCGTGCTCAAGAAGCAACATATTTTGATCGTGTTTTTCGTTCAGCGCAGCCAATTCGGTAGACATGTTATGTGCCTAGCACATTCGTTGGTATCAAGATAACCGCATGCTTTGAGAAAGACTGTGTACACACCTGATCACGAGACAGGGTGGTCAGCTCATCGCATTGCCGGCGGACCTGAATCAATTCTGAATTGAGTTTCTCGACCGTTTCGCGATGCTGAGACTCTTTTTGCGCCATGGACCTGCAAGGAAGAGTCACGGGTAGCCCTAGGTGAAGTGGGAAGGAACTAACCGCATGAGCTCGTTCAATCTCTCGAGTGACTCGTCAGCGTCGGAGGCTGACATTGAATCAGACCTCTCGTGCTCCGCGTGCCCGTTTTGGAAGCTTCGTCGGATGGCATTGAAATTGTGCATGGTCTTCGGCGAGAGGTCAGGATTGCCATTCGTTTGAGCTTCAGGGACGATGTCATCTTGCGACACTTTACGATCCTTTATTTGCAGTGTTCCCTCCAGTGCAGCTATCTCCGCCTCCCGTTCCTTCAGGACTTCCTGCAACCTCATGATCTCTTTCTCTAGGCTCGAAACGCTCCTCTCCCCACCATTCGGATCAGGTACACCGTTAATAGGAAGAGAGAGAGAAAGGTTAGGTCGGGAATGAGTGGACGACTGGGAGTTACTACTGCCGTGACTTGAGATCGAAGCTTTGCGAGATCGGGCCAAGGAAAGCTCCTGCGAGAGCGACTGCGACTGTGACAAGGATTGTGAGAGCGACCTACGTGGTAGTCATGTCAACATAGTTGTCATCAACACAGGTTATTGAGCGTACGTACCTCGAGTGAAGCGACTCCGACGAGGCCGCGTGGCGGAATAAAAAACGTTTGCCGGTAGCGGGACTATACTGACCTTCGCTTCCTTCTCTGGATCTGGAGCCTATCACCCGTCGCCGGAATGGTGGGATATCCGTGCTCCTCTCGGGCAGATCAGAGGTGGCTGCGTTGCTAAGCTTCGCTTCCTGAATCTGGGCGGCCAAATCAGAGATCTCGCGCAGCGCATCCCGATATTTGGCCGTGACCGAGGAAAGATCCTCCAATGTCTGCGCGTGCGTCTTCTGGAGTGCTGCAAGTTCGTCCTCCACGGATCCCTCTTCGTCGTGGTTGACGCCGTTAGTGGTTACAGCGGCAGCGCCCGCGGCGCCGTCCAACTGCAAGCTCTTGCGAGCACGAGCGACCTCATCCACCATGTTGCCGAGACGAGCTCTCTCTTCGCCGGCCTCTTTCTTCTTAGCCTCCCATTCCTGCATCTTCACCTCCAGCTCCTTCACTCGCTTCTCTCGTTCCTCAAGGTCAACCTTCCATGCCTGCCCATCGTTCTGCAGGCCGTCCAGACGAGATTGCAGAACTTCCACCTCCTTTCTACGGCGCTCGCATTCCGTCTCAAGTTTATCGACTGTACGCCGGAGTTCCTGGATGGACTCGTCGGATTTAGCAAGGCGAGCTTCGAGATCGGCGATATATTGGGACGCGTGAGACTCGGCATCCTTATATCTTGTTATCTCCTTCTTGAGGTCCGTCATAGACTCGCTCGAACTAACAGTGGTTTCATCGTATTGCTTGATCTTATCCTCCAAATCCCGGACATAAGCCTGGAAAGCTTGTGAGATCACGGAAGTCCAAAACATTTAAGAACAAACCTCGGTGGATGCTTCGCGCTCTGTCAGCTTTGCGACTCGCAGCTTCAACTCCTCAACGTAGAGTTCAGTCCGGGAGTTCTTCTCGGTCACCTCGGCTAGCTCAGCCTCCTTTTCCTCATACAAATCATTCGTATGTCTGAGCGCAGCTCTGTTCAGGCTGAGTTCGGCCTCCATAGCGCTGATGGTCTTCTCGTACTCCTCGATGACAGGACCTACGATCTCTTCATACCTTGCAGTTGCGTTCATAGCACCCGAGGTCGACTGCCGCTGCTTCTCAGCGAGCTCTCGGCGCAGCCTGGTCAACTCCTCAGTTCGGTCCGTGAACTTCTCCCGCAGATCCTCGTAGTTGCTCTGCAGCTGTACCATCTGCTCGAGCACTTTCTTTGAGGCGCCTTCAACAGGCTCGGCCACAGAGTCGTCGGAAAGAGCACCAGCGCTCTTGCCGCCACTCTCCTTGATCGCCTTCAATTCCTTTCGGAGTCTGGTGACAGTCGTCTGGAGCCATTCTACGTCGTCCCATCCTTCCTCCTTCTCGTTGATGGCTACCCGGTTCTTGATGTTCCTAGCTCGGTTGGCGTACTTGAGCGTATTGATAGTTTCACCCGCGTTCCACTCAGCTGGGCTAACACAAGCAATCATGAGTGTGTGCGCATTGCCGCCCAATGAGTCTTGAAGGAGCCTAGTAAGTTTCGAATCACGATAAGGTACATGGCTTGCTGTGTGCGACTTGGCCCTTGCAGGATCGCCGAGCGCGGATATAACGTTGCCTAGAGCCAGCAGACCACTGTTGATGGAGATACCTTCCTTGACACGCTCGCCCGCGGCTGCAGTCCGCTTAAGCTATAAGGAGGCATCGTGATCAGCATCATCTGATGAGAGAAGCACAGAAGCGACGCACTCGCTCTGACCCCGCAAGATCCACAAAGTGGAATTTCGACGTGATTGTAATCCATTCACCGCCATCATCAGCGTGTGAGCCGAGAGAACTCGGCGGTCTCAAACCACCGCGATCCATTGCGGACTGAAAGCTAGGTGTACCCGGTCGACCAAAAGTCGGTGAGGAGACTCTGCCATTGGATGGCGCATACATCGAGCCTGGCCGAGCAAGACGAGAAGGCGAGCGCCCGGTGCCAGGGAGAGGGGAGGATGAGCGGGGTGGAGGACCAGACCCAGTGTATTTCTTCTGCGTGAGGGTCAGGGAGAAGATGGCATGCGACCGCGAAGATTGAGCATTCATGTCGGTTTCGTTAGTACGCCTGATGGAGGCACCTTGACGAATCAAGCTGAACTGGTCATAAGAATGAGAACGGTGATGAGGGGTAATTGCTTACTTCATAACTTCAGGCGCATTCTTTACAGCAACCTCTCTCAATCCTGTCCAAATAATATGACCTTTGTCCTCTCGGATCTGGACTTCGCGGCGAGCGCCACTGCCATCGTCAGTAGCTAGGAGGTCCAACAGGTCTTCGTTGTAGATTTCGATGAACGACCCTTTGATAGTATAATTCCACGAATTACCGCGCTCCTCCTTTAGCGCTCTAGCCTTCTTGAATATGGTGGAGACAGCTCGTGGAATGATGCCCATGCCATTATTTGGGTCCGAGGGGTCGGCATCCAGATCCACACCTGTCATAGTAAACGTCTTGCCACTGCTAGTCTGCCCATATGCAAGTATAGTACAATTGAAGCCCTCCAAGAAATGATTGATGAGAGGTTCCGCTGTCGAAGTGAACATCTCATGTTGGGTCGTGTCCGGGGGATGAACTTGATCGAAAGTGAAGGTCTGCTTCTTCGTGGTAGCGGTCGAAGAGCTCGAGGATCCACTATTGCCGCCTGCGGACGCGGGTTGGGCGGAGACCGGGTCTACTGCGACTGTCGTTTCAGAGATGGGGTGAACGACAGCGCGCTGGAAACGAGGGGGAATGGAGGCCGCATCTTGGGTGGTCGTCGGCCGAATACGCACGGCTGCGCATCGCGCATGTCAGTGAGTGCGCTACAGCGCACAGAGTGGGAAACTCACCGACTTGGATTGAAGTTGTCGTCGCGCTCGAGGGCGCCATCGTCGACGTCGCCGAGGATGGTGTTGCCGGTAGGTAGGCAGGGAGTCCTTGTGATGTTAGTAGATTCTCCCGCGACAATTTCCTATTACGGCTCGTGTTTCCGTCCAATTTCCCCTTATGGCCCGTCCCTGCTGAATTATTGAGGTTCCTGCGTTGATCGTCGTAAGTCCTCTGGCCTACAAACTGCTCTGCTCTGAGTCTGGAGAAAACTGGGTGCGTAGAACGTGATGCCTCGCCGAGCTGGACTCCTGTGAAACCGCAGGAAACTACGGACATGCTCATAAGCAAGCGAAATCACAAACTTGTTGCGAACTGTCAATCCGAATGTGACTTTTTAGTGTCGAAACATCGTCTGCACCGTATCGCCTCTGGTCGGAGCTTGCCTTGAGCGACACCTTCTGCTGAGGAGGGATAGGCCCTGTTCTTGCCTGAGTCGCCTTATCTGAACACTTAGACTGTGTCCGTATTAATATCGACATTCCCGGCTCTTTCCTGCTTGCGACGTTGTGCTTCCCAGATTTAATGTCTGTTGGACTTATGCATACCGTATCGGACACGAGTCCGAATGACTGGCACTACCTATCCGAGGGGGGCGCTACATTGGTTCTCAGCTACAGGGGACCATCGGACGCGAGGTTTAATGGAATGGTCCTACGGTTGAGGAAAACGGACATCCGAAAGCCGAATAGCTTACCGGGCAATGCGCCAGCTAAGAATATACGCTGTGAACGTATTAATCATCGCCATGATGAAGACGAAGAGGTATCTCAAGCGCCTGATGCAAGTGTCATACAGCGCGAATGCCAGGAGAGAATCGTCGGACGTTTAATCCCCGGACGATACCTCCCTCGTTTGTCCCTCGTCGGGACCGATCCAGATTGGCTTTCGCAATTAGCGGATCAAGTGCATCGGAGGCGTCCTCTACTCCGAAGAGAAAAGGACGCAATCGATGTTACCAGGTCCAATGCGTTACTCGCTACGGATCTCACCGCAAGCGGCAGCTGGTCTATAGAAATTAAAGTAAGCGCGAGGTGCCTTCATTCGTGCATATTACGATGATTGTCCCTTCCTCAAGCCTAAGTGGGGTTTTCTCCCAAATGCGGCCCACCTATCACCGGAGACGAAACCTTACAAGACTCGCACGTGCAGATACTGCATGCACTCGTACTTGAAGTCCACCAAAGGCGAAGCTTCGGCAGAAGGCTTTTGCCCGCTTGATTTATATTCTGGTAAGAAGGAGCGAGTTGAAATCGCCCTATGCGCGTTATGGGACGAATGGATTGGCAAGGCAGGGCACATCAATAATCTCAAGATCTTTGTAGATGGTCAAACACTCACAGCCGACGATGTACGTGTCTCATCCGCGGTATTAGCTCCACCATTCAACAAGTACTTCCATTACAGCCAAAGTCCATGGAGGCCCTACGACGTGCCATCAAGGAATCGTCTTCCAATCCTCATTGCTTGGAAAGTGCCCAGTTGCGTGACGCGTTCGTTGAACGGGTTGCAGCTGTGCTCTTATCCTCCCAGTCCCTTGGAATCCTCGCGAGACTCCAGCGGACGCTCGATCCTCTTGATATTGAGGGGCTCACTTCCCTCTGGGATGGATACGATACATCCAAGGGCAACGTGCAATCTAATCCTCTCCCTGCCGAGCCTGATCCAACAATGGATGACTACGCGGCGTTTATCGACCAATATTTGACGTCCGGGAAGGTGATGGACCACGACCATCCCAGATTGGAGGACCTGCGGTATTACACCCTGTCCTACCTGCTTTCAGCTACATTCAAGGACTGTTCAATCATCGTTCGGCCCATCCTTTTCCACTCCCAAGATAACACAAACCAGGCAGACTTTTCCGGCCAGGAGCCTTCCGACTACCAGGACCCAGTCACTTTCATCGACCTTGACCCGAAGCCTATACGGAAGCTGCGCCACTGGGCGAAGTTGGACAAGGAAATAGTCGAGGCTTACAGACTTTCCGGGCAGCTGAAATCATGTTTCGAGGAGGTTGAGAGCAAATGAAGAGATGCGATAGAAGTCTTGCGCATAGCATGCTCGCAGCAATACGATCTCTAACCGTACTTATTCTTCATTTATTTGAACGAGTCATTCGTTGTACATACCAGCAATTGTCTGCGAGTTACATTATACTTCCTAGCTCTGGCAGGAGAGATCTATGTGCCCGATTCATATGCGATCGATGTGGGGAAGTGCGGGGTCACTTGATTATGATCCGGCACAGTTGGTTTCGGTAAGACCATGTCTGGGCGAAAGGCGGTCGTGCCTCTGACTTTGTCTATCCCGACGACGACCACGACGCTGTTATCAAAGCCTCTCTTGAGGGACCATGAATTTCTCTAGGGTGTGCCGACGTGCGTCTCGCCGTCTGATCCAAAGCAGTGTCCTATCCAGAGCCGGTCAACGGAGGCATGCGTCGTTCTACAATGCAGACATTGCAGGACTAACGGAAGACCAGACGGAGGTATGGATGTTCACACTGCATGCTTGTAACGATGTGATCCTGACAGACGTGTAGTTCAGAAATGCAGTCTCTGAGTTCGCTCAGAAGGAGATTGCCCCTCGAGCTGCTGAGATCGACCGAAGCAATAACTTCCCTTCAGTAAGTCAACTCCCAGCTTCGAAGTGAACTTTGGAGAATGAACTTGACAACACTCTCAGGACCTATGGGAGAAGATGGGCAGCATGGGTCTCTTGGGCATCACCGTCTCGCCAGATTACGGTGGTCTCGCTCTCGGCTACTTTAACCACACACTAGCCATGGAGGAGCTTTCCAGGGCGTCGGGGTCAGTAGCCCTCTCGTACGGCGCACACTCCAATCTCTGCGTGAACCAGATACACCGGTGGGGGACGGACAAGCAGAAGGAGAAGTACCTCCCGGATCTGGTGGCCGGGAAGAAAGTAGGGGCCCTGGCTATGAGTGAGCCGGGGAGCGGAAGTGACGTTGTCAGTATGCGACTGCGAGCTGATAAGATCGACGGTGGATACCGATTGAATGGCAATAAGTTTTGGTCAGTAGGTTGCCTGAGGCTTCGTCATCCCACGTTCGAACACTCATACATGTTTCGATAAAAGGATCACAAATGGACCCACTGCATCGACACTCGTGGTCTACGCTAAGACGTCGCCTGAGAAGGGTTCGAAAGGTATCACCGCTTTTATCATAGAAAAAGGTTTCCCCGGGTTCAGCACGGCCCAGAAGCTGGACAAGGTAGGCATGCGCGGTAGCGATACCTGCGAGCTCGTATTCGAGAACTGCGAAGTTCCTGAAGGTATATTATTGCCATCGTCGTGTTGAGCCTCGTCTAACAGCCGTCGGAACAGAAAACGTGCTAGGACAAGTAGACAGGGGCGCCGCTGTTCTGATGTCCGGCCTTGACCTGGAGCGCTTAGTGCTGAGCGGAGGTCCTCTCGGGTCAGCTCACAAGATCTGTCTCGCATTCTCGTCGCTGAATCTGCGTCCTCATGCGTTAGACTCATGCAAGCCGCCTTCGACTATGCCGTGGAGTATATCCATGAGAGGAAGCAGTTCGGTCAACCAGTCGGGACATTCCAACTAATGCAAGGTGCGCATACCTCTCGTGAAACATCGTTCACAACGTTCCTAATTACTTTCGCACCCTGTAGGAAAGATCGCAGACATGTACACCAAGCTCAATGCAAGCCGGTCATACGTCTACGCCGTAGCACGAGCCTGCGACCAGGGTAAAGTCAGCCGGCGGGTGAGTCGTAGAGCGCATATCCTCGCCGGGTCCGCGCTGAGTCGGCTTTGAGCAGGACTGCGCGGGAGCGATCCTGTACTCTACCGAGAAAGCGATCGAAGTCGCTTTGGAAGCTATGCAATGCCTCGGTGGGAACGGCTACATCAACGGTTAGTCGTTTGCTTCTTGACGACCTGCTGGGCTAAGCTAAAGGGCTTTGCAGAATACCCGACCGGTCGTATATTGCGTGATTCCCGACTGTATGCTGTCGGGGCTGGGACACAGGAGATTCGGAGAATGCTGATTGGACGGGAGTTTAACGAGCAGCTCAAATCCTAGTTCTATTCATACGGGTTATCACGGACAAGCAATGGACAAGCTAGTGCTGTATCGTACAGTCCATAAATTTTTGTCGCCGATACGAAGGCGGATATCTACTACACCATCTACACACTACCGAATGCTATTCGTGTTTAGGCTTCGGAGCTCTGACGGTTTTCCAGGGGGCACGCGCTTTGACCTTCCCCCCCCCCGTTCGTTCTTTGTACCGCTCGCCACTCGGGGTACGCCGCCGTCCAAAGCGTCCTTTATCGACCCCCTTTCATCGCGTTACATTATGCTACTACCGGCGCAGAACGGGTATAAAGCAGGCCAGCCTCGCCTCCCTCGCCTCTTCCCGTACCTCCCCCTTCTTTTAAATCCTGCCACGCAGCAGTCTTGCTTCCACCTATCTTACCTCGACAGCGAAGCAATGGCGGACACCGAGTCCCCCGCGACTCCGAAGCCCCAGAGCGTGTGCACACCCTTCCCGCCCGTCAAGCCGCCCAACCTGCCGCCGCGGCAGGCGCGCATGCTGCTGAACGTGCTGCTCGCGGACGAGGCCGCGCTGTGGGACTTCGTCGGGGCGCGCATGGGCCGGCCCTGCGCGGGCGGCGCGGACGCGCGCGCGCATGGGGCAGCCACGCTCCCCTCGGAGGGCGGGGGCGCCGTGGAAACCGCATTGGACGACGCAGACGCGAGGGCGTCACTCACGGACAAGGGGGAGGAGCGGTAAGCCGCGCCGGTCCCCGAGGGAGGACAGCACCGCTCACCCGCGCACGCAGCCCCGAGACCGCTACCCCGGCCGACCTCGAAAGCGGGGACGAACCTGGGCAGCTGTGAGTAACGCTTCCCGCGTATGACCCCGAGACTGCGCACCTCATGTCCCCCAGGGCCCGCGCGAAGAAGCGCAAAGTCGCTGCGGACGCGTCAAAGACGGATAGGACGAGGAGGGAGAGGCGCAAGACCAGGTGCGCCTGCGTGCGTGCGCGTGTGTCTTGATCCTGGAGCTAACGCACCCAATCTGCATAGCAGAGACAATAAACCCGACAAAGGCAAGAAGCGGCAAGTCCAGGTTATTGCAGAGCCAGAGCCATGCACTGATTTCGTCCAGGGAGCGGAGCAGCGACACCGATCGGTCAGTCAAAGGCCGGGAACCACCTAATAAGAAGTGCGGGACATCACCCATACCTCTCTTTCCCCTCGCTCATCTCACCGCACCCGTGCCAGACCACGCACAGCGCATATCCCAGCGCCGCCTACCGAACCTGCTGCGAAGCCATCCAGCACCGCCGAAGCGGCCAAGACAGACGGAAAGACGCCGTAAGCATCCGCCGACACCATCGCTCCGGCCGTGCTTGCTGACACGCCCCGCACAGAGCGAAACCCGCTAAGCCCAGGGCGACGCTCGCAGAGCCTCCATCGACGCGCGGGGCGCGGCGCTCGCCGCGCCTGAACCCCCCGAAACAGGAGGAAGAAGCGCTCTGAGCCGCGCGCGCGCGTGCAATCCAGTGGTGTCGGGGCCGCGCCCCGGAGGATTCGGAGCCCAAAGCCTGGTCCAGCAAGGACGAGTTGGCGTGCCAGCGCACCCGGATGCGCGCGCGATACCGGGGCATCGGACACGTCTAGCAGGTGCTCTTGCGGGATGTATCAAGCCGCATCCCGACAGCGCGCGCCGGCGCAGTTTCGACGAGCAAGTGTAGAGATGTCGGTGTGCGGTGCCAGCTTGCGCCTGGAGGGAGGGCGCCGGACGCATCGCCATCCATCGGCCGCGCGTATGCACCCCCTACTCAGCGAGTGAGTCCAGCGCAGAACGGAGGTAACGCCGACGTGCCTTCGTCTCCTTCAAAACCTCTCTTCCCGCCGACATTATGAACTTAGGTCGATGGGTTCACGCGAGAGCTTCGGACGTAACAGGACTGGTGAGAGGGTAGTGTGCAGTCGGAGGGGGGGGGGGTGATGGATTGTCAGGGTTGGACATAATAGATAGTGATAGTCTCGTCACAAACACGATTAAAGTTGATTGCGGGACCGAGCCATGTTGAAGCTAGAGCATAAGTAGTCCGCGTTCCGCCGATGCAAGAGACGAGTTCGCAGCAGTGATCCACGAGAACGGCGCTCGCCCTCACCCGTCTGGCACTCCCACCAGCGTGAACCTCGCGCATCCATAACAAACCAATCCTTCATCGGTACGGTCGACCGAGAAACAGAGCATTATTAGAGAGAACTTTTGTGGAATGCTGTTTGGTTGAGTTTAGAGCCCCGAGCGCGAGCAGATTCCTTGGTTGGCCAGCCAGCGTACGAAACGACCGGAGAATCCTGGGGAGATCCGCTTGGTACAGGAGACGCCATTACCGTGGCAATGCACCAGCTCGTTGATCATCGAATCTTCCACATCGGGAGCAGTGCAGCATTAGAAAGAGCTCCACGAGGATTGGTGATGGCAGAGCCACTCGCCTGGAGAGGCGGGCGCTGCGAGCGGGGCCCCGCCTGATTCGCGATCCTAGGACTTGGAACTACTGGGAAGGGCGGAAGCAAATCCGAGTCTGGCTCGTCCGTGCCGACGGTGGAGCTGGGTGCAGTAGGCGGAAGCTCGAGGGCTAGTGGAAGCGACGGTGAACGCCAGCTAACCAGGGTTGTCATCGTGAGCTACCTTGCTCATAGTTATCAGATGCGCGCAAGGACAGCAGGAGGGGACCCACAACGCCCGCTTGTCGATCGATGATCTCATCACGTGGCCCTGACGCGCCTTCCGTCGAACCTTAACCCTGCTCGCGCGGCCTGGCTCAAAGCATTGGCTGAAGATGCAGATACTTCCGAGGCAATCTTGCCGGCGGATAGGGTGGAGGGTGGAATGTGGGATCCCAGAAGCGGACCGCATTAGAAGACCGGCTCGGGATGCGACGTAAGGATGAGCGCAAGTTCGTGCAAACGAGGGCGGACTGTTTTGCTATCGGTATGTGGTTGGTATCGGTAGGTTTGGATTGAGAGCTGATGCGAATGTTGGCTATGGGCTCGTTTCCAGCAGCCATTTCGTTGCCAAAGGCGGGAGATCGCATCTGGGTTAATTAACCGTCGATCGCCCGATCGCCAGCTGGTGCCATCTCTTTGTGGAGCACTGCACGATTCGAGAGCAGCCATGACCAGAGTAAGCAGGCATACATCGCCCATCACTGCAACCGCGCTGCACCCTCGATTGACTAACCGTCGCATACAGTCTGCATTAGTACAACGACACTTGCCGTCAGCCACAGCAGATGCGATCTGGCCCGCCGTCAGCCAGCCCCGTTTAAGTACGCGCGCTGCCCCCGCGAGCCACGCACGCCCCTTCACACCTCCCATGGACACCCAGCCCCAGTCCCAGCCCCAGTCCCAGCCCCAGTCCCAGGCGCCGACGGAGCCCATGCCGGGGACGTTCTCGTCCAAGCTGATCCAGCCCATCTCCGCCCAGCCCGCGCACGCCCCGCCCCCGCCGATGTACCTCCCGCAGAACCCGTACGCGCTGTACAACCCGTTCGGCTACGCGCCCGTGCCGCTCACGTACGCCAGCCTCGCCGTCCCGCCCAACCCGACGTACCACCACCTCCTGCCCTACCTCGACTCCCTCATCTCCCAGCGCCGCGCCTCCAACCCCCACCCCCACCTCCCGCCCACCGCCCCTGCCAACCTCGTCTCGGGGTACAGGAACGGCGCGGCGATAGGGGAGCACTTTATCAACACCGAGGGCAGCTACTTCTGCCGCACCCCGAGCCCCGCCAGCAGGCAGCGCACCGCCCAGGCCTGCGTCAAGTGCCGCGAGCGCAAGACCAAGGTCCGTTCCACCGCTCTCTTTATTCTGTTTCGCCGTCTCATCACTCGCTTGCTTCGCCAGTGCACAGGCACGAGCCCCTGCGCGCGCTGCACCGCCCGCGGGCTCGTCTGCACATACGTCGCCCCGCGCGACAAGGACCACCGCGGGCCCGCGCGCCACCGCGCCGAGCTGCGCGACCTCCCGCCCATCCAGCAGCCCTCGCCCTTCTTCCGCCCCGCCCCGCACTTCCTCGGCGTCCCCGGGCCCGCGGGCGTCCCCATGCTCCGCGGCTGGGAGGACGACAGCGAGCCGGGCAGCTGGTGAGCCCCGTCCGCTCGTACGCGCATCGCGTGCACTTTTCACTGACGCGTGCACCACTCGCAGCCCCTCCTCCGCGACCTCCTCGCGCTTCTCCGTCTCCTCCGCGGGCTCGTCGGACTCCTCCCTCCCCCCGACGCCCGCCGACGACCCCGCGCCGCTCCCCTCGCCGTGCCTCTCCCCGCTCTCCCTGCTCGAGAAGCCGCTCCCGTCACCCCCCTTCATCGCCGCCCAGCCCTCCCCGCATCTCATGCACCCCCAGCCGCGCGCCGCAGGCCTGTTCCTCCCCTCCCCCGCACTCTCGCCCGTCTTCCTCCCCTCGCCCGCGCCCTCGCCCATCTTCCTCCCCTCCCCCTCGCCAGTGCCCACCGCGGAGTTCCGCACGAACGAAGACTACTACCGCTTCCTCGTCGCGCACCTCACCGCCGCCGCCGCCGCCGCCTCGCCGGAGGAGAGCCCCAACTGCACCTCAGAGGACCCGGAAGAAGTGAGCGTGAGCAGCGACGCGTCGATGGTCACCGTCGACCTCGCCTCCGACACCGACGCCGACGCCTCCATGGCGAGCATCCCCGCGCCGTCCTCCTCCTGGCGCGGGGGCGGGCGAAACATGGACGCAGACGCGACCCCGCGCGCGCCGCAGCACCCGAATTCGTTGCATCTCCTGCTGAACCCGCCGGTGCATGTCCACGCGGTGACGCCCTCGCCGTCGGCGCTGCTCGCGGAGTATTTGACCGACGACGTGTTGACGCCCGCGAGTACGGGCGAGGACGGGGAGACGGGCATGGATGTTAGCGAGAGCTGTGGGGGGTTCAGTTAATCTGTGGGCACAGGGGCACAGGGATTGGGCTTGGTTTAATTGTGCGGAGCGGCGAGCGAGGTTGGTTGTGTTGTGAGAAGTAAAATAATAAAATGAATGTTGCATAGCTTGTAGCTTTAGCACGCTTTCTGGAGCGCTTGTTCGTAGATTCGTTAGCTTGTGTGTATTGCTTATTGTTGGCATAGGAATAGGAAATGTATCATTAGTACTTTCTATCACCTTGGTCTGACCCACACTTTTGGATAGTATCACCAGGGAAGCATTAACTGCAATACAACCTACCAGGCTAGTAATCTACAACGATACAAACAGTCCGCATGCATAAACAGCTCAATCCCGCTCGTCCGCCCTCTCAACCTGCTGTCGTTTCCGCGAGCCACCCCTGTGAAACAGACAGTGTCAGAAACTCACAAATCAAGAACACGACGATGCACCACGTACGCCTCAGTATCCAGCCCCCGCTTCCTCCCGCTCTTCGCCTCGTCCAAGAACTTATCCAGCCCAAACACATCCGTCGTGTCCTTCTCAAACTGCACCGGGCCCTCCCGCGCCTCCTGCTCCGCCGCGCCCTCAAACCGCCCCCTCCCCAGCCCAAACCGATCATTATCCAGCGCCTTCGAGATCCCCTCCTCCGTCCCGCCCCCAAACGACTCCTCATTCCCCTGCTCAATATTCCCCCGCGCCTTATAAATCGCCGCCGCCGCGCTGCTCCCATGGAACAGCGGGCGGTCATACAGATTATACGCCTCGTCGTCCGCAAAGCTCCCCGCCAAGCTCTCCTGGTTAAACAGCCGCGAGTCGAGCATGCTCTCCTTGCTCGTGCTCGGCTTCGCCAGCCCGAGCGCGATCTTCTCAGAGATATCGCGGTTCTGCATCCGCGCGAGGTGCTTCGCGCGCTGCTCCGCGCCCATGTTGTTCATCCGCAGCTCGCGCTCGCGCTCCCGCCGCTTCTCCTGCCGCATCTGGTCGCGCAGCCGCGCCGCCTCCTCGTCCTCGCGCTCCTCGCGCTCCGAGGCGCTGCCGCCTTCGGAGTCGCTGCCGTACGCCGCGAGCCCGGATTTCATGGCCGCTTGGCTCTGGGCGGCGGGTCGTGCGGGCGCGATGCCGCTCCGCTCCTCGCGCGCGCGTTGCGCGAGCAGGCGCAGGTTCTCCTCTTTTTGCTCCTTCTCCTTCTGCGCGAGCTTTTGCTGCATGAGCGCGCGTTGCCGGACTTCCTCGCGCGCGTGCCGGTCCGCGATGTAGAGCGACTCGGAGAGCTTGGCAAAGTTGTCGTTGATGTGTACCTAGAACGAAACACAAGTATTAGCTTGATCTAGTGAAACAGCGCCTGACGCTTACATCCTGGAGACCACGCCCATCGGCCGCGAGACGCTTGTCGAGAGGGATGGTGTACCCCTTGTTGTTCTTCCAGTTCGAGATGCACGGCGGGATCATCCACTCCTTCTGCTCCTGCGCGGTGGCTTTGCGGGGCGGGCTGCGCAGCACGGGCGGCGGGGGGCTCGGCGGGCCCCGTGGGATCTTCTTGTGCTTGAACCGCGGTGGCTCGAGCGGGTCCTCCACGACCTCGCTCATCTTGATAATCCGCTGCTTCAGCCCGTTTGCGCCCGCCTGCTGCCCGGGCGTGTAGCGGATGAAGCTCGTCTTGCCCTGCGCGTCGGGCACGTTCTTCGGCTGGGCCGCCTTGATCTTGCCGTTGACGAGCTTCTCGAGCGCGGCGCGCGTGCGCTCCGTCGTGGCCTGCACTTCGTCCTCGGAGGGGCGCTCCATTTCTTTTTCGGCGTCCTCGAGGTCTTTACGGTAGGCGATCGGGATGAGGTCTTTGAATTGCGATTGCACCTTTTTGCCCTCGCGCTGACCCTGGTGCACGATGGCGTCGTAGCGGACGTTGCCCTCGGCGTCGACTTGGAGAGCAAGGGTGTTCCCGGCGGCGGTCTGGAAAAGATTGTTTGTTATATATTGGACCTTAGTGTGATCTCATGCGCACCTTCTTCTTGCCCATCTGCAGCGGATACTGGGCGACATGGCACTCGGGATATGCACCTCCATCGCCTGGAAGCAAGAGATGAGTACAAAAATATCGCATCCCGCAAAGTGGATACGCACCAAAGTCCTCCTGGCTCTGGGGCTTCCAACCCTTCCTCTGTCCATATGGCGGGATGACTGTCCGGGTGGAGATCAGGGATGTGGACTGGGATTGCGGCTGCGAAGGCCCGACTTGGACGTCGTCCTCGTCGTCCGCGATGGCTGGGGCATTCAGGGGAGCGGGCAGCACAGAGGCGAGGGCAGCCATCGTCGTAGTAGTGTACAGAGAGCGTTGTAGCGCAAGTGGTGGATCCGGCGGTGGCGATTGTTTGCCTTGTTTGTCCGCGCTTGCTTACCTAGCCACGGCATTACCCGGTCATTACAACGCGTTCAAGTCCGAATATCCAAACGTCTCGACTGTCCTCCCTTGAAACCACAGTCCGGTGCACATACAGAAAGAGTGAAGCTCTGAAGACATACTTCTGAGGCCCTGATACTACGACTCCTTCCAAGCGGTGCGGCGAGCGCCCTCATAAACCGCCGTCGACCTTGAAAATTCTAAACTTCGTTCCACTGGAACGAACCTTCAATTAAATACGACGAGAGTTCTCACTGCGGCAGCGACAATGCACAGGGCTTTGGCAGTGCAGGACATCCTTCACGAGATCTTCGTGATGCACATGGCCGTGCAGCTGCCGCAGACGGTCTCCTTTCCTCGATACGGGTGGGAATTCGCTTGGGAGCCAGAAAATCTTCCCGAGAAGCAAAATGACTTATATCACGCAGCGTTGACGTGTAGGACATTTGCCCCTGCAGCGCTGGACGGACTCTGGAAATGCATGGACAGCCTTCTTCCTCTTCTGCAACTCCTTTCTCCTCTGCGAACAGATGGCTTGGGTACCTGCGTGAGTGTTGATACCAGTTGTACATCTCGGATTGCTCTTAGATTTGAGTCCCGTCCAGGTCATTGGAGAACATATATCTCCCCGTGAGCACCAGAGCTTCAAAGCGTATGCACGTCGTATCAGATGGATGCGATATACCCCGGACTCAGAGCTCCATAGCGCCTTGATTTACTTGTCGGACATATTTCCGTCGCCCCTTCTGCCTCGTATTCAGGTATTTCAATGGCGCGGCGTACCGTTTGATCCTGGGGTGCATCTCTTCTGCCCCTCAAATGTGAAGATGCTAGACCTGGCGGTTGGTCCGGGGCAAGACAGCGATACAGCTCTGAAGAGCGTTCTCATAGATATGAGCAATGCATCCCCTAGCGTTGAGCACCTGCAGTTGCGTTCCGAACGTCTGGTAGCCTGTTTGGACGAATTCTCTTCATGGACAGATCTACGCTCGCTCACCCTTGTAGGATCACTAATCGTCCTCGACGACGACAGCTTTCGCGCCATCTCGCAATTACCGTCCCTGAATAAAATATTTGTGCAAGGGGGCGTCTTGAATATGCGTATGCAACCTGTCGCCTCAGGCTTCCAATGCCTCAAGCAAGTACAAATTCGTGCTGCCAATGCGGAGGGCATAACGCGTCTCCTCCGGTCGCTACCTCAAGGTCTGAATACTATTACTGAGATTGACATTTCCCTATCCTCCTCGACGGGGGATTCCATAGAGCACCTAGAGCTCCTTCGCGCTCTTCACTTCCCGAGACTCCGCACGGTCAAGCTAAATTCGGCCCTGAGCCACGTAGACGACGCTGCTCTGTACACGGAAGACGCACTTTCTTCGCTCATGGACTGCAGACAACTTCGTTCACTCGACGTTATGTGCGACCACATCGCGTTCCGCACAACGGACCAGGCTGTCCGCAAAATGGCATTGGCTTGGCCGCGCATCAGGCGCCTCTCTTGGATACAACGACAGGAGCCAAATGTTATCCCGGAAGACCTACCGACTATCCTCTCATTTGAGCATTTTGCGAGGCACTGCCCATCCCTTCAAATTCTGGGCCTCATTGTGAATGCGAATGTTACATTGCCCAAGCGTCCCCCGGTGTTCTCGCATAACCTGTGGAAACTTGATATGATGGAGTCTATTGTAGGGGAGGAGGGGATAGAGGCGGGTCCAGAAGCACTATGGCACCTGACGGATGTCGCACGGTACTTGGATTGCCTGTTCCCTGCCATTGATACTTTGGAGGTAGATGCGTATACACCTTGGGAAAAAGTCTTCCACATCATAGCAGCCTGTCAGGCTGTCAGGAAGGACCAAATAATTAGGGAGACTCGAAAGTAGGAAATGCATACAGCGTGGAGGCCTCAGGTGTGGAGTTGAATATGATAATTCATAGTCGAACCTTAAGCTCTGTGGCTCAAAGCATTTGGCACATCGGCTGTGCTTTCTACGTGCGCATCCTATTTTCATACTGCGTGCCCGGTGATTCTGAAGCGCATCCTCCGTTGACGTCTGCGGGTTGCTCCAGCATTCTGATCCCGCCACGAGCCGTGCTCCGTCCTTGGACGCTGCCGAGCATGGGTCCCTTCTTTCACGTCTCTTTGCTGGAGATTTTGTGAAGTGAATCTCTCGTTGGCGCAGCCTTGTGTGTATGGGATCCGCCGGCGGACTGTCGTTGGAAGCTGCCGAGCATAAGTACCTGTTTTTCTCGCGGAAGGAGAGTTTTTGAAAGGAATCTGAGATTCCTTTCAAAAACTCTCCCTCGAGGTTTCTTGACGTTGCTCGAGCACCTGATCCGCTTGCGGTCTGTCCTTGGAATCTACCGTGCATGCCGCGAGTCAAGTCCTGATATAAGGGAACTGCACCGCTGGCATTGTACACGCCCTCGATCCCGCCGCCGCTCAACGTTCACTGGGGATGCGACCGTCTACCTGGATTCGGTTCCTTGCGCAGATTACAATATGCCCTCTTGAATGCTCTCAAACGTGAATGAATCAGGATGGTTTTGGTTCCGATTTCTGCTCCCGTGCTATGCGGCTACGACCTCGAAGATCCTCTATAACGCGCAGGCGGTTGTAATGATTAGTACCATCGAATTCATTCAAAGACGATCATATTCTAGGTTTCTATACGGCCAGACCGCCACGGCATCGGACAGCGATGCAGACCAACTCGACGCTGATCTCGATCGACAGCCAATAACGGAATCAATACGAAGTCGCAACTGGTGCGCTCTGATTGGCCCAAGCAGAGTAAGAACGCAGAATCGCAATGACATTAGGGTGGCCAGCCAATCAGAACGAGTGCGTTAGTGATGACGTAGTGCCGGGAGACCATCGAGAGGACACTCCACCGTCGAGGCAAGTGCACTGCTGAGAGCAGCAGCCAAGTCGCACAGATCGGCCTGTGCGGTGCGTCATGGGCATCATCGCGCGTCACCGGCGTGCGCGTTATCCATGCCCCATCGCCCGCTGCTGCCAATAAGAACGGCCTGATTCCCAATTAATAATTCCAGAACGCACTGATCTCGAGCAGATAGGCTTAGCATGTTCGCCCGCGCTGCTATAAGACCGGCTTCCTCTGCCCTGCGTGCCCGCCTTGCCCCTAAACCCACTACCCTATCCACTCGTTACGCCCCCGCGACTTTGAACGTTTCGCGCACGATGGCGACCGCTACGAAGCTCGACGTGCTTGAGGAGATCAAACTCGACCACGACAATGTCCGGGACCTCTGGTCGCGCTTCCAGGCTGCGACCTCGCGAGAGGAGAAGGCGTCGATCGCGAACACTTTGATCAGGGAGATGGCTGTCCACGGTGATGCTGAGTGAGTACGGCGTCCATTATGAGGAGAGGCGTGTCTGATCGGTGTCCGTGATTAGGGAGATTTCGGTTTACAACGACTACCAGCGGCTAGGCCTCCCTGGCACTGCTGAGCACAACAAGGGTAAGCCACCGAGTGTTTGTCTGTGAGCTCTTTTGACCTGTTGTGCCGCACAGAGGAGCACGCGGAAATCAAGAAGGCCGTGTACAACGCCGATTCTGCATCGACGAAGCAGGACGATTACGACGAAGTCCTTGGCAAAGCCGTCAAAGCCTTTATCACGCATGCGCAGGAGGAGGAGAACGAGCAGTTCCCCACCATCAAGGCCAAGCTCACTCCCGAGGAGAATGACGTGAGTAGTGCATGTAGTGGGTGTATGCGCACCTTTTGACTTTGGTATAGAAACTCGCTCGCGAGTTCCTGAAGGCTCGCCGTATGGTCCCGACGCGGCCACACCCCGCTGCGCCCCAGACCGGTGGCGTCGCACAGAAGGCGGCGGGTGCCTTCGGATCGTTGCATGACAAGGTTGTTGAAACTGTTGGCGGACGCGAGTTCGTCGAGCTCAAGTATAAGCACCCGGAGAACTTCTAGATCGCGGACCAGCGGGCGTTAGGATGAGGATGAATGTACGAAGTCAATGCATGTTGTACAGTAGTGTATACAGTAGAGTCTGTCAGAACCCATACCTCTCATAACCCATAACCTGCAATAACCCATAGGATTTGGTGGTCCACGCAGTCGGCTCACAAGCCATAAGACTGTCATTACGAGATTGAGGTGATAATCTGGTATATTATTAGCACATAATGTTCTGACCTATAAATGAGTGTTACTATGGCCATGTATGGTATAAAATGCCATTCATCTCCTAACCTCGTCCCCACACGCAATATTCAGGCGATGGCTACAGCGTAATCAGAGAGAGTGCATCTTACCACCGGCCCGGACGTGCCGGCCACCCGTGCACTGAATCGACCTGCCATTTCGGGCAGCAGACATTTTCTGTTGGCGAACTGGCATGAGCACCGACAATGGCCCATCGCGCCCGCAGGACCCGTCGGGCGTGCGCATCGTCCTCGGCCGGCTAGGCATCCCCGCATGGCTCCTGCAGCGGCCCAAGCTGCCCTCCCGCAACTGGCTCATCTTCCTCTCCGTCACCTCGTCCGTCGCCGGCTGCTACATCTACGACCGCCGCGAGTGCAAGCGCATCCGGCGCGAATACGAGGATAGGGTGCGCTGGCTCGCCGAGGAGCCGCTCGCGAGCAGCGACCTCCCGCGCAAGGTCGTCGTGTACGGCGCCAAGTGGCCCGGCGACGACGACTGGGACCGCGCGATGCGCTACTTTCGCAAGTATGTCAAGGTCCGCCGACGCGCTTGTCCTCTGCTTGCGTAGCTGACCCGGTCTGTGTGCGTACAGCCGATTCTCGTGGCCGCGGCGGTGGACTATGATATGATCAAGGGTCAGCGGCACGGCGACATCGCGCGGCGCCTCGCCGACGAGGTGAAGGCGCACCGCCGGCTCGCGCTGGGGCTCGACAAGCCCAAGGAGTCGATCATGCCGCTCCCGACGGACCAATCACCTGAAGCTGTCCGCCGGCGCGAGCTCGACGGCGGGCTCGTCATCGTCGGCCGCCCGACGTTCAAGGAGTTCATGGCCGGCCTGAAAAGCGGGTGGAGCGAGAGCGCGCGGAGGGTGGATCGGGAGGAGGAGCTGGCGCGCGTGCTGGCGGACGACGGCGTGTTCGACGAGCCGGAGCCCGAGGTGGGGGACGTGGGCGCGCTGGACGGCGAGCCCATCCCGACGCCGTCGAAGCTCCCGCCGTCTGCCGGTGTGTACTCGCCCTTCCAGGCGATCGCGCAGCAGCGCGCGGCACCGAAGCCTCGCTCCCGGGAAGAGGAGGCCACGAGCGAATTGCTCGATACGCCGCCCGGGACCATCACGCCCCTGCCGCCGCTGCTGCTCGTCCCGTTCACGAACTACCTCGGGTTCAAGCAGATCCCGTACATGCTCTGGGACTTCTTCACCGAGCGGAAAAAAGTCCAGGCGGGCGCCGAGGCGGCGTACAAGCTTATCATGAAGCACACGCGCCCCTTCCACGGGCCCTCTGACGTCCCGCCCGCAAACGAATCGAATTTCATCACGCCAGCAGGCTCGGACCTCGACTTCGACGCCGCCGTGGAGCAGTACTACAAGTCCTCCACGCACAAGCTGCCCGACGAGATCGCCAAGGCGCGGGCGGACTACTACGCCGCGCTCCCCGCGCGCCTCAAAGCGGCGCGCGACCTCGCGCGCGGGCTGCGCGAGCCCACCAAGGAGGAGCGCGCGAACCCGCCACCGACGGAGGTCGAGCTGCGCAGCGAGCGCATGCGGAAGGAGCTGAGGTGGCGGAGCGACGAGGAAGGATGGGAGATTATCAGGCCGGACCGGCCTGTTGCGTGGGACGAGCGGTTTAGGGATGCGTTGAAGGTCTTTGTGGACCCGCCCAGGGAAGAGGAGAGGCGTGAGTCGGATTAGAGCGCACGACATGACAAACTTTATAATTGCATAATACGACTTTTGCTTCACTGCTCGCTCGTACAGGGTTCGTTGACAGGCCAAATGGCACGACATTTCGGCAAGCCCTACAGCCCAAAACATTTACAGTATTCATGGCAAAAACTCCACAGCACCACTAGCGAGCCAGGCATCGAAAGCCGCGATCCCATCGTCGTAATCGTCCTCCTCTTCAAGCGGATACGTACTCGTAGCCTGCGGTTCCTCGATATTGGGTCCTTGGGGCTGTCCTTGGCCATCACGATTGTCCCTCTTGTTAGCGGTTGCAGAGACTTCAACGACTTCTTGCGGAACTTGAGCACGCTTCATATCTTTAGTCGATGGGTCCGGGGACCTGGAATGACCACCCCCATAAGTAGACGAGCCGGCAATTGTCGAGCTGGTGGAGGGTACGATCTCGAAAAGACTCTCGTCCAGAGTGAATTCTTCCTCTTCCATGTCCAGAGGATCTTCAGGTTTGCCAGGCGATTGCAGTGGAGTCGGCAGCCTAAAGTTTGGAATATCGTCGTAGTACGCGTCCATACCAGGGGAAGACGGCTGAGACCCAGGCAGAAAGAGAGGTTCCGCACGCTTGGTAGCAGTGTGCGCAGCTGTAGGACTACTGACGGTAGCCAATTCCACCTCTCGACGCCGCTTAGCTGGGAGCTGGTCGTTCATAGGACTGAGCTTCCTCTTTGGACCAACAGAAGACGGCTCCCTAGCAGGTGTTGACGCAGCTTTCTTACCGGTTCTTGCTTCGTCGGAAGGCATCTGAAGGATCAAGGCATCCAGTTCTGGGTCAGAGAAGTCCACATCGGAAGAAACAGGCCGTCTTGGTGTAGGTGCACCCATGTCGTGTACGAGATCAGTCGGGTCAGGAAGGTCCTCTTCGATTTCATCCGACGGTGCTTGCATTTCCTGTTCGCGATCCCCATCGTTGAGATCAGCAAACTCTAGGTCAAAATTAGGCTTTGTTTTAGGCGTCTTGGCTGCGGTAGACTGCTCCAATTTCAGGCGGCGTCCCTCCGCAAGCCCGAGACTGTTGGCTACGTTCGTCCGCTCGTGCAGCGCTTCAAGTTGCTGGAGCCTGGAGTCTGGACCTGCCTTCACTGTCCTAGTGCTTTCATGTTTCTTGCGCTTCGGCGCATCCTCGGTGTGGAATTGGTGAATCTGTCCTTCGTTCACGTTCGGGCGTGGCGATACCGGCGTACCCTTGTCAGCAGCGGCGTTCTGTGTTCGCTTCGGAGGGGGCGGGGGTTTAGGAATACCCTCTTTGCAGCTGTGTCCTGTCGGTGAGTAATAACATAATGACTGAGCACCACGAAATCACCAGAAGTGTCGACATTTCGTCTTGTCTTTGCAAGGGTGGTTGCACCTGGGAAAGTATGAGCAAAGGACTCCGCGATTCACCGAACCATGTGCGTACTCGTAGTTGCCATTAGATAACTTCTTCGGCTCGAAATCCACAGTTCCCAATACTGAGGCACTCGTTCCGCGTCCGCCTTTATGAGGTTGAGCTTTAATAGGAAACCTTGACATGTCACGACGATCTGCTTGCCAGTATCCAGCGCGATCAGCAACGGTTGTCCAAAAGGCTGGAAGAGAGTAGTCCACCGTTTGGTTTCGTCAAGTCCTTTACCGGTTTATCCTCTTGTTTATCCTCTTCATCTGAAGCTGTATACCAGAAGTTTGGGTCGTCCTCCAATCCTTGGAGGTCGGCTTCCTATAGATTTGTTAGACATGTAACCGCGCCATACCATCGCCTGACATACCACAGAGTTGAGCGGTCGAGTATTAACAACTGGAAACTCCGTCGCGTTTATCTGCGGCTTATACATCTTCAATACCGTCACGCCAGCTATACTTTCCTAGGTGCCAGCAATAGTTCAGTATAGATACACGGAGAGAACCAGACCATCGAACCGAAGCTATGTAGACATGGATAGATTGGCTGGGTTTCGTAAGGTCAGCCGTGACACTAAAGCTCTTAGACGCAGTTAGAGCCTTGGTCCTGTCAAGCGAAGATGTCAGGGATAGAACCTCGAACTATTGCGCGAACGTACGAGATCCGGCGAAAGTCGACGAAGTCGAGATCAGACGTTAGGGTTAAAATTGCGGTCATGTCCCCTCGCCTCGCCTTATTCTTCTTTGGCTTCGGTGCATGCGATGCCTGATCTGAAGCCAGTCCGCATTCAACCAGGATTTCCACGTTCACTGGGCCTTTCCCGCCCCTCGACGTGATAGCTTGCTCTGTGATGGTTAGGATATACCGGGGCAACTCCGCCAGGCAAGCAAGGACTTCATGGCCGAATGGTGGGCGACGATTCAATAGCTGTAACAGAAGCGGTGAGGTAGGTATTGCCAGGGAAGGTTGGTTTGGTTACAGTTTCGATCCTAAGTGGATCCTGGTCGCGCAGGGTGTGCAGGGACGTCACACCATGCTCAGCTAGAACCTTTTCCGAGTTGTGCGTAACGCCAGGGATAAATATTGAGGATTCACACCTTGATACTAGCGATACGTGTATTGAATAACGATTAAGCGGCAAGGGTGTCGTGAGAAGACTCACGATTTCTCGCCTATTTGTTCGAGTTGGCGCAACACCACAGGTCTATCCTCCCAGGCCTTGGCAGTGAAGCAGCGAAGACTGAGGAGCCATCAGTACTAAGACAGAGCCTATATGCTGCGACTTACAGTTCTAGCCCGAATTTGATCTGAGCACCATATTTCTTCACTAATGACACTTCCACCACTACCCTTGCAATTCTCCCTACGTGCCGGAAGACACTCAGTGCATCAAGAGGCGGCTGACTGTCCGAGCTCTTGAAATCCGAAGAATTCAAAGGTATACCTCCGAGCACAGCCTTCAATGGCGTTGGTATGATGAGAATGGCATACGAGCATAGTCATTACCTGAATCAGGAGAAAGACCTTGTCCGCAGGTTTCTCGACCTTCTTGATCTTGAATCTTATATCTTCATGTTCCCGAAGTCGGTTGTAAACCTAGCAAGACATTTGGTTCTTACACACCAATGAGGAACTAAAGAACGTACGGTTTTCTCTCCCTGTCGGAGTTTAAGATCGGAGAATCTGGACGTTTCGATAAGTTCCAACACAGGGAAGACAAACGGACAACGAACTCATCAGCTGCGGCTATGGCTTCCAGCTATGCAACCGAGGAATGTTATGGATTAGCCGAGGAGCCTGAAAACCCGCAACATACCATTTCACGCATGTTCCCACGTGCGGGCAGACTCATGATCAACTTCATCTGAATTATACTGGATGATTAGACGATGGGATGCATATCTGCAATGACTGACCGTCGCTTGACGCACATAGAACTGAGCGTCGTCGCCGCTTAATGAGCATGCTTAATTGAGTAGTAGTTATTAAGATTACCTTGCTCATTATATCGCCATATTCGGTCGACCGAAGACTGCCGGAGTCATCATCCCCATCGTATTCCAGGAGCTCCGAGTCTTTTAGGGCCGTGACACTATGCAACACCATCTCATCTAGCCTCTCCTGCCAGGACTGACCGGTCGTCTTCCCTATCGCGTAGTGAGACGGGTTTCTTTGTAGCCTCTGGAAGAGGAAAGAGTTATACAACCACTCTTTGGCCGTAAATACGTCGGTGATCGTGCCCAATCCCACTTCCGAGTTAAGATGTTCGGAGAGATTCTGATGAAGACAGCTCTCGAGGACAGTCTTTCCTTGAACGAGGTCTCGATACTTCGCCTCTAACTCCGTCTCACAGAGAATGATCGCAATGCCCTCCTTGTCTGACGGTTCCCATTTTAGCAGGAAGCAGCCTATATGTAATGTATTCCGTACCAAATTGAGGGCGACCCTAGGATGCAACAAACAATCCGGATGGGAGCAGCTCGGAGAAGTAAAAGGAGCATAACGTACGGCGCGACCCATCATCTGTACTATGTCAAGATCGGAATATTCCTTGTATCCGTCCGTTTGGTACATCTTGACTCCTCTAATGACGACCGTGTGGGCAGCTACATTGATGGAGGTTAAGTATTCCTGTGAGGTATAGCAATATTCTGGTGTCTTACGCAGGTTGACTCCAACTGCCAATGTCTGCGGGCCATACCTGTCAGGTTAGAAACCACGAAATTATTTCTATCACCTACAGACGTCGCCACCACTAATCGCAGAATCTTCTCCATATACAAATGCTCCGTCGCCCGCCGATCATCCATACTGAGCCCCGCATGATGCACACCGATGCCGACTGATGCTAGCTCTGCGGAGGTCGCGCTATAAGATTACATAGCAAGGCAATAGTCGCGTTTTAACTTACTTTCTAAGCGCTTATCGTTAAACTGCTGGCTGATTCTACGCGCATCGTCAGCTGTACCCCCTACCCGCCTAGCACGTATTCCCTTACTTGCGAGGCTGTGACCAAGGCAAGGGCTTTTTGGCCTGAGACGCTCTCTCGTACTCCGCAGCCAGGTGCTCTGCGGTTACCAGTACCCCTGAGTCGACTCTTATATCAACTCGTTGACTATCACCGGACGTACGTCGTACGTACCTCGTCGAGTGGCAACAAAGACAAGAACCGGCTTATTCACCGAGTGCTGCTGCAGCACTGGGAAGAGGTGCTTATCCAGACTGGCCGAAAACGCGAAATCGTTCTGGTTCCTGTGACGTGGAACACCGTAGACGAACTTCGTCAATTTACACGGGCGAAACTCCTCTCCGAACTAGGAGTGTCATAACGGGGTGTAAATAGTAAGAGGGCATTGATTGGAGCCGCCTACATACCTGAAAGATCTTCGCCGGGCCGGTCTTATTCCGGGAACCTACCCAACTGGCAATATCCCCGATATTTGGGACAGTAGCAGATACCATCATGAAGCGTACAGAGGTACCGCGCGTTTTCATCCTAGAGATCACGACCTCCAAGGTACTGCCTCTAGATTCATTCAGGATATGCACCTGCGTCCATAGTGCGTGTAAGATGGGCGTAGTTTGGTATCATGCACGCACCTCGTCGACCATGAATAACTGGACTTGGGATAGGATTTGCCCGTAGTCTCGCCTGTTATTAGTATGAACTAAGTAGGGGAAGAAACCGCACGGGCATAAGGATGTATACGCACCAGTGCCTGGTCAGGCTATCCCATTTCTCTCCCTAATCTCGGCGGCATGAACAAGAGAAAGACTGTGGATAGCAGAGACAGACCGTGGTTATACTGAAACGGCCGAACGTTATCCTTAAGATACGGTATACGACCTTGAAGTCATACGTACATAATAGTAGCATTCTTAGCGTCTCCCCAAGCACTCTTGCCAAACTGAACAGTATCGCCGGTTAGCTCGCAGCCTGTATCAATGTAAGCTGATGTCTGACGCCATCCGTCTCTTTCCAAACGTACTGACATTTGACACCCAGCACTTCAAACTTGGTGGTCCATTCTCGGAACCTTTCGGAGCACAACGCCTAGGTAGGTTGGATTATCCTGTCAGTGGCGAAATGCCGCGGACGCGCATATATCACCTTAGTTGGAGCCATATACACGCATTTTGTCGCTCGTGCACCGGTGCCAGATTCCATAAGCAAGCGGATTATAGCAAGTTCGAACAGAACGGTTTTACCGCTGCCAGTGGGTGCTACCGTTGGATAAGATGAAGCTTCTATCTGATAACCGCGCATATATCCTACCACTGACAACCTGGGTGTTCGCATCGTCAAGAGAGGTGGATTTCCGGTGAAATAACTGCAGTCATACCAGATTTTCCTCGGAACACATGATCTATAGCCTTCAGCAGAGTTACCATACAAATATGTGGCGCGACTCACGTCGTCGAAGCATATCGATTGTATAGCATTGAAGACTCCAAATTTGAACGACGCGCGGTAGACGTCAGCTTTCACAAAGGTATGGCTATCAGGTTCAGACTTCGCCAATATCGAGTAACATACGGAGATCTGATACTGGGCGCAGGCGGATTCCGGGTGTATTTCTTGGTACATGTCTCTCCTGCGTGCTCGCGGTAAGTTGCGGAGTCGCAGGCAGATTAGCGCCCGATGGGTGGTAGTTGGCATAAAATCGCCCATATCCTTCCTCGTATTGATCTACACGGGACTCGTCATCAGGTGCCATAACTTCGGGGACCCCTTAGCACCAGGATACGAGTCTGGATGCTCACAAGACGGCGGATTATCCTGCTGGCGTGGAGTTGCGGCGCGACCTATAGCGTAGGATGACGTGCCTGCCTGATAGAATCTTGGGACGCCTTCAACATCCGTGCTTGCTACGTGTTGGCCTGGCTGCTCATATTGATAATCCTCACTGATAGGATCTTCAAGCAAGTGACGCTGGTACCCCGCGCGATGATAAGACTGGTTCCTTCCAGGGGGACATGGGGATGATCCTTCTACCGTAACCATCAGTTAGAATGTCAACATGTCTATAAGTACCCCGCATATAGCGACCTAGGTCTTCAGCGTATTCGAGATCGAATGCTGAGCCCGCGACATGTGTCTGAGAGCCATAGCCTGCAGCATAGCTTGAGTCTCCATCAATCTCAAGACCATATTCTCGAGCCAGTTCATCGAACGACTGGTCCTGGTACATCATGGAGAGGTGTCTGGCGTGGTACCAACTGTCCGACGAGAGGTCATGCTACGGCCGGCAAGTGCCGCGAGTCGCGTCACTCACGTGAGCGTGTCTCCGTTACCTCGCGCGTCTGTGACACTGACCGTCACCTTCGAACTCCTTTAACCTGTACTACTACTAGCCCGTAGACTCGTGTGCCAGACCCTCACATTCCTCAATACTACAATTATGGCCGACGCGCACGCTAAGTCCAAGGACAAGAAAGCCACAATTGAAGATATGATTGATAAGTGGGTCATCATCTGCGAGGAAGCCGCATTTGTTCATCTGGGATTATGCAGGATTCACTATTCCGATCGGTATTCTGACGACGAATATGAATATCGACATGTTATCCTTCCGAAACCGTTCCTTCGGTACCTACCTAAGGAATACTTCAACAAGGATGATTCGGGAACGCTGAGATTGCTGACGGAAGAGGAATGGCGAGGCATGGGGATTCAGCAAAGCTTAGGATGGGAGCATTACGAAGTCCATGGTCCGTATGAATGTCCCTGAGCTACCATGATGTGTTTGCTGATTGCGAGCTGCAGCACCTGAACCCCATGTATTGCTTTTCCGTCGACCGAAGTACCTTTCCCGCAAAGACGAACAACTAGCTCTACAAAGCAAGCTGGCGGGGAACGGCCGAAAGGATATACGCCGAAAATGACATCCAACCAGTTTCCACGCTCTCATGTTCCCATTGGGACTTGTGTTTGTCCTTCCGCTCTCGCCTTTGCATTTGTTGATATTGGATTCCCGTAACGTTGTACCATAGGCACCTGTTACCCATCATACGCTCCTGCTCGCTCCGCTCTCGGTATAGCACTATTCTGGTGACGGCCGTCTACATCTTTCCGCCTTTATTTCTGCCCAAAGTCCATTCGTGGCTAATATCTATCCCATACCATCTCCAGAGAGGTCAATCAACGCTTTATCACCGATATCCAAGGTTCTGAGACGTTGCGAGCAAGTTCTATCGCCCATTTTCGATTATGATATTACAACAAATCTACATCAAGACACGAAACGATTACACACCCACCTATAACTTGGCTGCGGTTGTATCCTTCCACTCGCCTGCCGGCCTAGGATCAGGCGAAGGCTGTAGAGAACTCTTGAAGGTTTTGGGATCCTTGATGAAAGTGACTCCTTCCAGAACGTCCGTACTGGTCTCTTCTGACACCTGGGCCGGATGTTGTTCGACTACCTTGGGGATGCTTGCCAGGAGGTTCTTAGTTATCTCCTCACTGAGACCGGCGGTGGTGGATTCGCTCGCGAGTATGCCTTGCCAATGCTTCGTAAAGTCGGCTAAGAGGGGTTCACCTTCACTTCCATCGAATTCCTCCTTCCAAGCATCCTTCTCGACCGGCATGCCCGCGCTTCGAACCAGGTCTTCGAAAGCAGCCATAGCAGCGAGGCTTACTTTCTTCGGCGGTGGCTTCTGAGAGCGGAGATGCACTGACAACTTGGCTCGTTTGGGCGCAGAAGGATGTATGCGAGAATCGAAAAGATCCAGAACGTCTTGCTTCGTGACACTTCGTAGCAGTTCCGCGTTTCTGAAACCTAGGCGAGAGGTATTGTCACTAAGCGGCATGACTGCTGCAGGGAATGGGATACGTACGTCTCAAGAAATCATAGTACCCCGAATCTATATGCATCCAGAATCTGTTAGTCTCCTCAGACAGGTTTTTCGGCTTCTCTGTCCACTTTCGCTCCAAGCCTTGCTTCTGCTCAGCAAACTCTTCCTCGGACATCTCCTCGATCGCCCTTCGCATATTGTTCAAGAAGGCGTTGACTCGAGATTCCAAGTAGTGCGGAGGCCTTTCACTCTGGATCACTATCCTCAGTCCCTTTTGGCTGTCCCCGGCCAGGTGCCACTGGGAGCACGAGACGATATATCCTAGTTGCTCCTGTGTTCGCAGTACGTTGAAAGCGGGCTCTGACAGGATCTGCGCAAGCAACGACGATATAACTCGTAACTGCTCATCTGTCAGATCCCCGACGTGTAAATAGTAAGTCAGCGCAGAATTGGTTTGGTTCGGGTTCGGCACAGGGATAGACCAGACATGGTTGGAAGCTGGCACGGGCGCGCGTCAATCAAAAGATACAAATCCACCAGCTTTCACGTACCTTCGGGAAGTATCAGAGATCGCTCAATCACAGAGGATGCAGGTAAGGGCGATGACTTAAGGATGGATTCCGCAAGCTCAGCTATATGAACGGCATCCTGCAGCATTTGGTAAATCCACATGCTCGTGTGGAGAGCCAAAGTGCGCACCTCTTTATGCACGTTGCCAGTCACAAGCATCCGCATGTTTACCTCCGAGAGCAACTGTTTGGCGTGAGATTGCACCTCGTCGGCCGTAACGCCTACAGAATCTAAGTACGGTCGACATATGACGAGACATACCAAGACGTACTCGCGATTTCGGGCAGCATCTCCTGCAGTGTCCATTGCCTCTCGGTCAGAAGGTATCTTCCGAAGTAGTCCGACATGCCGTAGCTTTGACCAAGGAAGAAGTTTTGCCATTCGCGTTTGACCTGAGATCATTTGAGCCTTCGGCCAGCGAGGCGGAATGACTTCTATACCTGTTCTTTGAACACTTCAAGCCTCTCCGGAACAATCGTTAAATGCTTGATGGCTTCGAATACACGCCTAGTGAGAACGGGAACCTTGTCGTTGTAGCCGGAGACGATGACCCATATGCCTAGTCCGTGCGTTATTACATCATATGATAGACCAGCAAGGTCGGCGTCGTATGTATATTCCGTCAAGGAATCCGTTACCAGTCGGCCAAACAATCTAAAAGAGATGTCAGCAGTTCGCTGAATACAAGGTAGGCCTATCTTACTTCGTCATGACGACGGATCGCGGGGTAGGGTTGGCTAAGGGACTGGTCACAAAACCTTGAGAACGTGATTTGACAACGTCTTACAAGGAATGCTCACCTGCGAACGTCGATAGCGACGCGAGCTTTCGGCACCCAGAAGCGATCATCCTTCTTGAACCAGAGAGTCGACAACGGAGTGTCGCGGATAAGATGAGGATGCTCCAGAGGCTAGCCGCATTATCAAAGCCTGCAACATACTAAACGCGTAGCAAGGACGTACCTCTGCAACATCGCGTTTGTCGACGTCAAGATTAGTCGGAATGAACTCATTAGGACCAGGGAGAAAAAGTTCCTGCAATTGGTTTGGACTCTGTGCCTGTGGGAACATATATTGAAGAAAGGGGGTTGAGGCGACGGTGCAGTGCTTACCTCGCGTGTGAACTGTTCGTCGAGGCGGACAACACGATATCCGGTCCCATACCAAGGCTCAGTTTGCCAGTCGAGAGCGACACCGTTGCCGGCCACCTTCTCGTGCTCCGCCTGGCGTGCCATGAGTACAGCGCGGCCATTGTCCACTTTGAGGCCGTTCAGTATCTCCCTAACTTCCTTCTCGCCAATCCATGACCCGTTCGCATCCTTCTGTGCTCCAGGTTCGTCCCATGGCCATGTCAATTGCGGAGCGCTGATCACAAGTTCTCTTGGGACAGGCCAAGCCATGTGTTCAGCGACCCAGACCGCGTAGTCGTCTGGTCGACGCTTTTCCGCGAAGCGGAAGCGTATGGAGGCGATGGTACTTATCTCACGAGAATGCCACGCTGGGAGTTCGGACGATCGAAGCATGTTCAGGTACTTGTACGTCGCCAGCATGATCGACCGGTAGTTCTCTATGTGCGTCCAGGGGTTAGCATCGTCACAATACCGGCCGATCAATGCAACGTACGGAACCCATCTTGGGTCATGTGTACGGTGACCTTGAACATGCCGAATCCTCGAGCAAGGTTCTGAGCACCGGCACTCAAGCTAGTAATCCAACCTTTGTTCTTCAGGTAAGAATGAAGCGAACCCGGGCCTTCGTGGCCAACAAAATGTGCCAAGAAGTTCGCTGGCTTGTAGCGCCAGAAAGGCGGCTGGTAAGCCAGCGGGAACGAAATTTCGAGGACATGGAAATCCATGATGGTCTGAACGGCTACCAATGTCTAAACCAATTTCACTGTTTATGAGTGAAAGGGTGCTAGGTAAGAATTTCAGTACGTACGCCTTTCTCTTCCGACCCGAATGGATGATCATTGATCATGGGCAGGGACTCTTGCCCTCTGTTCGGTATGGGCGAGAACAGGGTAGCAACAAGTTCACACAACTCGTCCAATGATTCTACAGCTCAGTGAGATGGTTTGTGTGATCTATATATCCTTGAGCTTCCCACCTTTTCCAATCACGCAAAGTCGCATCCTGCCGGCGCAGTATTCCTTGCTCCACCATTCGACGAGGCGTCTACGGGTCTCGCGACCTATAGCGCCACCATCCGCTTCCAGCTCACTGTTCGCGGAGGCTTCTGACGGAGCCGGAGATGGTAGACGCGACGGAACTGGCGAAGGAGCTAAGCTACTTCTTGCGGAAGCACTTCCATTACCGTTCACTTTTATACTGTTCGTATTCTTGCCATTCGTACCGTTGAGCAGACCCTTTTGCTTCAGCTCCTTGGCTACCTGGGACAAACTTTCTCTGTTGCCGCTACCGAATTTCCGCCAGACGTGGCCAGGTTTGCTCAAATGCTTGTTCAACTGAAAGATACGCCACATGTCCGACTGGTGGTTTTTCTTGTGCTCCGAGTCGACGGCGTTCAGCTCCCGCGAAGTACATGACGGAGCAAAGAGGGGACAGTGAAAGAAAGCAGCGAACCGAGCGAGCGCCCCTGCGAGTGCAGGTGTAGATACATTGAAGTAATAATTGGTGTTGGAGGTGGCCGTATAGGCATTTGAAGAGCCAGCATTTTTAGACAGGTACTACACTTGCCGTCAGCGGCGGTAGGCTAAGGCTGACTCGTGTTACTCACCTCCGAATATTCATTCTCTCGTGGAAATTGTTCCGTCCCCTGAGTGGGGCATATGAAGGCTGATTGGACCTTATAGTACACGTCAACTTACCATGAACAGGAGATGCTCGCAGAAGTGAGCAAGTCCGGGCATGTCATCCTGCAAAAGAGTTCAGTTGCTGCATGTCCACAGCCAAGACGATGGAGGATAGTATGACGATTGTGGTTGGTGGGCCTCGATCACTATTCAGAGCATATCACTTACCGGGTCATACAAATGTCCAACTGCTACGTCCAGACTCGCAGCAGCCTTATCCGCCTTAGCATCATGAATGACCGTGGCTTGAAGACCGTTCTGTAGCTCTATTATTCTATATTCCCGGTCATCCTGCTGGGACTTGTCAATAGGCTTCGTGAAGACACGGTAAGGGGGTCGAGTTCCAGACGCAGGCACGTGACGCCAATTAGCATGGTCGACCATGGTCGCATACGAAGTCACACCACTGGGCCAGTTAAGACAGGTGGTAGAGTGGATGCGATTTCTTGACGATAGACACGAGGCGCGAGGGAGAGAAGGTGGCCGTAACCGAAGCTTTAACATGCACAATAAACCAGAGGGCTCACGCAATAACGTACGAGAGTGTCCTCAGTCAAGAAAGGATATTCGCTCAATCCGGCATTGCGCGAGGACCCTCGCGGTTCTCGCGCCTGCAGCTGGATCGACCTTCGATGCTGCTGACCTTCCGACCTCTGTGGTACCCATCCTATATATTAACGTGGGTGCTGGCAGGCGACGATCTTCGAAACTTTCCGACTTGTCGAACTTCTGGCGCTTTTTCATGCATGCTGCCTATAAATCGAACTTGGTTGCCTGAATGGGGTTCGAATGACCTTGGTGCTGGACACCGTGTATGGGAAGAGGAATCAGTCGTGCACCCGAGGAAAGCCGTATTTTCACATTCATATCCGAAGTATGGCCTCGCAGGAGCTCCAGCTTGTCGGGAGAGCTTGGATCATGAGCTGCCCGGGGTCAGAAGTCCAGTCTCTGGGGAGACTGTACCTACGAAAATCTAGCCCTTTCACTCAGTTTATTACTATGACCACTGATATTGAGCCCGGTACAACGAAAAGGTCAGTTTACAGTATCAAGTCATGTGTGCTAGACGACGGCCTACAGTCGGAATTTCAAGGCATGATCTTATTTGTGAGTCCGTCAGGGGTCTTGATTGCAGTACAACTGACCCACTATTATCCTCAAAGTCAATATCTGGTTGTCATTTAATTTAGGACCACAGATTGAGGGGAGTCGCAACCAGATTCGCATCATATGTGCTCTCGTGCTCCCGCTGATGACCCGTCATAAGTGGGACAACACCGAGACACATATCATGGGTGTCATCTGTTCGAACGTTGAATGGACACAGGCGGGATCCCGACAGGTTCCACCTAGTTGTTACAGAATATATTGACGATCTAACACCGTGATATCGGTACAAGTACTTTGGCGGGAAGCAGGGGAGGTCTACACATCATATGCCCCACGGAAAGAGTGAAATTCTGAACGACAGGTCTATGCCTCTATCTATGTATAGTGATATTTGCTGTTGAACCTGAGCAAATGCACCCACACTGTATCCACTCCAGAGTATCTCGATGTTGCAATCATATGAGTGAGCGTTAACGTTGCGGAGTGATATGAAGTCGCACAATCTTGCAGGAGCTGCTTATATTACTCTGGAGTCTGATTAAGTAGGAGATGCACAAGAGGCGGGTTCAGAGGCGGGTTCAGAGGCGGTACCGCACAGTGTTCAGAGAAAGGCAACACAACTCTAACTGGTACATGTCGCAGGGCTCGGAGCAGCCACAGTCGCCTATTCGGACCTTTACGCGTAGGACCGTTGAGACCAATGTATTCTCACGGTCAGTCCGTCACTGGACGCGTCGGCAGCATGCCCTTCAACGCGAACGGTCACAAACTCGGTCTCCCAAGGCGCGTCGCCCCAGCACTCCATCGAAAGAGCTCCTTCGCCGTCCCCTCCGTCGCCCTCGCGGCTCCTAATAAAGCTCGTCTCAGACCGCTCGGGCTGGTCTGATTGCCACGACGACGTTTCCTCCGTTCCTCCTGCTGTAACTCCAACATCGTGATACATTTCCCTGCCAGACACCATAAACTAACCCCAGCAATATCATAGAATAAGGCTACAGACGTGTAATAATGCCAGCGACGTCTACTTCTCATCATACTCGGACTACGAGTCCACCGCTATCGACGATAGGCTCTTCTCAGGCGTTCACGCTAAGTCAGCAATCCAAGATCAATATCGTGACGCGTTTAGCGGTGGAGGGGAAGGCGAAACAGGGATACGATGGCGCTGGGATTAAGATGTACCTGAAGGTCCGCCTGCCTACGCTGAATTTTAATTAGTCTCTAATGGGCATTCCGCTGCATCGCCAGTTGTCAGTACCTCGCGACACCGTATCCCCGGGTTCGACAATTCCCTTGTTCCCGGAGGAAAATATCAAGATTGTCAACTCTCAAGTTCATCCTATCGACAACAACTCGGTACCTTACAACTTCTCCTCTACGACTTGCCCGCTTCTCCATAGCGCTGCACGGGCCCTTAACCTCCCTGCTCGGTCATCCCAGTCCTACATGTCCCTTTTTGGACAACCCAGCCCTTCAACTCCCACCCCGGGATCTACCTCTAGAAGGGCGTCATATAACTTGCATATCCCGCCTCTCGACGAGCGATATACCGGCCAGATCCTTGTCAGTAACTATCAGGTATCCTACGTACTTCCCAAGGAGTTCCCGCCGAGCTCAAGAGCCAACGGGGTAGATAACTATGATACTCAAGTTCCAGTGACTCGGACGCCTGGTAGCTCCTACCGAAGCAGGCGGGGATCCGTAAGCGAGAAGAACATGATACAATTTATGGCTGCCATAGACATGTGGGTGCCTCTGCTCACGAAACCTCCCAGAGCACCTTTCTTAGTAAGATGATGCATCCGGTTCTACTTGGGACTGCTCTAACCTGGCCGCGTAGCTGTCCATTCCCACTCCTCGATGCCTGTCAAATCACATCAAGCTGCGCATATTTGCTCCCAACTCGAACACCAACGCATCTCTCCATTCTCTCTCTTCCGCAGAGGAGGAGCCCGGTTCCTGGGACCTTACTGCCGATCCCCATGTCACGCGCAGCGCGACCACAAGACATTCAAAAAGTAGTTCATACACCCATTTCGCCGACGACGAATCTTCAGATTCTTCAACCACCGGTTTTCCCGACGGTTGCGGAATACAGGGTACGTTCCCCAGTACCGAGCGGATACGCATCCGTTGGGCTGCCCCCATGAAACCTATCGAAGGTGACGGACGTAGGCGCGTCGGTGTGCGCGAAGTGAAAGGCGAAATGACTGCCGTCGTGCTGGGCAAAGGCCCAGATGGGTCTGGGGAGGGGGTTGTGATGAAACTGGAATACACAGGAACATGCCACGGTGTTTGGTTCCCCGGGGTAGCCACCCTTCTTGCGATGGACATTGGCCTCGACGCTCAAGGATCTGAAATTGCATGGGTCCCAGGAGCGGAGGCGCGGTGGTTTGTGACTGGCGGGCGGGGCTACACTGGCTACGACGTCGGTTCACCGCCACATCTCTTATCGCGGCCTTCGTCCCTGGAGGCACCTGATGTCTATACATCCCCCGCTACTCCCTCAAACCATCATCCTGGAATACCCCATCATTCGTCGTCGTCGTCCTCCCTGCTGCGTGCCCCATTGCCTAATCAACATGTGGCTGACTACTCATTCGAAAGCGCGCCCAGCAGTGCCCCTTCCTCAGGAATGTTGTCCTCCGCGGATTCCTTAATTGACGGGAAGAGTCACATATTCTCTGCTAATGGTATCACGCCTGTTCTCGATACCGGCGCTCGGTCCCCACTCGCACCGATCACTCTGCACATTAATATGAATGAATTACTCCCACCGGCCAAAAACATATTCACATTCAGCATCGGAGGTATTGTCCTCATCAAGCCGCGCCCTTCACACTTCATGTACAACTCTCCGTCTTCTTCGCCTTCTGCGTCCGATATCGAAGGAGACGTAGATCCGGTGGCAATACCTCGCCTTCGCATCCCTGCGGCGGATACCGAGATGATATCTGTGGTGGTCCGTAATGATGTTGATGGGGCTACCGTCGATGTCTATAACTCTACAGGTGACCTGCGCGATGCACAGACGCGCAGAACTGTCTTGCAGCGTGGAGCCGCAGCTAGGTGCGGGATCGAAGGTGGCCGAGTGGCTTTACGGTATCTCACTGCGCCCCCTCCAACTCGCCGCAGCAAACCATCTGGCCGATCCCGTCAAATCCCTAGTAGGGCACCTTCTCCGAGTATGGTGTCGAGTATGTCGGTTCCAGTCAGGCCCGAGAGAGATGGGCCCTTGATCATTCCGTGGGTCGCGGTGACGGTCACCCCCCTCACCATTGATGGTGCCGATCTCCCCAATGCATACGCTGTGCGACTCTGTCTCCCTGCCCCGATTGATGATGACTCAGAGTGGTTGGAGTTTGGACTTGCGCAACAACCACACGGAGGGTCCGAACAGCAGGAGGACAAACCGGATGTCGATACCAAGCCCCCACGCGTGGAGGTGGCTAGTGCTAGCGTTGAAGGTGTTCCTGTTCGGTTCGAGACGACAGTCGCGATGCGACCGGATCAGAGCTCATCGCTGTCATCTTTGGCCATGCCTTTCCAACAACTAAGTGGGAACGAGTGGGTTAGCTGGGTCAGAGTACACATCGGAAGAGCTGGCGGTAGTCAAGTTCAGGTGCATTATGTGGTCAAGAGTCGCCATGGACGCACTCCCGACTCCAACAAGCGGAAGGGGAAACAGAAAGCCACTGAAGCTAGCCGCCTCGACGTATGTTTGCCAACTTTCGCGCTTCCCGTGGGATGTCTAGATGTGAATGTTGAGACTGCGCTCGGTATGAAGAAAGTTGCGATCCCTGATGTGACTCACTAACACGCCTCCGTAGGGCTCGACATTCTATCTATAGAATCAAACCTATCACATCAGCAGTCAAACGTTAAGGGCCGACGACTTCTACACTACAGCATGCAGGAATATTTTTACCCTAGCTTGACAATCAATATCGTTGCAAGCAAAGGCAATGCGACGCAGTCGAAATCGATCCGTTCATTGACACAAACGGCTCCCGCCATCTTATGTTTGATCCTGCTTGTCTGTCTACTCAGTCGCGATGCGGAACTACGCGAGATGAAGAAATCCCTAGACAGATGTTCCTCGGCGAGTCTTGGATCTGACATTCCACAAACGCCAGTCACAGTGACTCTAACTAAAACCATGGTAATCGATACTCCAAGTCATCGTTGGTTCCGGGGAACCATCTCTACCGCGGTTCCCACCGAAGCTGTTTTGGACCACTCTGTGATCCCTCCCGCCTCCTACCCAACTCCCGGTAACACGCGCAACGAAAACCCAATGCTCTCTTCGTCGACATCTACTTTAAGCTCGTCACATGACGGCTACGCGAGTCGATCCTATGCCCTCATCCCAACTCAATATGTTCCTTTCCGGTGGCCTGACGAATATGACCTCCATCTGGCTGGTCGCGCAACAGTCGATGCCGTTGTAGGCAGCTTGGGGACTGTCTGGCAATTGATACGCAGAGTATATCATTATCCCCTGGACCCACCCTGACGCCGATAATCCACTCTCTTGTTCTTGCTCCTTGTACTCACGCGCTTTATCCTTATGATTTATTATCTATAATGTCGCCCTGTAATACTAATCCACGCGCACGCGAGGACCATATATTGTATAATATCATGCTACCCAGTAGTCCTACAAACATGACAGCAAAGCAGTGGAAACTCAGGAAAGCGTATATACAGTGCCGGAGGGTTCCATCAACACTTATCCCACGACTGGAGAGTGTCTCGCAAGACACGAGCCTCCTCTGCATAATCCAAGGGCAGTATACGCGATATACCGTAACGAATGCGAGTTTGTTCCTAAACGAGCGTGTTTAACAAAGTAGTACTGCGGCGGACTGATTCAACACGTACATTATAGGTGTCTTGCTTAGCACGACAAGCGAAGTTGAAGGTTGAGCAAGTTGCTTTGTGCAAGATAACATTGTAAGCGGATTCATCCCTCTCCTAATGGAGATGATAAGAAGATGCGCCACGGGACGGCCGTAGACGACATACCTTAATGTCCACCAACTCATTGGCAGACATGCCAAAGACGGCCACTCCTACGTCGTTAAACCCTTGCAACCACGCTTGGCAGGTATGATCAGCCACAGCCATAGACATGATATATCTTCAGAAAAATATTAGCAACAGGGGACCACATGGCTAGAGATGATTTCAAGTCTTACCGATGCTCTGGCTTTTCAAACGACCTATCACATTTCTCACAACGCCACCCGTCACTGAGATCAACTACTTTCTTATTGCATCCCTCGGTTGGACACGCGGGGTATGATATGTTGTCACCCTTGATATGCATGATTGTTGCTCGGCACGAGAAATAGTCTGCCTTGTCGGACGTGCCCAAGCCAGACTCCTTGACATCGAACAAGGTGCGCATCTCGGAGCGGTTGAAGCCTCCCATGGTACCGCTCCCAGCACCACTACCATTGGACAATGACTGGAAACTCTGCTCGACTCCCTTTGCATCGTACCACCCTCGGAGAACATGAGCTTCGGGTATGTCCGGATTGATTGTCATCGTGCTGGAACTATACATGGACAGCGTGCGGCCTTCATGCGCAAATCAATGAATTCATTGAGGTAGGCAGGACACTGCTGCACTTACCCCCGAAATCGCCGACCTTCACCCCCTTGAAAGCAATGACGGGCGAGTCATCTGCGCTGAACTGTTCCGCTTGGGCGCCCCATAGGGTGACACGGACCGCTTTCCCGGAGCGGTCCACTATGGTCAGATCACGCTTCGCGACCTGTTCTTACGGATCAGCCCAGTCTACGAGGGTGAACAAGACAGATGTACCAACCGTTTTGTTACTCGCTTTTGATGTGATAGTACCCACATCCCCGACGCTCTTGACGACGCCGATGACATCTGTTGAACATGAGCTCTCATATCTTGGGCTGCAAAGCCGAACTCACCGCAAGTAGAATCCTTCTCAAGCTGTTCCAGGCCGTTCAATTCGACGAAATTGTACCGGACTGCAGGAACATTGGTTGGATCAAGACACTGTGAATATGTGAGACAGCTACCCCCAATGGTAAGACCCTATCACACAGACCTCTTCCACCTCGGTGTTGCGTTCAAGGGCGAGCTCATAGTCGTTAGCGATATTGGAGAATTTCTTCTTGGCTAAGTTCACACGGGCTTTCGAGATATAGTAGACATGACCCTCTTGCAGTTTGTCATAGAGTTCGTCGACAACAGCATTGAATCCGGTGGCACGTATTTCTGCCGTCTCGTCCATGAGAGTGACGCTGAAAAGCTTGCCTTCCCCTCGCTGGTTCGACCAGGTCTTGATATCCGTCTTTTGAGTGACACGCGCTTTGATGGTCCAGTTATTCTGATAGGGGCTGAGACCTTCAATAGGATACACCGAATTCGGCTTTCCTCCCGTCTTTGCCTGACCTTGCTGTCGGCTCTGTGCTTGGGAAGTCGGAGTCGTGGCAGAAGTAGAAGGAGCTGCAGCGGGGATCTGGGGAGCAGGTGTAGATCCACTCTCCGCAGCAGTAGCAGCACCGGCAGCACCAGGAGCTTGCAGAGCCACGGGATTGCCGATCTTCGACTCGACTTGTGCTAGGACTCGTGCGCCCATAATGATAATCAATCTAAGCCAGGTCACTACAGTGTTTTTCACATGGGCAAATTGGTTCCACTCACCTTTTCCCTTGAAGATAGCTACACGTCAAGTTCTCGACAACAATAACCGTGTTCTTCTTAATCGACTGGTCTTCTATCATCTTATTCAGCTGCGTGGCAAACATGCCTTGCATGATGTTCTCTCCATCGGATACTATGGTCCGGTAGCGATCGGTAGTCTGATTAGTCGCATTTGGTGGCGAGTCCACTTTCCGGAACGAAATAACTTGCAGAGTCGGTTGAGAGTTAGTGAGGTCTTCACCCGTCTCGTGTGCGGCAGAAAGTCTTTTGACAATCCCTTTGGTAAGCTGGACCTCCATGGTGTAATTGCTGTGAAGCTTTGTTGTGTAGTGGACGCGTGCAGGAAGACGCGAGCGCGTCTGTCGACTCATATAGCGCGTTTCTTATGTAAGCTGACACATTTCCCACGCCCGCCTGCATCCGGTCAGTGACTCGGAGTGGCATAGGGAACTTGACAATCCCACCCAAAGCCGGGTTGTGTGTTTACCGTAAAGCTTCAAGCGGTTACTACCATGACGGTTGCAAATTATAGCGCATATGTTTCCTGACATATTTAGCCGACATTGCCTTCGCCGCTACTTGCATATTGACCGAGGGGAGCGATCTCCTGATATCGGGGCGGGTTGAGTCACCGGGCGAGGTACTTAACTGCCCTCTGATCTACAAGCCTTTACGTTAGACCAATCCCTCGAAGTCTGTCTGTAGTATCTGAGTACCTGACCGCTATCAGTCGTACATATAGCTTCGATACGGTTAGGAAGGTAAGTCAAGTCTACTTGCGATAAGAATACTGAATAATATTTATTCCGCTGTCTGGTAACGCTACATGCCAATCCCTAATATTGTGGCTATAACTATAGGTGTATGTCCTTCAACTATGCTACTTTGTCTCACTGACGAATAAATAGATGTCCGTGATAGGTGGAATTACAGAACAGTCAACTACGCCATGTCTCGCTGCCTTCGATACTTATTCTTGCAAACCTCGCTTGGTAGTTCTCTCCGCTTTCACGTTGACAGCTGTCACAAAGCTGTGCGAGCCGTCGCGTCTCTCCCTGCCTTCAAGAGCGGTAAGAGCTCTGTGCCTCCGGTTCCCCTGACTGGCCTGCGGTTGCTAGCTACCTGATCGGCCATCTTGTTCATCATTGCGGAGGCCGGACACTGCGCTGGTATCTGGGACTTCGACATCGTAACGATGTAGAGGCACGCGATACGGATATGCACGTCGCGGAACGCCTTCAGAGCCCGGACTGCGGCATTGTACGGTTCCCGGAGCGCTGGAGACTGCCTAGCCGCCTCCCGGAGGGGACGCGGGCTGTTTGCCAGATATTCCAAATATTCTCTATGTTTCCCAGGCATGTATTGTCTCATGCGCTCCATGAATCCTAAGTCGGCCTTCTTATTCTCCTTAGACGGGGCAGGCGCACGGCGCTTCACCAATTTGTGGTCTACGTCTAGGAAGATGTCAAGAGCGTGCATCTAGGAAGCGGGGTAAGTCACTGATTAAACGCAATGGTAAAGTACTCACCACTGTTGACTGGCCCGCCGACGGCCCGCTCAGATAGTTATGATCCAACCCAGTGACCCCTTCGTAGATCCAACCTGGGGAGTCAGGGCCCTCCGCGTCACTCCCTTTCCACCAAGGTCGGACGGCAAAATAGAAATCGTGGGGATCCACTAACTCGCGAGACGATTCCAACGTCGCGGTAAGCTCCTCAATCACGTTCTTCAAGCGGGTGAGATCACGAGCGATCTTGGTGGTTGACGTCAAGTCGGTTGTGTTGGGTAAGCTATGGTACGAGTCGATGATGTGTAAAATTTCTACCCCTTGAAGCTCTGCTCTGGCGGACATGAGGTAGAAATTGTACTCGTCTTCGGTACCCGAGAGTAGATTCTCGAAGCGGAGATTGGTGAGAGAGACGGGAAAATCGGGATTTTCGGGAACAGCGTTCCACATCACGACGTCGGCGAACGTGAGCACAGGGGCCATCTTTAGCATTCGGGAGACCGTCACAAGCGGTACTGCGAGGGCTCTGGGTACTTGTACAGGTGAAGCTGGTTCCGTGGGCGGTATCGAATGAACGAAAAAGTGGACCAAGAATGCTAGCACGAGATGCGCTCGCTGAAGCTGCCGTATGTCATCATTCAAATGCTCCACTTGCAATACCGGCCACTAAATGCCATATGTGCATCAGTTCCTGCCATGGTAAAAATCACGTGGGGGGTGTGGCATACCTCTCGTATGCGGTCCCGCCAGCGTAATCCATCCTGTCTTTTTGCGACGGCGACATTACTATTGTCGGTTCCCAAAGACAACACGGTCTGAGCTTCGGTTAAGGCAGCCTCCCAGATGTCGTACTCCTGGGGCAGGTGCCGTAGTGGTTGAGCAGGTAAAAAACCTGTGATGTCGCTGATGTCGAAAGCTGATTGAGAATGACTCCAGGTAGGTTCTGGCAGTCGTTGAGCGTATCTCGTCAGGATTCGTCTGAATAATGACAGGGCCATGTTCGAGACGTTCTGGCGAGTTATCGACAGGATGAAGGTCAGCACGTCCATGGTTGTAAGAGTGAGTAGCGGGTTAAAGATGCTAGTGAAGCGGGTTGCTGTCATGACAGAATGGGCTAACCCCACTGTTTTATAGACTCTGATCACAGGTAGTCGTTGAAGTCATGTTGGTGACTACAACTACTTGGATTTTGTCAGCCAACAACCCTTGATCACATCTTTGTTTGGATATAGCAGTGCGCGCATAGGTGTTCAGGTGCTTAGCCACTGGTGCGCCTCACCAGTCCGCCACCACTCAGAAGGCCACGGAGTCACTTCTGTGACGGTGGCATGGGCTTCCGCAAAAGTCTTGATTGCGACAACTTCTCGTGACCGCACCTAGCAATTTGTCTACGGCCTTCAACCTCCGCTCGGATTCCACAACTTGTCCGTGTCCGGCAAGCCTCGACTTCGCGTTGGCTTCCCCGCGCATTACTTCATTTCAGTCTTAGATCGATATCTCACTGTACTCTGCGGGGTCCGCCGTTGCGTCCCGAAACCATCATCAGGTTCGCAGGCGATTCGGATCGCCGGCTTGCAACTTTTGATAAACCTACGGCTTCGCTGAGCTGCAGCTTGACCCCTTGCCACGAAGCTGTGGCACTCTTGCTGTGCCGTAGCAACGCTTGCGCAAAGATGGCATTGGATCAACATTCATTGATCCGCAGATAACAGTATTCCTTGCTTGCGGCTTTGAACGATCCTCCGTTCATTGAAGCAGCCGGCGTCGGCGTTGTTCTATAGGGGCCCTTTCGGGGCAGTATTCATTGTCGCTCGGAAGTTCTTTGGAGTTGGTAGGTGCTGGGGAATAGACACGTCTTGGTTGGTGCATGTGGATGCTGCAACGCATGTCGTGATCGCAGCTGTCTGGAACCCGACGACTTGCGGGAGTGAATTTGCTCGTATGCGGATCAAACCTGAGAGGCCACTATTCCTGCAAATAGCGGGGGTTCCCAATGTAGCAGCCAAAGTAAGCAAACCTATGCAATGAAGAGTCTCAAGTCTGCAGCTCACAGGCCCTTGGATCATGGCATCAACTCGACTGTAGCTTTACGTCTTCCCATCAAGGGATACCACTCGGTGCGTGAATACGCAATATTTTGGGATAATATGCGCCCACTCGCCGTCCGAACGAGATATGTAAACAGCGCGTATCTCGATCCATTGTGATTAATGACGGTGTGAGATCGTGATCTCTGATTAATTTTGCACAGAACCGTGTGCATCGAGCTTGATCTTGAAATATGATCCCGACATTTCGCTCGTGGCATAGCCATGGAGGACTGTCTTGGACCTGATCCAGACGAATAGGGATACATCTGGTCCTCGAAGGCGCATTCCACGTGGGTTGCATCGCAATCTCGCGTGGCATGGTCGATGTCTGATGCAAATGCTTCGCTATACTGTAACTGTAATTCATGAAACTGATCCGTTACGGGCTTGCTTCAGTAACTTCTTCACATCACTTCTAGATGGTCAGGACGATCAGACTGTCCATAAATGTTAGCAGACTATCGCGGAGGAGGTGTGTCCCTGGCTTTTCCTTCAAGTGGCAGGATCAGTTTACAGGGAGGGACGCAAGGATGTATCATTGCTGACAGCGTTCCGCACCTTCAAACAAGAGTTTCTCGAAAACGTCTTTTGCTCGGTTCACTCAGCGCCCCTAAAATCAATACGCTGGCTCATGTTCGACAAACAGGGAGCAGTGATCACGTTTCGCGTCTTTTCTGGCTGATATCCGACTTTCCCTGAGGAACGACAGCTGAGAGCAAGGGCGCAGCTTTGCATGACTCAACGCCGTCGTGATCTTATTCCTTTCACTGGAATAATGCTTATGCATGATTATGCATCATGCCTTCCTTTGAGAGTAACGCTGACCGACGGCCGAATTCTGTTTAGTCACTCTATCGAACCTTCAGTATCGACAATTACCCCGAATGTATTGTAAGTCATTACCCATATGAAGTGACATCCTCCTATAGGTCGCTCCTTGATTATGGGCGCAAGGCCCCAACTGGTCGGCGCGAAGTTCCTCCGTCGCGGTTGTACCTCCGTCGCGGTTGTAACAGCACGCCGAAGTGTTCAAGCAGCAAGTGTCCATGCAAAGTGGGTGGTTCCGCTGACTGTACACTTAGTGTAGCTAACACCATATTTTTGATTAATATTTACAGCTAGGGTTTGATTTTGGAACCTTTTGAAGGCGTAAGGAGTTCAAACCCAGACGTGTACTTCCTGAGATGTACATTTACATACGCGCTCCCAAGCACCCAGTATATTGCTATGGCATGGTACTACGCATGTACTCACACACTTGTAATCAGGACATGCCTTCTTGTTTCCGCCGTTCGCCACCCGTAAGTCGGGGAGAATGGGCGCCGTCGAGATTCTCTCCTTCCTCATCAGCCGTAGGACTGTGAAGCGTCTTACAAGGCTTGGTGACTGCTCTCAGCTAAAACCAGCGGTTCGATAAATCGGACTTCCCACCCGCGGGCAGCGGTGTGATTCTAGATCATCAGCGTCGACAGGGCTAATCAGTGTTTGACTGAAAGGCGCGCGTCCAACGAGTCTTCAGATTGGACCCTGAAGACATGACGTTGAGATGTTGATACGTTACTGCACTTGTCTGGTTCGCGGCTCGTTTGTGAACTAGAGGAATATGGCATGCGGTTCTCTTCTGAGTAAACAGTGTAAGGCAACCAGATTCCGATAACTAACTAAGCACAACGGCAAAATTCACGTCTCAACCTCTCCACTTGACCCACTTCCCCTCAGCGTCGACATCGCATTTCCTTCTCACGATATCGGCCACCTTCTCCCTGATGCCACCCTTGGTCCTTCGAGACTTCCGGGAGCCGGGAGCTAGATCCCTCTCACACTTGGCTACAACTTCCTCCACGGTCAAGCCGAAATCGCCGCTCGTCCTGTGGCTACCCTTGATCACACTTTCGATCTCCTGCTCGCTCGGGAGGGCGAATTGATTGGGATTGTTGATAGGCCTTGCTGCGAATGACTCTGGAATTTCCAGACGCGACGCGGGCTTGTAGTACGGCGAAGACGGGTTGAAGAATTTCTCAAGGATGTCATCGACTGGGACGGCGTCCACCGTAGACGGCTCCCAAGCGGGACGCTGGTCCTTGGGCAGCTTGTCGATTAAGACTGCGCGTACGCCGGTCGAGAAGTCGGGGCTGGCACCGTTCTATGGTTCAATTAAGTGGATAGTCAGTACTCAATCCTCTGGAAAAGAGGCAAAGGCAATTGAATAAAATAACTGGAGAATAAACAGCAGAAAATGCAAGAGAACCTGGCATGAAAGAACCCAGTCGAGATCCTAGCTCATCTCCGCCACAACGGAGTGCTGCCGCTACTATAGGCTCTACTCTGGGTCAGAGGGGCTTCGAAAGGATGGCTCAATTGAACGAAGACAATCGGGCTCAATAGCTCAGAATCCCGCGAAACCTGATAGTAGGACTATCATGGGAGAAGCAGCAACTAGCGGCATCTGCGATCCCGGCACGCAACTTTGCGAGATGCTGAGATGCTGATGGCATGTCCGCGCTAAAACGGGAAGCGCTTCTGCACAGCCTGTTCAATTATGACGGGACCGAGCAAAGCCGTACCGCAGTAGGCAAGTGCAAACGGGACCATTGATCGCAATGATGCGCCGTGGGGACGAGTGAGGGCAAGCACCCCAGAGAGGGGTAAATGCGACGCCATTAGGGGGCGTGTATTCCCTGAGCCACAGCCCTCGGGAAGTTCAGATTTGCTTCTTCCCACCCATCTTGCTCCGCGAGAAAGAAGACCGTCGTGAACTTCGTCGCTGTCGCAGGAACAAAGAAGCGGGTAGGTGGGAAGGCAAACTCGCGCGCACGCGCGCACGCTGGAGACCAAGTGAATGGGAAAAGGAGCGGCGAAAAGCGCTTGCTGATGCGCCCATTCACGGAGAAAACCAGATCTCCCATGACCCGCAATCACCCAACCAGATCGCAATCGTTCAGCACCAGGACCCGAGCTCCCATGCCCATGATGCGAATCCTTGGGCCCTGAGCACTCCCTGATCCCGCACAATGGGCCCGGGATCCCCATGCATGTCAATGCGATCAGGACGAGCGCACTAGCCCATATCACCAGGGCGGACACTGTCCGGGACATAGTCACATAGGGTGTCCGGGACATTGCGCAGAATGCCCCAGGATCTCGGCACGCCCTCGCTGCTGTCAATCCTTCCCTCGGTGATCTCCGAGTGCGCTACGTTCTAGTCAGCCAGCCGTACAGCACCCAACGGATACTGTCATAGCCCGGCCTCGCTGCCTAACACCAGATCCAGGGCGTAGCGGGCGGCGTCCCTGCCACACCGCACCCACACACAGAGAGATGATAGAACTGCATCCAGCGGATACTGTCACTACCCCGCCCCGATGCCGAACACCGTTCAAGCCACAGCACGCCCCACCGCAGTCATCAACAAGAGCGCATCCAGCGCATACGGTCAAACATCCCCCTTCCCCAACATACGAGGCCGCGGTCAACTGTGCCCAGCGGCACACCGCTCACGAACTCGCCAAAACGAAAACACGGAACAGGCGCGCCCGCCCATCGATCTGATCAATCACTCTGCTTGGGCGTCCCCACAGGAAGAGGAGATCTGACGACCTATACCCAGCGCGTCTCGTCTCAGCCTCGTCACAAGACGGAACAAGCACCCCTTCTTCTACAACACCCAACACCCCACCAGTGGCAAGGCACCACCGGGGCTCGCATTGGCCGGGCGGTAAAGACAGCCACGTGCGGAGCAATGCCACAAGGCCCCGATCAACTCCGGCGTTTGCTTCCATCCTGTTCTCTTTCCACCGACCAAGGATGCCACCATCGCGGGAGAAGGAATTACCGGGGTGTCAGACCGATTCGAGTCCCGGCTAGTAGGTTCCCCAATAACACGAAACAAGAGAGACGAGTACGCAGCTAGCGGGAGACTATCTGCCTCCCCACTGTCCAAACAACGATGCCAACATCGCAGGAGGGTAGTAGGCAGAAGCACCGGGGTGTCAGAGCGATCGAGTCCACCATACGAACAACGATGCCAACACCGCGGGGGGAAAGCATCACCACCGGAGTGTCAGAGCGATGGGGTCCCGGGCGGGGTTAGGGTCCCAAATAACATGACGAAACAAGAGATACGAGTACACCGCTGACCGGGGGCCAAGGGACGCAGAAGCAGACCCTGAAGGTCAGAGCCAAGGGGGACATCAAGAGAAGCCTGCCCGCCCGCCCCTGTCGACGAAACTCCAAACCGCGCATAGCGGATACAGGGAAGACGTATCGCCGGAGAGCAATAGAGCTGACGCGCTGAAGAGTGCAACAGATCCCAGATCCGGAATCCAGTGCCGCGGAGGCCGACCGCCCATCCGGAGCAAACGCAAGATGCAGGGGAGCCAGACCCGGGCAGGCACCACCCACAAGTCGCGGCTCCGCGCTCGCAACCGCTCGAAAGCGCCGAACGTTGAACCGGCCTTACCGGCTTTATGACTCCCGCGGCAGAAATACCACCTCAACCGAGCCAAAACGAAACCAAGAAAACGAAACGAAATGTGAAGAGTCTTAGATCACAAAACCAGCCGAAAAAGGAAGCCGAAACAAACAAAACAACCCACTCACCACGAACGCGGTAGCGATCCCCAGCTCCATCCTCAACGCCCTTTCCAAAGCGCTCGCCGGCTCCCCCCTCACGGCCTCCCGTCCCCTCCTCTGCGCCTCCAGACTGACCACCAAACTCGTCGGGCTCCGCATCCCCAACACCCCCTTAACCCTCCCCGCCCACTTCTTCACCTGCTCCTTTTCTGCTTCCGCATTACTAGCAGAAGGGAGAGCCAAGCCGTGCTCGGCGAGGTAGGACAGCTCGTGCAGGATCCCCGCGACGGAGGGGCGCGAGAACGCGCGGTCGATCGCGGCGCGGACCGCGCCGGAGTGGGGGCCGGTGGGGAGGACGAGGACGCTCGATTGCCCGGGGGCTTGCGTCTGCGGCTGTCCGCCTTGCGTGCGCGCGTAGCGCTCCGAGGGGGGGACGCCCTCTGCCTGCTCCTTATTCACCTGGAATATCCATCAGTTCCCAGCGACTCCCTGGACTCGTACAATAAGGGAAGAACAGAAGTGAAAGAACGGCGGAGGGAGCGGAGGGAAAGGAAAGGCGGCGACGCACCTGTCCCTCAAAGTCCCCGCCGACGCCGAGCTCCTCGGGCGCGATGTAGAACCCCTCGATCGTCGCGTCGACCGCCTCCCACGAGGGCTCTTCGAGCGCCTGCAGCGCACGCAGCAGCGCGGGGAGCGAGGTGCTGGGCACAAAGTGCGTCGCCAGGCCGAGTTCGCTGTGATATCCCCCATTCATCCGTTTGTCGCTTCGATATCAGATAACTGTGGAGAGAGGACGTACTAGACTTCGCGCCCCGAGATGATCTCGCTCGTGAGCGCGAGGTACGTGCCGAGCTCGCCGTCGAGTCTGTCGCAGCACCCGTCAGCGCGTCTCGTTCGCGTCTCGAACAGGACGGGACGCACCTCGCGAGGAACGCGCTCGCGCCGACGTCGGGGCAGTACCCGATCTTCGTCTCGGGCATCGCGAACATCGT